TTGCCGACGGCCGACGGATGACGACTGAAAGCTCAGAATTTCATTAATTCCTTTGACGATCCGCCGCACAGTGGATCGAGTCAGTGGGAAAGGTCGGACAAAATTTGGAAAGTTTATACGCTCATAACTCCGTTTATACAGCAATTTGAGATTATAAAAGTGGCTTAATTGGATTCCTTGTCAAATTTCCTTCCAGTATCACCCCTTACAATTTAAAATGTGACGAAATGAACATCAAAATTTGCAGTTTCAGTAAACAAATTAATGACCGACCTCTCCGATTGATTCAGCCCACTGTGCGCCGGAGTGCCTCCTCGAGCATCGAAGAACCGCACTCCATCAATCATACTCCAACGCCACGCTGCCGCGCTTGGCGTATCTTACCTTTTCCATTCATCCATCTTGCGTTGCATTTGCATTAAAATTAAATAAAAGTGCTCGGTTTGCTCTCCATAAGGCACAATCCAATATTCAGGAATGATAATCAACCCCTTATTAAAGGATTGTCCATAAATTACGTCAGGCACCGAGGGAATAGCATAGACACAAAATCTCATGAAAATTTAATAATTAAAATCTATCATGTTTAGTGATATGATTCAAAAATTCTTGGGTCATGGACTCGGAAGGCTGTACAACTCCTAGGAATAATAAACTCTCATCTTTTAAAAGTTCAAATAAGTTGAACTTCAGAATTTTTTTGTTGTATTCTTGGTTGGTTGTCACGAGTTGGATATTTCACGCCAGGTGACTATGAAATTTTCTGTTAGACTGTTAGGTTCATAAAACAAAAGTTTAAACAGTTTAAAAGTTAGAGAGAGAGAAAAGATAAGTTGCCAAAATATTTCACCATTCAGCTAATGAGGCGCACTCTGTCTCATAAACTTAGAAATGTTTTTGCAATTTACATCGTTTTTGAATGGATAGATTTGAAAATTATGGGTTGATCACCATTTTGCGAGTTATGGAAGCAAAATGTTACCTCCTCCTGTATAAATTTCCATTCTGGACATCTATATGCCAAAATTGTGTTCCGGTCCCTCTTTGCGATGCGTATGTATGTGATCAAACGATAACAACACCTGGAAGCAACTATTCGTGCTCTAAAGATGTCTGTATTGCATATGCAAAGAGTTGAAGGCACTCCGACTTTCCTTATCAGGCTTGTAGCGCTGTGCACTCCCCGTGAAAAGTTGGTACTCTGTATCAACGTCATGACTGATTTTGACTCATCATCAGCTGAACCAAATGATGCTCTGCACCGACCGAAATTGACGGCGTGCATTGACCATCAAACTAGTGCGTCATAATTGGTTATATGGTGGTAGTTAGCGCTTGGCGCGCAGCACCGAGTACAGAATTTGTTGGAGCAACATTGAGTTTTGGTTTGCGAACTTGAAATATCCTTTAATGCCGTTAAACGTTGTGTAACGCTCGCTGGGACCTCCAACCAACCCCTGTGGTGCTGCATGATGGAGCTTCTGCATGCCACGGGACTTTGTGACGCACTACATTTCCCACGTAAAAGTTTGCAAAAAAACACTTAAGTGCCATTGGTGGTCTCAGAGACGGACAAACAGGGATTTCAAGGGACAAATTGATCTTTTTTTTAGCATGCAGCCGCATAGCAACCCTGCTAATTTACTCGCTCCTGACGTTGCGTGGATAGTTTGACTGAACATACCTACCAGTGGACTCTCTCAAAACGTAGGGGACTCTTTCCGTATCCCGTTCATGGCCTCTGAGTGCTTGGGAGTTTTTTCAGAGCGAACCAGTGGCAAAATCGTGTTTCTCGCGAAGTATAAAATGCTAGAAAATACCCAAATCGCAAGTTTCCGTGGCATGCTCTCGCAATAGCTCCAAGTATGGACGGTCCTCTACCAGACCCCGTCTGAAAGAGGTAGCAATAGGTGGGTGCCGAAAAGAGCATGACTGACACTTCGCTCACCACGAAAGCGCGTCTTTCAGAGTGCAGTTAGTCCCGACGAGAGGCTACCAATCAAGCAGGCAACGCAAATAAACAGCGAACGGCCGGCGCACAGTGGATTGAGTCAATTAGGGAGGTCGGACATGAAATTTTTGACTGAAACCGCAAATTTTGTTGTTTATTTCGTCACATTTTACATTTCAAGAGGTGCTTCTTGAAGCAAATTTCACGAGAAAACCATTGGAACCATTTTCAGAGACTCAAAAATTCGTTTAGACGGAGTTATAAGCGTTTAAAATTCCCACATTTTCTCCGACCTTTCCCATTGACTCGATCCACTGTGCGGCGCGGCGTAGAAGGTCGGACCTTGAAATGCAACGGAGCACAGAGCCGACATTAGCAACGCTGTTGGATCAAAGCCGCGGCGGGCACGGATTGATAGTTCGCGACCGCGTGCGCGGTGTACCAATGCTCCTCGGTCCAGGCCAGACTCCGCGCCACGGTCAATACGTCGCTCGTCTGACGTAAGGGCGTATCTCTAGTCTCACATGAGCCCCGAAAAGGACTGAGTAATACGAGGAGCAGGGCTCGCCTGGAAATCGAGATACACCCTTACGTTCGAGGAGCGACGAATGGTTTGTCGGCGTGGAACCGGTGTCTATTTCATCGGTGACCATGGATCGAATCTTGTTGGCCGGGGACCGTTTTCACACGTCCCCGCAACGGAAATAGGGGGCCATTCATAAAATACGTAACGCTCTGGTGGGAGGAGGGGGAGGTGTTCTGAGCTTGCGTTACGGGTGCGTTATAGAAGGGAGGAGAGGATTCTAGGGCTACGTTCAGTGGTGGGGCTAGGACTTTTTCATGGTGGGGGGGGGACAGGGGGAGGTAAATTGCACTAAAGAAAATTTTAGTTGGGTATACCTTCCCATACAGCGAAATTTTTCTGGTTATCATAACTGCACACACTTCGATGGCGGAGCTGTGGAAATGCGTATCTCGGTTTGCGGCGTTGTGGACTTCTTCACATACTTTATTTTCTACGTGAAACCCACAAGACGCTATTTCTTGAAAACCTCGGTGACTTTTATTTTCTGCACTGAAAAAAATAGTGCTGTTCACTGGGCTCTTGCACTTCTTTTGTAACAGTCACAGAAGCTTCCGTTATGAGGACAGAGTACTCTGTTCCCACGACCGAGGCTCTGTTCTCACAACAGAAAAATTCCGTAATAGTGACAAAGAGACTGCAGGAGCCGTGTGACTAGAAGGTTCCGTCGTCAGCACCATCTATTTTTTTCTGTGTACATTCAGAATATTCTATGAAAATTTCAAGCCATAATGGTTGGGTCTCCTTTAAAAAAAATAGTAGAAGCGGAGATTTTGAAACACTGCAACCGAGTAACAAATTTTTGCAGTTTCACCGTCGTTTTTTATCGTGTTACAGGGTAAACTTTCGTTTTCACAACTACAATTTTACTTGGCGCAATGCATCTCTGGCCCTGCAGGCTAGGAGTATTTTCCCAAAGAAGGCATAAAACCGTAAAAAAAAAAGTGTTCCCCGTCGTAATGGGTGCACTCTCTGTTGGTGTGCGCATCTTACATAAATAATGAACTGTAAGTAATGAGAAGACCAAGTGCAGATGAACAAATATAATGAGTTTCTTTGAGTCTGAGTGGCAAGTTGTATCCTTGTTCCATTGGAGAGACGCCTCTCATGCCACCCATGAATGGACTATCTCATATGTATCGTTCGCACAGGGCATGACATTTTTATGGAAAGGAAAAAGGTTAGAAGTTCGCTAAGGCGACCTTGGTGTCAATTTGTTGGTCCTTCAAGTGCAATTGAGGCAGTATTGGGTCGATTGGAGAGAGCGGCACTGGACTTCACACCACAACAACAACTTCGGAATAATTTGATTCAGCAAGCGGTTTCATTTATTACACTGATTACCCCCTTTACAATGTTCTCTCTACTGGCTCAACTAGAAAAAACTAAAAGTATTTTTCTACTTCAAAGATTCTTTTTCTTTTTACGTCTTCAGAGCTCCAAAAACGTATCATGCCACAGTTTAAATCATGTAGCTCCGCATGCGGTGATGATTCACATGACTTGGTGACGCGCGACGTGTTTTTTCGTAAAGAAAGCATTACAAATATCGTGACCAGGCGAGAAAGCCTTTTCCTAAGAATGTCGATTATTTTACATAAGTTTAACTGGGCGAATTCAGGTGTTTTAACTTGCAAGGATCACCTGTAGCGCAGTGTGTTTTGTATGCTGCGCGCGCAGTCGCATGAAAAGCACTTGAGGGATATACAAAATAGACACCAAAACTATAAAATCACGTACCTTGCTTGCGATTTTTACATTTGCCACTCTATTTTACTTCTCTTAAAAGTGCTTAACTTCATGTTTTAGCACGAAATTTTCAGGGAGTATTTTTGAGAGTAGGGAAAAATTTGCCTCAAAATCGATGAAAAATTTTCTTTTAAATGATTAAGATTTACGACGAAAAATCTGAAACCGTTCGCGATTCGTAGTACGGTCTTAAGATTTCATCACCAATACGTTGTCAACTGAAAGAAATCAATGTCAACTTACGTAAGAAACGGCATGTTTTAGCAACTACTACTTGCGGTATGGTATCAGGTGTTACAAAAATTGCTTCCTCTTCATTTGAAGGCGCTAGTTTCACGAAGGTCAACGTGTGACTTGCGACTTGCAAGTTATGCGTTCAACAGAATCGATTGTTTTCACGATCTCAACGCAATATTCCTTGGATGACTTCTTGCCAGAGCAATGTGTAAAATATCAATGAAATGGGTGCTTTCTTTTCCAGATTTTTAACCATAAGATTCGATGGTATTAGGTATGATTAATGTGTATATTAAAATTGTTTCTTTTAAACATTTCTCAGTATTTTCTTTTTCATGTCCAGTCAGCCAGTTTTCAGTAAATACTACTGAATAAATTTACAGCGTCAAATATTTTATCATAGAAACTAAGTTTGCTTTGTACACTCGGATTGATTCTTTTCATAATTCTCATGAGTTCTTTACGTTTTTTTAATTTCAGGCCGAACAAATAAATGCTGAATTCAAAGTTCTCGCACTCCAGTATCACCCAGACAAAAACGAAGGTGACAAAGAAGCAGAGGCCAAATTCCAACTTTTAAAGGTAAGCTGTGACTTTAGAAAGTCCATGCTCTGAATGATACGTTAAGATTTTGCTACTAAAATTTGGTTTCGTAATTAGTTTTAGTATACCACAATTTTAATGCCCACCACTTCAACTACACAGACCAAGAGCTGGGGTTTTGAAAAGAAAATTGCTAAAAATTCCAAATAAACTGAAAGAGTTTTGAGAATTCGAGTTAAAATGATTTTTAACTGGATATAACCTATGGGGTGCGATTTGTCTTCTAAATTTAGGTCCTTCGTTGTCCCAAAAAGTAGGTATATCGACGATGAAACGACAAAAATACGTATCTCGAATAGGGTGTTTCAGAATTTCCGCCCTTTTTGCGAAATTTTCACGGAATTTTCTTATAATAGAGAAAAAAAATCACAGAATTTTTCAAGGAATGGCGTATGGCCAATTTAACAATCCTGCTTCATATGCATTGGATTCGTGAGCAATTTAATGTTCGGTCATCCCAAGTATTTGCATTGAATGACCACAAAAGATGATTTTTCTTTTTTAAAAATATACCCTCAACTTTCGATAATTTTGCGTAATCTTCGCACAAGTGAAATAGATCTCCAGGGAAAGTTTTCCGCGAAAAGCTCAATTTCCGAGTATATGCACTCGGAAGATATGAATATCGACTGAGCCATTAATTTTCCGCATTGAGGTGGGTGTAGAATACTTTGATGAATCTTTGAATTTGAATTCCCACTTTGAATTCCGTGCACTTGCCCAGTCCGGAGAGTGCGGGGGAGGGAGACAGGGAAGCAGGTCGAAAAAGTTTCAGGAAAATTAACAATGGTCTTACTCGAGTGCCGATCGATGTCAGGTAAGGTAATAAGTGGGAAAAAGCAGATTACCCCGCGCTCCGCTGCCGCCCTCGCTTCTTTGGCTTTCGAAGAAACTTAACTTTAAAGTGAAGAGCGCCCCCGGGGAGAGAAACCCCCCTCCCCCACCCCCCGCAAAACAGTGGGGAACAGCACCTCCTCAGGTGAGCTACGATCAATGCAAGTCGTGGAGCACCTGCACTGCCAAGTCTCTCGAACTAAAATGCACCCGTTAACGAACTGCATCACATTTTGGATTACAATAGGCACTGCCGTGCTAAGGAAAAACGCCGTATGAAACTATAGGCGTTGCCAAATTTCCTCTGGCAAATCACTCATTTTCAAGAGGGTTTTTGAATGTTTTTCTGCCAAATTCTCAGATAATTTTGTTTGTAATTTGATCTAGAGTATCTGACAATTTTAAGGAAAAATATTCACAATTTTCGTCAAATTTAAACATTTTATAGTAGGAAATTTGGCACTCTCGAATGTTCATGCGGTGTTTTTCCTTAGCACGGCAGTATAGGAGACAAATTGTTTGGGATTGTCCAGAGAAGCATCCTCCTGCATGGGAGACGATTTGTATGTTGTTTCTAAAATAGGCGGATTGGTTCTTTCATTCCAAAAAGTATACGAGTTTTCTTTGTTTCCCACAACTTCGACATGAGAATCCCGCTGCATAAAAACTGCTTGTTTAACCCGGCTTGAGAAAGCGAGCACTGAAGTGATAAAGTCCACCACAATACGGCGCTTTCAGATTCAAATTTCCTCCTAGAGGAAAGAGGAAAATGTAGGCTCGGCTTCGCATCACAGAGTTGACACCCCACTTCCACCCGCACAACACGTTCTCTGCCTCCCTTTGAGAGCGTGCTCACCTCCGTGAATAGCACTAGGTGAGCTTGAATTTCAGGATTCAAAGAGCTCTTTTGCAAGGGAAAACAGGAGAGGCTACTCCCTACACCTTGAATCAACCTCAATCACTTTAATCGCTCGAGTTCACGAGCACTGACAGATAGAGGTTACCGCTATGCCACTCGGAAAATAAACATTTTCGACAAGACTTAGAATGATAAAAGCTTGTTGCACACTCCTAGTATTTGTTATTCTCTTTTCTGTTGGTTGAGTGGTGTTGCAACGAACGGAACGGACGTAACCTCGATGGGATTCATCCCTACAACAGAGGGAGGGGTTTTACATCAATCGCGCCGTGGCCTGTCAATCATGTTATACATTTTTCTGGGTTTTCACCGTTTCGAGGAGAAACAAGAGGCACTAGTGGCCAAATAGTCTGAGGGGGAGGGGGGTCAGAGAACGATTACCCGTTGTATGCACTTTGACCAAAAGGGGCTCCTTTCGGCAAACTTTGGGGGCCGCACGCGGCAATTTCTAAGACAAGTCGAGGTCCTCTGGGGCCTCTTTTGGACCTTCCACACTTTTTATGAGAAGGTGTCTCCGTTAATCCTGGCACCCAACCCTCGAATTCGGGGCCAGCCTATCCTAGGTGGCACGAGACTACGGGGGAATCGACTTTCCTCTCTACATATTGTCTGTGAAAATCCGAAAATGCGTACCTGGGTTTGCGAAGTTGGAAATTTCTCGTCAGTTACTTTCTTGACGGATGTAGTACTTACTTTTGAGAAGAGATTTAACTCAACCATACTTCGAAATATGAAAAACGTCACCTCTGCAAAATACTTGGAATGCTCTGAATTTTGTTAATTTTTGTTTGGTGAAACTTGGTGTGAAAGCGCCTTCATTTAGAAAGAATGCAACGTTGACAACTTCGCACGTACCGTAGACGCGAATGAAGCAGTTTGAGAGAGTTCGGGCAACTGAGTTGACTTCTCGTGTCACGACTAACTGGGCTTTTTCTCTACGCCTAACATTATCTTATTTTCACAGATAACCTATTTTTCTTGAAATTTCTTTGCTGACTGACCGAATTTGCTCTTTTCACAGGAAGCTAAAGAGACACTCTGTGATCCAGAAAAACGAGCCAACTACGACAAATGGCGGAACAGTGGAATAGCAATAAGTTATAAAAATTGGCTTGGAATGAAAGAACACGTGCACCAGGTAATATTACCCTAAGTTTTTAAGATTCATTTTCATTCCGAGGTCTTGCAATTTCAGGAGCACCAAAAGTAGGTACGAAGTTAGATCCTGTAAAAAAAATAATGCATGAAAATACAGGGCCCAGAAGACATCGCCTTATGTCACTGTCGTGCGTAAGGTTAAACTGAAAGTCGCAAAAAAAAAAAAAAAAAAAAAAAAAAAAAAAAAATGGATAGCCGCCGCAATTAGGAAAAAACTAGCGAAACATTCAATAATTAATCACTTTAGTAACGGAGTAATTTTCTGTTTTTTTTACCGCCGCAATAGACCCAAATTGATTCATTCGACATTATTTGAGCTGAAAGTCCAACGAACTTTATCGTTCATTCATTCGTGAACGATACGTAAATGCTGTTGAACCCAGACTTAAACTCAACCTTCAACCGACTCTAAAGTATACCATTAAAAATTGGAATAAATTAATGCAATTTTAACTATATTTATGGTATCTTCGAAGCGAATTTGCCAAAAGAAAGCATATGACTATTCACGGAACTTATATGCGCGAAAGTTAAGTTTCGTAAACCTGTCTCTGTGTGGACAATGCCTTTCATTAATAAGAAATGAACGAAAAAATTATGAAAGAACAATCATAAGTGTGGTTCAATAATTTTAACTTCCGCCGCCGCACCGCGCCGCGCCGTGCTAATCGCACTTTGTTTGGCGCAATGCGTGAAATATTCCTGCACTCTTGTAGGCGCTATGACTTTCACGCCGACCGCTGCTGAACACACTGTGTTTGACGCAATGCGTGAAGTATTCATGCAGTCTTGTAGGCGCTATGCGTTACACGGCGACCGCTGCTGACAGCACTGTGTTTGACGCTATGCGTGAAGTATTCATGCAGTCTTGTAGGCGCTAATATGTGTTAGGGGAGACCGGGGTTATGTTGGCCACGGGGCTATGATAACCATCGTGAGAATTTTGTAGAGGAAAATGTAAATTTGATGTTTTGATGAGCAAAAAGGTTGGCAGCGATGTAGACTAACAATTTAAAATATCAACATCGATGGTGTCCCCCTCTGTTATGCTCTGTGCTGTAACATTCTTGTTTACCTTCGAAAATAGCCTGAAAACGCGATTTTTTTAATTTTGAATTTTGTTTGCTGTGGCGAGTATTTATTTTGTATCTTATTAATCTTTGTTTCTATTTGAAGTAGACCCCTTTCCTTTGATTTTAGTGTATGGATTTATGGCTTTTGACTCCTTGTTTCTTAGTTGGATGACTTTGATTTGAGGTAACCTCGATCGGGGCTATGTGGACCATTTTTCTGGGGCTATGTTGACCTACTAAGAAGACATACATTTTATACTTTTTTTTGCGTTAGGTTTCAAATCCATTTTCTTTGAGTTTAAAACGGTCCTATTTAGTGGAGAAGTAGATCTTCTTATTATTTTTTAAGTTGCTTTTCACGCCAACTCACTTATTAAATTTGATACTGTTCTTTAAATTTTTTTTTTTTTATTTTTAAATTTTCAGCTCCAAAGGTATTGAGTTTTACAAACATTACGAAAGATAAGTGTAAGGGCATAATACTAAGCTTTTTAAGTGCAATTACAATCAACTGAACAAGGTTAACATAGCTTCCTTACAGGTGACTCACTTAGCCCCGGGGGTGGCCAATATAGCCCCAAGCAGGGGCTATGTTGACCAAAATGGATTTTCTTATAAAAACGCATGAAACTCACAAAATTAAAGTATTTTGTACAATGTTTTCAGTTGATTTTAATTTTACACTGTATGTTCAAGGATTAGAGCATTAAAGAAATGGCATTCTATTCTTCTGTTTCTTCAGACACAAGTTTTCAAAAAATCTGGTCAACATAGCCCCGGTCTCCTCTACATGCCGACCGCCGCGCCGAGGGCCTCTCCTTTTCATCTCAAGTCCTCGTCATCATTGCTCTCTGCGCGTCTGCGCCGCGCCGCTCCGGACCAAATTGCGTGTTTGGTCTCTCTCTCAACTAGACTAATGAAAGGGCAGCCAACCCTCTGACACAAAAATGTCATTGACAAAATTCAGATTCCAATGTCAGACCAAAACTGCCAAGAATGTTCATAAATGAGCGTTCTGGCCAAATTGCGTGTTTGGTTTCTCTCATAACTCGACTAATTAAAGGTGCTGTCTTTTGTATCGCCGCAAAACGACAAAATTAGAAATTATACGATACTCACAGGAAATGCAAGATTTTGTCGCCTTTTCCCGTTTGCAATTTTATTTTTATACCTACATTTAAAAATAAAAAATTGCAAAATTTGCCGCCATGGGCCGCGGCCCATGTGGCCACCCCCTTAATCCGGCCCTGAACCTCCCCCCGTACGAAATACCTAGCTCTAATTTGGTGTAGGTCCCGAGGGGGCAAGCCATTTCACGAAGATACTGCTATTATTCGACAATATGGGCGTCGTGTTGCCTGCTCTGAAATTGAAGGCGAAGTGTCACGGCGTTGGTATAATATTTTCCCGTTTACCATGATAAAAAGCTATTTCCTGCATGTGTTCCGAGTAAGCGGGCAATTTTACGATAACGTAGTACCGCCATTCCATTTCTTTCTCATTTCTTCCTTCTTTTTTTATCCCCCTTTCTCATATCTTCTCCTTTCTCATTTTTCGCTGGTTTTAAAGATTAAATCATCCAAACGCAATTCTGTAATTTGCGCGGCTGACCCATTCTGCCGTGCTGAGGAGGAACGCCGTATGAGCCTTCAGACGTTGCCAAGTTTCTTCCGATAAAAATCGAATTTACTGAGAAAATTGTGAATATTATTTTCCAAAATTTCAGACTATGTTGTACGCAATTTAATCTAAAATATCTGAAAAATTCAAGGTAAAATATGCATAGTTGTTGTCAAAAATACATGTTTTATCAAGGAAAATTTGGCAACTCTCGGATGTTCATACGGCGTTCTTCCTTAGCACGGCAGCATTATTCTGTAATGAAAGGACCAAAATATATATACTTTGGTACAATGGAGAGACCACCAGTCCGCACTGGGAACATTTTTCGCGGGTGGACTTGACAAATGACCCGAGGATCCAGCTCTGCAGAGCCGAGCCAAACTAGGTGCATTTCCCGCGCAAAATCACCGCCCCCGCGGCGGGGCCGGCTTTTCACCTGATTCAATCTCGCTCGACTTCATTTCGATTTCACGCGGCGATTGCGTTTGCAACTTCCGCTCAATCTTCATTTCTCCGCTTCCCCTCCCGCCTCCCGCGCGCCGGCTCCGGAGAATTCATCTGTTTCTCCGGCCTTAAAAGCAGCGAATCCGCGCACCGGGAAGAGAGAGATTAATGTTCCTTGTTGCTCGTGCCTGTTGCAAGCTTTTCTTCCCGCCTCGCGATCGATTCTCCCGTGGTCGCGGTCGCAACTGACCACCGTCAACCCCGATCGAAATTCGTTCTTGCCCTGGGCAAGGCTAGGCCAGTGTTCTGCCGTGCTGAAGAAAAACGCCGTATGAGCCTTCAGGCGTTGCCAAATTTCCTTTGACAAATCACTAATTTTCGTGAAAATTTGTGCATATTTTTCTTTCAATTTCTCAGATAATTTTGTTCGTAATTTGATCTAAGAAGTCTGAAAATTTCAAGGATAAATATTGATAATTTTCCTCAAAAATAGACATTTTATCGGAGGAAACTTGACAACTCTCGAATGCTCATACGGCGTTCTCCCTTACTACTGTAGTGTTCGAAACTCACAGGCGCCAACACGCCAAATGCGCCTAAGAAATCGGTCATGGCGCCTAAAAAATGAAGGCTCTGCGCCAACGTGACCCCTAAAAATTTACCCCCTTCCCCCTAAAAAAAAAACCCTAATTTTTCTGTATAGTGATTTTTCGAAATTACCCCCAAGTTGCGGCTACTAGTTTTGCGACTTAAACAGCTTGCCTCTAACTTTTCACTAAATGCGCTGTGATTTATGGGAAAAGTGAATTTGGCCCCTGAAAATCAAACATGATGGCTCCTAAAACTCGAAGGTGAATTTCGAACACTGGGCTCGGCGTTCTGTGATAGAACGTCTTCGTCATGGCCTCAAGCTGTTTGTTGAAAATGATAGACAAAACAAAAGACAAAGAAGACATGAGGATTATTGAAGTGTTTGATTCTTACAGACTGAGGGAGAAAATGATGGACTGACTAAAGGGTCTCTCGTGGGTTGCCGTTTTAGTCTATTACCTCCCTCATTTGTCCATATTGCAACCACCCGCGCGTTTCCAGCGATAGGAGCCCTCCATATCCTTTTTGTCTTCTTTGTCTATAGCTTTGTCTATCAATTACAACAATCAGCTCGCAGAAAACGTGAGCACTCAAAGCGCCTTCATTGTTTGGAATATGCAACAAGGGTATCCGTTGATCGCCAACAGTTGCATCCGGGCGATCTCTTACAATTGGACTATACATTCTGCAATTTGGAACTATAAATTCTAGCCCAGTTTAAAAACAACGTATGTGCCATTAGTTTCCCTATGAACATAAGTGTTTTTCCAGAGGAGCAAAAATTTATAGTTCCAAATTGCAAAATGCAGTCCAATTAGTGCTGCTTTACCTCCGTTCGATAGCCAGGGCCGGATTTACCTACTTGCCACCTATGGGCCGCCTGTATTTTTCTAGAGTCCCTTTATACCCAGAGTTAAGACAACTCACTTTTGGTTGAGCTGAAAGTGGCCTAAAAAAAAATCCAATTCTGATTGGTTCTCGCTCATGGAGGCCGAAACGAGTGCACCAAGATGGCGGTACCTCGAATGTGAACAAGAATAATGAAAATATTACCTAATTGTGGTTTATCAAGAGTAAATTGTTATTTCCATCGGTCTAAAGTGAAAATAGATTAAGAAATTATTCACAAACCAATCTAATTTTCGTTTTAATTGATCAATTTGTTGATGTTGTTGTTTTTGTGTGACAGACATCGCAGGATTCCTGATCCTTATCCCTCAATATCGTTCGTTTTGGTGCACTCGTTTCGGCCTCCATGGCCAGCCAAGGCCGGCTGCCAGTCAGCTGATAATCGAGTTGTCTTAACTCTGGGTATAAAGGGACTCTATATTTTTCCGCCTGCTTCTTATTCGTTTTGAATCATCAATAGATCGTATTCGACAGTGGTTCGATGTATCGTTTGGTTCCAAACAACAGAACATAGCCTTAAACAAAAATTATAGGATTTAATTCGGAAAAGCTGAAAATGATAAAATTCCTAACAATTTCACTTTTCCATTTGGTACTTACTCGAGAGAATAACAATTCGCTCGCGTAAGACCCGTTACCTCAGATTTCTAAATTGACTTTTGAGGCTATTGAACCAATCGATATCAATATAATCTCATCTGTGTGATCCGTCGAATACGATCTATAAAAATCATCAAGTGAATGCACCGGTGGAGGAGGGGTGTATGAGACGCGTTTACTCGTGTTGGGCACATTTTTTGTGACAGCCCAAAGCCCTGTCAACCCTAACAAAAGTTCAGTTCCGTAAATCCATCCCTGTTTGGACAAGGCCTTTCATTTATAAAAAACGAACGGAAAAATTATGAAAGAACAAACATAAATATGGTTAATAATTTTAACTTTCGCCGCTGCCCGACCGCACTGTGTTGGCGCAATGCGTGAAGTATTCATGCAGTCTCGTAGGCGCTATGCGTTTCACGCCGACCGCTCCTGACCACACTGTTTGCCGCAATGCGTGAAGTATTCATGCAGCCTTGTAGGCGCTATGCGTTTCATGCCGACCGCTCCGTTCCAGGTCAAATTGCGTGTTTAGTTTCTCTCTTAACTCGACTAATTACAGGTGTTGTCTCTTGTATCACCGAAAGACGACAAAATTAGAAATTACTATTCTTTCACTCTCAAGAAATGAGAGATTTTGTCGCCTTTTCTCGTTTGTAATTTATTTTCTGAATCCGATTTTTCTCTCTCTTTTTTTTATACCTACGTTCAAAAAGATTGCAAAATTTGCCGCCCCATACATTTTGCCGCCATGGGCCGCGGCCCCTGTGGCCACCCCCATAATCCGGCCCTGTCGATAGCCGTTATGAAAGCCGAACGGCTGGGGCAGCAAAGGTGCCTTCCTTCTGTTGAATACGCAACACGGACATACGTTGAGCACCAATAGTTGTATTCATGTGTTATCTTACAGTCAGCGTTGCGCCCGTTCGCCAGAGGTTTATTTCGGGCGAAAAGTTTGGGTGGCCAAAACTCCTTCCGTTTTTGGGAATGCAACAGGGACATCCGTTGAGCAGCAAAAGTTGCATCAAGGCGTTATCTTAAAATCAGCGTTTCGTCGCGCCCTGTCGCCAGTTACTTATGAAGACCAAACGGCTCGGGGAGCTAAAGCGCCTTCATTTATTTTTTTTTATTATTTTTTTATTCTTTATTAGCATTAGCTTTTTTTGGTCAGTCTATCAGTAGTCAGTCAAAACTAGATGCGTCTGGCACAGGGGATTTACAGACCAGCCGAGTGGTAGACACAATTACCAACTTACCTTTATGTTTTTGCATGTTTCAGTCAATGCACTGGTCAACGCCCAAAACAAAAGACAGGATGCTCCCAGAGACCTCTGGAGGCGGGAGCAAGACGCAGAACCAGGCGGCAGCCGCGAGGCGGGCTAGTGAAGGTGGTGTAAATCTCCACTGGGGAAACAAAGGCAACATGAAATGGAACTCGGAGGCACCTAGCGAAGTGGTCAGCAAATTTAGGAACTATGAAATTTAAGCGAGCCACGCATCGCTCTTATTGTCATTCCTCGACCCATACATTCCTGCGTCACCATCGGCTGTTCACATTCTAGTCTTGGTTGAGTACCTACAGTCTTGTCTCTTCAACTTCCTTTTCACAGATTCCGCTCTTACGGTGCCGAAAGAAAATTTTTTTCCCAAGTTTAACAATTTTACTCTTAGGAGCAATAGCAAAAAGCTAATCAACTGGCTTGACTTTTGAAAATCAAATTAATTATTTATTCAGTTACATGTTTTTTTATGTTTAAAAAAAAGCCCTGAATATGGGTATCATATTTCTAGATAAAAAAAAAGAGTACCTAACGACACAAAACAGTTGGGGCCAATTGTGAGCCCAGAAAATAAGAAAATTATTTACTTAAAATATTAATTGATGGTTTATCATTTTATTAGAAAATGTTAGAGATGTCGACCGACCATCATTTACCTAATTTTGTTACTTAAAAATGAGAGAAGGCCTAAGCGTGTGGGCTTCGTAATTTCAAGGTAAATACCTATTTAACCAGCGCTCATATTGGCCGGACATTTGATTGATTCAGTTTCGTGATTTTAAAAGAGCCTTGTCAATTTATAGAAATCTTGGGTAGACTCTTCTGATGAATAATTTGCAAATTGAGGCTGATATTGCCCATTTCTTCCTACAAAACTAACAGTTACTGGATGAGAAATTATTTTATGCCTCCTTTCAATTACAAAGCAGGGTGCTTGTCATACATGTCCGTTGTATTAAACACTGCTATTGTCTCTACAGCTAAAAGAAGAAAATTGTTAAACATGAATCTTTTTACTCAAAAATAAGTATTGATGTGGAAATGCCAAAGAAAACTGAAAAATTATCTCTCACAACAGACATGCAAATGCACAAGTAGGTGATATCCTCATTCTCGATCCAATTAATTTTATTTTTGGACTGTAAAATGAGAAATGGTGGTCAAAATGACTGTACCAAGCTTATAAGACTTTAAGGCACAATACATAGGAATATGTTTTTTCCCCCATTACTTTTTATCTAGGCTATTTGAGGTGCGCTGACCGGAGTCACAGGAAGAATTTGATGATCAGTAAGATTATTTTGAGTATAGATTTCTAAGCTGATGCCTGTACTGCATTGTGAGGGAATGAGACAAGTCTAAAATTACCCTGGATCGACTGGTTCTCAAGGATTTTTCCTGGTGTTCCCGCCTGCCAGTCCGCCCCTGCTTAAGTATGCTGAAATAGTGTGAAAAGATCAAACCACTGCTACAAGCTGATTTGGAGTGAGCTGAGAGTACATCGTATCGATGATCATGAGAATTAAATGATCCCTTGAAAGTAAGGGGAGTCTTCGAGAAGGCTCCTTTCATAAAACTCCCCCCCCTATCATTGAAGCATGTCTAACTGTTATGTCCACACCTTCTCTTAATCATCTCGGTCTGATTCTTGTCCTAAAGACATGGAAGGAGTAGGGATAGTAAACATGTCAATTTTATGTCATCCTTTAATTAGTTAAAGTCCTGAAAAAAAAATTGAAGCGGCTGAAAGGTGTCCCTAACCAAGGCCCTAGAGATTTCCTCAATTTCACTACAAAAATCCCATGTTGAAATTCACAGATTCTTCATTTTTGATAGTAAATCCATCAATTGTTAATTTCTAAATTTTAATACAGTCGTTTGTACAATTATTGGGAGACAAATATTTTATCAGGTATTCAAGAACAAAATTTGATTTGGAAAGTGTTTAAAATGACTATGAAAGGACAGCCTGAACGTATGCTGCACATTATTTTGTCTCTCAAATTTCAATTCACCATGCTCCTTCAGACTGTGCTTCTGGAGATATTTCCAACTTTTCCTTGATCAAACTTTGTACATCACTAATACCTGAAATATAACAGACTGATTTGAATTTCATAAATTTCTTAAAAAACTTTGAGTTTAGAAATTTTCAATAGCCAAAATGGCGACAAAACCCTGGACTGCAGTGCTGAGGAACCACTTGGATATCTGTCTTGAATTTCTCATCAAAAATGAGTAGAATAGGATGGACAAAATTATTACCTATGCCCAGGACATCGATCAAACAAACTCTTGAATTATTTTATACATTATTAGATAAATATGTATTCCTCTCTGTTCGTACAAATGTATTATTTTCACTTTACCATCGATGTTATATTCCTCCAGTGATTCTATCGTAGACCATGATTTTGTAGGTTTTACAGATGACATAATTTCGAATGGATTGCCAGGTATTCTTTATCTCCGTGACAATCTAGTGCTGTTCACCAGATAATGGCACTCTTTACCAAAATATGTACCTATCGAATATTTACTCAAAACCCTCACATTTCATCTTCTTGTACCATGAGCTGTTCATTCCAGCGAACCTAATTTTAAGTTTTTTAAGAACGTTCATTGTACAAACAGTGTTAGAGATAAACATGCCAGCTTTCTGAGAGCAAAAGAAAATATATTAACTTCGCCTATCTTGCAATGTCAGTCAGCACATGAAAAAAGATGCAACAGGAAATGAAGTGTCACACACTATCAGCCAGCTAAGAACACTAGAGCAGTATCGATGAATAAGATATTTAACAACCCTGTATCATTTGAAGAGCTTTTATGAGTACTTGTATACTTTTTTAAAGGTGCTCGAAACCTTTGCATCTAATGTCATTAACTAGTTTATGCTAACACACTAAATGAGGCATTTTCATTTCTATGATGAAATAGACAACACACCGACAGAATGTGCATTTGTGAATCAGGGCTCAGAAATTGCTATCGCGTTTCACTTTCTTTAACCCAAATTGACCACATTGGGTGTTAGAAATGGGAAAGCCTGCTAATTGGATTGAAAATAATTAATGGATGGGGGAGGGGAGGGGGTAGATAGTAAGTGGGGTGTAACCCTACGATATTTTCCTCTCTTCAGTATTATTAAAGTAAAGGCAAGGGAAAAGTGAATGGTTTAGAAAGAATCACTGCATTGTATGCTAATTTCATCACCCAAACTAAAGGAAGGAAGAGAAGGGGAAATTTATTTTTGATGTTAAATGTTGATGATGTACACAACTGTTTATTATTTCAATAAATGTTTTATCTACGTGTTCAAAAGATTGATGATTTTTTATTTTCTGATTATTTTCCTCACAGGAGCAATAATGTGCAATTTTTAAAAGCATAGGTCATCTCCCTTTCCATCTTTTTTCCCCACTGAATGAGAACAGGCTGCGCAGCATTGCCCTTTGATCATAGAGTTTGGTACCTTGAAACGGATAATAAATGAGTGATTGATCAGCTTTTCAATTTGTTTCAGGTCAAACATTCAAAATCACAAAATGAAAATAAAAATGATTTTAATAAGAAAATGAAAAAAGAAAAACATTATAAGACACATTACAGATAAATGCACAGGTGAATAAATAGATAAATAAGTTAAAATAAATATAAAATCGGGTAAATAAATAGATGGATGGATTGAATGATGAGAACATTTGCTATGGTAAAGGATTAAAAAATATAATCCATTTCATGGTCGACTGAAAAAACGATAAATTGCAATAGTTTGCTACTGCAATGAGGAAAAAATATTTCCATATTATGGGTGCAGAGCTAGAATACTAGCGCACATGATCTGTGTAAAATACTGAATAAACATTTACAAAATGGCGGTGGATAAAAAAGAAATCACTAAACAGTGATCGATTCCAATAGATTTCGAAGTCATTCCAGCAGCCTTAAATGTAGAGAATTCATAAAGTAGACAAAATTAGGCAAATCATCAGAACTTTTTGTTGCTCTTAAAGTATAACTGGTACAGAAATAAACAGGAATTAAAAAAAAAAAAAAAAAAAAACATTGACAAAGAGACTGCAAAAAAGCATATCTCGGTTGCGGTATTTCAGAATCTCTGCTCTTATTTTATTTCTTAAAAGAAGTCCAATCCAACATCATGGCTTCAAATGTTCATAGCACATTTTTTATACAGAGCAGAGAGCTCACAGAACTTTCCAATATATGACATCTGGTAGTTTTTGGGGTAGAAAATGAAGTATGATAAGAAGTCTGCAACGGAGCAAACCGAGATTCACAACTCTGCAGTTTCATCATCCATGTTAAATTCCTTTCTTTAAATACGACAATCATTAAAAAATTAGGAGCTTTCCAGAGAGAATGAATTTTTCATACATTCATAAGAGACACAAAAAGATTTGATTGCACAGGGAAATATGTGCATTCACTACACTAAGTAATGCACACTCGGTAAATATAGGACGGAAGCACAAAAGTAACATGACCTTCAAAGGGGAAAAAAAGTCAGACATTCTGTTTTCACTGATGTAGAAAAAATTGTTCTGCAGAGATTCGTTTCGAAAACTTTAAGATGACTCAATATAGAGAAGTATAAATTCGATGATACTTACAAATCAAAAGAATGATTAAAGAAGAGCTGGTAGCATGTGTCAACATAAATCAAGTACACAATTATTGGAAAGCAGATATGAACAACAAAAAAAAAAAAAACCTACATCAAATTTTTTGAGGCTGTTATGATGGTGAACTTTGAGATTCTTTACAGGAAAACCGGTTACAACAAATAATCGAGACCAAATTACTGAAATACTTAAAAAAAGAGGCTACACTCACATGAGTTGAGATGTATGTACCAGAGAGCTGGAGATAAAGGCACTTGCTAAGGGCACAAACTTGAGTAATAATTACATGTATACATATTGCACTATGAAGCGAAACATTTTGCCTGGATTTGGAGTGGACGAGGATGCTCGCATTCAAGAATTCCTGGAAAAATAAGAAGGACATATATGAAAAAATTAAAAGTCAAAACCAAGAATTAAGCACTGAACAAAATTAGAGTAAAAGCAGATAAATAAACTTTTATTGTGCCATTAAGGGCTGCTAAAAAAGTATGTAATGCTTTTGAAAGGGAAGAAGGTTGAGGAGGAAAGTGTTACGCCATTTTGTTTTCATGTGTTGAAGGATAAGGACTTACATCATAAAACGTGAACAATACAAAAAGTAGCGCTATGTATTTTATGATTTGGAGCCGGAAGATCAACTGACAACCATTTAATCTGTGTCACACAGCTGATGGAAAAAACAAACGGCCATTGGGTACGAGCTCCATTCAGTTTTCATTGATTTTCAGAAAGCGTATGACAGCGTTCCAATGTAAAATACCTCCTGTTATTGCACTTGGCCTGTTATACGCTACACCTCCTAATTCCTGCCTTTCGCGAAAATTAACGCGCCATGATGTGTATGCAAAAGTTAATTTGGCCCCTAATAAACTGTGGGTGGCTCCTAAGAAGTGGGTTTCCTTGTCAAGGTGGCTTTTGAAATTTTAGGCGGAAGGAGAAAATGGGCATCAATGACTAAATTTTCAGTTTTAGTGAACTTACTTTTCGTTTCCTATGAACAGCCACAAATGTTGATTAGATTTTGCAATAAGATAAAATATGATTAAAGTACGTACCAGATAAGGACGGGGAGGGTCCTTGTGAGTTGCTGCACATCTTTGTGCTGTATCCTGAATCCAACTGCTCCGCTCCATGCTCGCTTGACTCACTGCTGGCGTTCGTCTTGCTGAAACCAGTTCCTTTACTGATGAGTAGATCTAAATCCCACTTATCCATCAGATAGCCTTTCCCTGTTTGGTTTGAGCAGTATGGTTGTGTGCACTTGAGCCGCTCATTCACATCCGAGAGCTCCGAGAGAATTGCTGCCACTGATGTCTCCTCAGGTTCGCAGGTAGAAATTCGCAGCTGTTGCGACGATGCGATCAGCTTGTCCAGGTCGTGCGAGAGATCGTGCACTGCTGAAAGCATTTCCCCTGTTTAAAACAACAGTTAAATGAGTAAATAAAAAATAGAGTGAGGAAGAGAGCTCCAGGTAAAGTATCTATTAAAAGACAGAGTGAACACTTCACTCTATGGAGGATTCTTTCAGTTTATAAAGCAAAGGATTGAGCAAGATGGCAATTTATTCCTTTCCATCAAACCACACTAATTATGAATGCTCTGGAAAGGTCCTCATTTTACATGTTTATGTGTCCTTCTCAGTGGGTAAATATATTCTTAACTTAAACTGACCTGTTTCAACACAATCATCGCAGGTCTCCTCAGCTTCCAGGACCTCTAAGCTCCTGCGATTGTCAGCCTTAGTTGCGCTCTTTTCGCTAGCAACCAGTTCAAGGCTGCGAGTTCGACCGCCCAGTTTTCTGCCTCCAATAGCACTTCCTGGAACGCGTCCTGACTGGCTGAGCCATTGGGTGCGCGCTCGCAGAGCTGAGATCTGACCGTGCGTTCGCCGTTCTAAATCAGCCACTCGCTGCGTCAAGCTGAGCCTTGTCCGGTTGATGCACTCGCTCATCTCTGCTTTAGAGCGGTTTAACTGCTTTTCAACTTGTTGGAAGAACGGCGCACAATAGCATGTGTAGCCTACGCCAATTGGACCCTGGAAAAAGTGACATAGGAGCTTATAGTATTTTGAAAATGTCAGAATTTCTACATTTTTTAAAAAATTATTCTTTGATTATACGTAATGGGTAAGGAACATCAATTCTGCAATATGACCATCCACACAGCCAAAACTTGGAATTTTCTGACAGTCATTTTATAAAAATTCCCCTTGTTTTCAGAAGTTTTCCCCTAATCCCTCTGAATAACATGGTTTTTCTTGCCCAATGAAATTTTCCACTTTTTTCATAGTTCTTCTACCTTGCCAGATTAAATTCTATGTTTTGTTCGTTGCTGACAGCCCTGATTATATGAATTTCATCGATAAGAGGGGCTTCATTACAAAAGATAGAAAAATTCAGAATCTCTGAACCTCCCTGTTCACTGGTAACAAGGCTACAACATTTTAAATTTTACTTGGACTTAAAATGATTTTATGTACTTTTCCTTTATAGTCCCGATCATAGTTTTTTTGCGCTACCACAATAATACCCTAACAGTGAACACCTAGACTTCTCGAAAATTTATTTATGGTTTTTACCTTCACAATGAGGCTTGACTGGAGGAAAAAGGGGCAGGGGTCTTCCTTAAGATTCTAAAAAATTTGTTACCTCATATTGAAGCACTGAAAATTCTTTCCTAGATCCATAGCTTTATTTATCGGAGAAGAGAGAGAGGAAGAAACAAAATACATCTGGTATCTAAAGATTTAGTTTCATAATAGGGTGTCATGGGTTTGCAAATAACAAAAATAATATGTGGCCGTTAGCACAATTTTGTGATTGATGAAGATCTCATTAATTTTAGGAATGGGCTCAGCTGAGGGAATATGTAACCTAGACATGGCAACAAGGTGAACTTGATACACCAATGGGGGGAGATGAAACTGAGAAGTTTTGATCCAGTTCATAGAACACCCTTGGAAGGCAGAAGACTTTAAAGAGCAAATGCAGATGAGCACATGCTAGGTGTTTGTCTGAAACCTTTCTCTACTTGTACGCAACACATAATGAGCAAAGTTCATTGACTTTTTAGTGAACAAAATGAGATGTATTGAAGTATTTGGTGGTGGGTTTTCTAGGTTATATGTATTGTGTGTTTAAGGTGCTGAGAGAGTTTCCATAATTACTTCATGTTCCAATATCCTGACTTTCCCTGACTTCTGTATGTTTTTTTCTGACCTTCGAACAAAACCTTCACCTAGATTACAGTGGAGCCCGTATATAACGAAGTTCACGGTTCCCAGAAAAACTTCGTTATATCCGGAACTTCGTTAAAAGCGGACTCTATGGGAAAATTTCGGGAAAAATTACACAAAAAAAATTGCAAATATACAGATTCAATACTTGTATATTTTGATCAAAAATACACAATCTGCTCTCTGGGCGAGTTCCGCTCGCTTGCGGTAAATCAAAAAACATGTGACAGTCGCGGAGTCACGAAGTTACGAATAAAAGAGAATGAGCGATAACGAAGTGAGCGCTCACTGCGCAGCTCGCCGCGCATGTCTCACACTGCACTCTCTCACACTTGCACGCGTCTGCGATGGAGGGGAGGGGGGAGTCCGGCAGCGTGCCGATTCAATCGGCACGCTGCCGGACTCCCCGTGAGAGAGTGCGGTGTGAGACATGCGCGGCGGGCTGCGCAGTCGCTCACTTCGTTATCGCTCATTCTCTTTTATTCGTAACTTCGTGACTCCGCGACTGTCACACGTTTTACCGCAAGCGAGCGGAACTCGCCCAGAGAGCAGAAAATACCGAACACAATAGCGGAAATGGCGGCAAATTACTTCGTTATATGCGAGGTGCCGCCGCCGAGACTTCGTTAAAAGCGGGCTTTTTTATTATTGAGTGTATAGGGAGGTTCTAGGGGAATGAGAATTACTTCGTTATATCCGAAACTTCGTTAAAAGCGGGTTCGTTATTTACGGGCTCCACTGTATTACCTTTTATTCATTAAGAATGCTATGGGATATTTCAGCCCAAATGTAGTGATCTTTCAGTGCACACTAGTAACCACTCTAAGTCTAATTGATTAACAAACAAAAGATACCCCGAACATAAATCACAAAGTTGACAGATTTTCTCTTCAATTTAAGATATGACATTGAACACTTTTCATCACTGAACATAAATCTGAAATCATACAAAAATTAGCTTCACCAACAAAGAAAGAATCTCCCTTCATTTTACCCTCATTTCATGTTAGCATAAGTGACGATCACAGCAAGTAACATCACCTATTATTTCAAATAAAGGAGGAAAAAAGCTGAAAGAACTATACCTTCCGGATATTTCCAGCTAAATCTAGGTAGTATTGTTCGCCTTTTTGCAACGGTTCTGGCGGGAGAGAATCCAAGTTGGGTCGGGGAAATGCTTTCGGATCTGGATAATAATGACATCCATATGGAGACCAGGGCTTGGTGTTATCATCCCGTTTGAAATTCTCCACGGGAACCTGCAATCAAGAAGTGGATGGATACAAATGAGTTGGAGTAATTTCAATTGCCTGATAAATCATGGAAGCTCAAACATAGAGAGAAAGGCAGGTTTTAAGTAATTCGATTTACTATTTTCAACATTATTTTTGATACAGGAAAAAGATCTGCTCGATCTACTAAAATTTAGGATCCCTATAGGAAGGAGCAGAGGGGTGAAAATTGCTACTAATCTGTAGTAAATGAGAGGTGCATTTTGAGCAGTGAGGCAATTTTAAAAGGTAATGACTTTTTATTTCTTTTTTCCCAGTTGAATTAGAGACATAAGAGGTAACGAAAATTTTAAGAAATAAAGGAATAGGATTACCTTTTTCTTGTGTTTATGTTTTGTACTATGGTGAGGTTTAGCACTCGACTTATTTACATTTTCTGAGTGTTTCTTAGAGCGACTATGGGCTTTATTGTGCTGCTTTTTGTCTAGAATATTTATGATGGCATCCAAGTCTTTTCTTATGGCAATATCCCTTGCAGTTTCGCATTGCTGGAAAAGAATAAAATGGAGGAATAAAAATACCTGAATTACTAAAAATAAAAATCCCTGCATAAATTTACTTTAAGTATCAACAATAGGAAATAATTTAGTATTATTTGTAAGTGCCCAAAGTGACTTATTTTTGCATATCGCTGACTAAGAAGCAGAACTACATGACTCCATTGCAAAGTTTCAAAATTTCCACTCTTATTTAATTTTTACAGCTTGACCTTTATAAAAAGAATATGCTGCTGACAGAGAGGAAAACTCAAAGGAGTTTTCAAGAAATTATGCTGATTAGTTTTCCAAAGAAACGACCAAGTGTGACAGGAAAATGTCGCTGACAAAGATACATCGTTTTATACTTTGGCCATCGACATTTAAATACTAATTATAGGTGTAGCAGAGTCAAATTAAATCATTAGCTAATGGATTAATAAGCTACCTTGAGCTATTTTGAGAGAAGCAATATTCCTTTGGTAGAACTTTACATGAGATTGTGTTGAACTGTCTCACTTTGGCATTTGGAACTTTCCCCTTCATCCAATACTAAAAACTGACGTTGAACTCATGATTATTCTTAAAAATTATTTTGATCAAAAATACAGAGGTAAGCACTAAAGCAAAGAATGCACACAAACATTGGTTAGATGTTATATTGATGGAGCAATTAGTCGCTTACCTTGTTACGAATAGTTGTGTTCGACTTTGCCTCAAGAAGAATCCGAGTGAGTTTGGACCGACCCATTGCTGCAGCGATGTGTAAAGCTGTATCACCATTCTATCACAAGAGAAAATAAAACAATCAAAGGCATTAGATGCGATGGGTCTTAATACAATAAAACCTTACAATATCATGTAAATTTTCATAACTGGGCTTCTTGGTTTCAAGGCGATCTCCGAGAACCTGCTGAGCAGTCTTATGTGGTACAAAGAAGTGGCCGTCATTCTGCCCAAGGTCTATTATTAGAGGATTTCTTGGAATAGAACCAGGAGAGCCAGGTTCTTTCAATGAATCTACACCAAGATAAATTAGCAACTCCGCTAACAATTCATACAAATTTCATTGATGTGAGGATAATTCTCCAAGAACCATGAAGAGGATTTGAATTTGGTATCATCATTTCCTTCCAACTGCAATAAATTGGTGTTGCTGAAAATAGTTATTTGGCTTATTATATTTTTCAGCTTTGTCTGATGGTGATATTACTTTCAAAGAAGGGTATGATAGTTGCAGTAGATCAAAATGAACAGGCAAAATGACTAATACTTAACGTACAACCTCTGGAAAAAGAGAGGAAAAATAAAGAGTGCCAATTAATATCTTTCAAAAGCTTCTTAGGTTTTCACAAAAAATGAAAGCATTATGATTCCGTGACAATTCCAAATTTCATTCTGAGAAGATACATTTTGAATACATTTCAGGCTTTGCTTAAAAAACTAAGCAGGCTCTGAATGAAATTTTACCTTGTTCTGCTCCGAGACACGGCATTGGGCGCTAATTAGAATGCGAGTAACTCCTGCATGTCCATATCTTGCGCTTGTATGAAGAGGGGTATCTCCATACTGAAAGGAAAATAAGCAAAAGAAATTTATCAAGGAAAAATTAAACAATAAGACAACCGAGATTCAAGGGCTCGTAAGTGTTCGTCACCCCTGATATTTGAAGCAAATCTTCAGAATACTTCCGCTAAAATACAGTGCTCAGTGTTCAACATTGAGTTCAAGAACTACTTACGATTACAGCTTTGGGACTTTATTAACTTTGAGAAAACTATTGCATTTAAATGTGATACCTGGTTCCATCTTTTTGAGCTGGAGAACAAAGAGATTCCCTGTAACTTTATAACACACCCTTTGAGATAAGTTTACAGATGATAGGAAAAAAATTACAAAATGTTGCATTGAAAAATGGGTGGCACTGATCCATTTTCGGTAGATTGGGTACCTGCTATCTGAGACTTCGGCAATTCATAATCACTGGAGCAATTGCACTGATGAGTGAGCCTATTTTAAGATGAGCATGCATGTGACTGTTACTTACATTATTTTGGGGGTCTGGATCACATCCAGCCAAAAGAAGTTCCCGGCAACTTTGGTTGTGCCCATTCTGACAGCAGAGGTGCAATGCTGTGAATCCACCACAGTTCTTCAGGTTCAGGTTAGCTTTCGCTTTTGCCAGAATTGCAACACACCTGCTGTAGCCTTTCCAGCTGGCTTCATGCAGAGCTGTGTTTCCATGCTAGAAAGGAAAATAGAAAGTGAATTTACTATCAGATAACGATACTTCCTCTAGAGACAAGAAAATTGTGAAAGTAAAAATACATGTGCAGCTAGTACTTATTTTTAAGAGGATTTAGCTATCTCCCCTTGTTCCATACACTTTCACTTCGATAAGTGAATACCTACATTTACCTTATATTTTCCAAAAAAAAAATGATAGTTTTAAAAAATAAATATGAATAAAGAAGTGCTACTTCACAATATCAAGGTGTACTTTAATAAGTTCTTAAGAAAATAGAGCAATGAGCAGTCTTCGTATTTGAATTTAAGAAGGACGTGAATAAAAGCATGGTTTTAAGTTCCACACATGCTGAGAAATATTGTTTTCTCCTTATGCTGATAAGGCAAATAGAGTGGCAGGGTATTCATAATATGGTGAAAATATCTATAAACAACACCAAAAGAATAATCTCTTATCTTTTGGAGTGAGTCCACAAGAGAATACTTAATTTCTGAACAAATCTTTTAACTGTTCCAGATAATAAAGTTTGATTCGAACAAGACCATTTTAATTTTAGTTTTGAAGAATAACCAAGGTGATGTAATGATTGTTTAATAATAAACAATCGTCTAATAAAAACGATCATTACATCACCTTGGTTATTCTTCAAAACTAAAATTTTCCAGATAGCTGCTGAAGTTCAATGGCAAATTTTCCCTGTAAAAGTATTGACTTACCTCTGTATCTTGACTGTCTACTGAGCAGTTATGTTTGATAAGCAATTTCAAAATTTCTTCATGTCCTTCAGCTGCTGCAAGTTGAAGTGGGGTGACACCAGTCTGGAAAAACAAAGCAATTATTTATAGTTAGTAAAGAATAGAGGAACAGAATTGTGAGGATGAGTTTAGGAATAGTTTCAGAGCACCAAAATCCAATGCAATCAAAACCTAAATTACAATGATCAAAACTGAGGAGAACCAGACTGGTTTGAGCAGTGATTTAAGACGATCAGGAGCAAGGCGGATAAAGAATGGTGGTTGCATTTCGTACCCTCTTGATGTCACACGGTATCGGGTGCATGGGCCGTCAGAACGGGGGGTTAAGCTCAACCGCTGTGCGCATGGTCCAGCCTTGGATTGCACTTGGGGTGTTCAAACGAATTCTTGCCGGTACGCTATCAGTATCGTCTTATACTGATACTGGTGGCAGCACTTACAGACAGTGGCAATAATATCGTTAACAGTCGGCCTTATCAGAGTTTTGAGAGCTCGCACTCAATGCATTGTTGCCCTGTGTGTCGGTTTGTCAGATTGCCTGGCGCGTAAAATAGATACACACATGGCGACAGCTTATTTTTGTCAGCTCCAAAAACTCAGATCGCTATCGGTAAGAGCCCTCTTGTCGTAACTTTTTCATGACGGAATTGTTTCGGTAGCTTACCGACAACCGATAGAACAGCCCTAGATTGCTTGGTAGAACCTGACTCACACAAGCATCACAAATCTTCAAGATGGCGGCTAAAATCAAAATGCGATCACCATTCTATATCTGCCTTGGATCAGGTAGAAAGGACAGATCATTTTCGGTGAGAGCACTCAAGATTATAGATAGGTACCCAAATCTTTAACTTCTAACTGAAAAAATAGAAAAAACTTACTGGGCCTGGAGTTGGTTTGGTGCCTCGTTCTAACAGCTCAGTGACGAGCTGGATGTCTCCACGGCCGGCTGCAAGTCGTAGGTCTTCTTCCAGCATTACCTACCATCGTCTGAAACCATCAATTTCTAACAATCAAAACTGTGTCAAATGGAGGAATTTCTTTTGTACTAAAATAAATATGAAGTAGTCTTTGAATTAAGTATGTCAGAAGAAAAAATTGATCAGCATTCACTACTAAGTTCATTTACTTGCGTTTATTTTTCAAGAATATTCTGGCAAAGTTTCAAACAAAACCAAAATCATAGTAAGTATGGAAAATATGATTCCTCCTTTGCCTTGGGGAGAAAAACACTCTTTTCGGCAGAGTGTTAAACCTCCGTATTGAATGCTGTTTATTTCCAAGACTTCCTACCTTCATTTCTTAGCATTTTGCAATTTTTTCAGTCAAGAACAATTGTAAAGGGTATGCACAGAGGCCTTAATCTTACTTACAGCTAAAAAGAGAAAATCTGCCAAGATTTTTTACTTGATCGATGCAATTTATCACACATCAGTTTGACCACTCCGGGCACCCGGATTGAATAACCTTAAGAATTTCAATGACTGAATTTAGTGGACAATTTCTGCAGCGGTTGATGAATTACCTGCGGAGCTACAATGAAACCGAGCGTTCATCACAGAGACAATTACACTTGTGAGTAAGGAAGAAAAAACAAACAGGAAATGCAGGATTTACCTGAGTTGCAAAACAGGAAAATAAAAGGAATCCAGCCAGAGAAAAAATACAGCTCCAGCCAGTCAGTTGAAAATTGGGGCTTTCTTGACAGAGAGGATTTAACTGTTCACATCGAGATGCGAGCGCAAATGATTAGTTCTGGGAAGGAGGAGAAGAATGAGCTCGACACACTCAACGTACTGACGATTAGTTATGGTCACTCAAAGCAAAATAAATAAAGGGGGGCCAATAAAATAACGGACTCGTCCACTAACGGGAACAACGTGAAAAAGTAATTAGGTGCGATCGAACAGCCACTAACGCAAACGTTGAAGATATGCTGAATAAAGACATAAAAAGACAATTTGTAAGCGAGTGAAATTTAAGTACTGGCGCTCCAGAAACTGGTTTCTGAAACTTTCGTTTTATGTGCGAGACGTGAAACTATTGTATTGCTGTGTTAGGATAAAAAACCGTCACTAAAACACACCGGAGGCAAGATCGTTCCACGGCGCATGGGAATTCCTGAGAATAACTACTTGCGTTTGGATTCTGAGCGTAAAATTTAATGGCACTTATCAAATGAATGAGCGTTACGCACCCGTGCTCACTTCGTAGGGACCTGTCAGTTCATTCAGAAATCGTCAATCGGTGATCGGTGAAACTTTTCGACTTTCGACTTGGTTTCGACAACTTTCAGCTTAATTACTACGTGAGTCAAGACCAGCTCTAACTCTTCTTGAGGGGATTATAACTGGATCGATGTTGTCACATAGTATGGTAAAAATTTCCAGAGAGTTTACGATGGAGCTATGTATTCCATGAATTTCATCGTATTATTTCGTAAAATGTCTCGACTTATTTAAAACATTCCTGTCGATAAAGAAGTTCCGTGAATGCGACGCATCGAGCGAGATGTCAACGGCAAATTATTTAATTGCCTAAGTTCAACTGGCAATGATGTATTATCGAATTCCTCATGCTTCGGGCTTCGGCGGACATCAAACAATTCCATAGTGCGTGAGTTCAAGGTTGTTCACAACGGAGACATCTTCACAGTCATGTTGTGACGTAAACAAGTCTTCCCCGTTGTACAGCAAAGCTGTTTTTCTTAAAATAATCTCTTTTTATCCGCCATTTTCTAGTTTTTTTCATCATCAAGTATCCAGAGATGCGTCATCGAAACATCGTCCATTATGGACGCTGAACCTTCCCTTCACCGTCTCTTCGATCAAATAACCCCGAGATAATGATAGAAGATGACCATAATTTCATAGCAAAAGCTGTTTTGGAGATTGTTTAACATATTATTTTCCTTTGTACAACATACGAACAGATATAAATCCACAGTACGTTTCAGTTGGCTAATATATAATTATCTCTTTCGACAATTCATATGTTCGCGGTAATTACACCGCGCGACGTTTCTGCCAATCGAATCGTTGCAGCGTCCTAATAGGCTCATTCGAAGAATGTGATGTAGGTGGTTTCATTTTAGGGATTGTGCCTACGTGAATCAAATTTCGCCTTTCAAGGGTGTGTGTAGCTGTGTAAGCAGTATATCTGGTCGTTGCTCTATTAGTTTCTAGCCTAATTTTCCGAAGCTGAAGCTTCCCCAATTAGTACTTGTCCTCTGAAGTGAATTTGTGGTTATTTCATTCCCAAGAACCGGAGTATTTAAAAGGTGCGTAGTTTCTTTCACGAGTTGGTCGGATTACGCTTCATGCCTAGATAAGTCGCTAAGCCTTCCGGAGGTACGTCCGCAGTCATATGCGTCTTAGCCACCGCTTCAAGTTAAACGCTATTCCGACCTATTTAATACAATTTATAGCCGTCCGTTCTATGCGGATTTTCCGTAGGCACTAAAACTTCCATTTCTCCGCACCGGATCGTCCATTCCCGCAATAGAGCCATTGTGCCTGACTGATCAAGCACACCTCAAGAGCATACCTCCTATTTGTCATGACTCAACTACTATTCAACTTCTCCCTGTCTGCCCACGCATTTCAAGACACCTGACACATTTATTCATTCTGTTTTACCTTTGGCCAAGTCCTCATGCGTGCCTCCACTGTATTTTTTCCACTTTGAGGCCCGTGCCACATTCAGCCTCACTTGCTGCTAATGTGTTCAACGCAGCTCTGTGCTGAAGTTAGCAAGGTTAAAGGGTAGTTTATTTCCCATTCAGATTGTAACTTTTGTGTATCTATCTCTACTTTTACTGTCTCGTCTATCTCAGCAATTTTGGGCTTAATCCAATTCCACTGAAATCATCGCGGGTAGGTCTACCAGAACATAATATTCTTATTCAACCATCGGCTCATCGCAGGGACCGTGCGGCCTGCCATTATAGAATCTAGGCACATGCATGTATGGTTTTGTTGGTGTGTGGGTCTCACCGTGTTGGCAGTTTTTGTCTTCATTTACAGCTCACCCATTATATGGCCTTTTTCGTAACTTGTAATGATTAGCTGCATGTGTTGTGGTTCATCTGAGGAATTGTACAGGTTAGATTGAAGTACTCTTAAATTACCATAATGTTCCCAAACTGTGTTAAGCTGTCGGAATGCTTCCTGGTGCTGATGTGGGAGAAACTCAGCACAATGTCAGTCCAAGGCATATTGACAAAGCTCATTTGTTCTCTAATTGAATACACCTTGCTAGCTTATGTTGTAAGTGTTCAAGGTGTTTGCGAATAGCTTTCTTGCAGGCTTGCAGCGCCCATGAAAGAATTGATGAATTATGGCAAAAGAAATAAGTAATTTCTTCAGTGGTCTGATGCTGAGTCCTTTTTTTTATTTCAGTGGTAGATAAGAGGCACACCCATGTCTGTGGATAAAGAAGAATTGGTTCAAAGGGCCAAGCTTGCCGAGCAAGCTGAGCGCTACGATGACATGGCCACCGCCATGAAGAGCGTCACTGAAACGGGGGTCGAGCTTTCCAATGAAGAAAGGAATCTTCTTTCAGTAGCGTACAAGAACGTTGTAGGAGCACGTCGTTCATCTTGGCGAGTGATTTCTTCAATCGAACAAAAAACAGAAGGCTCCGAAAGGAAACAGCAAATGGCCAAAGAGTACAGAGAAAAAGTTGAAAAGGAGTTGCGAGACATCTGTAATGACGTTTTGGTAAGTTCAAAGTCCCTTTTCAAATCCTTCCTAATAAGTCCCAAAGGTGCAGAAAATGTATGGCACATACTTAGTTGCACTCATTACTAGAAAAGATGTGTGAGAATTACTCCTTCTCTCTCAAAATCGTGGAAAATTTTTAGCAAGGAGTACAAGTAAAGTAAGCACCATCATTTCGAAAGACTTAGTTTTCTGAACTGAAAACTCTGCACCCTTTAGTGCCTCTCAACAATGATCGTTTTACAGCCCCTTCAGGAACTCAACGTTTTTTACCACGTCAAGTATCAAGTGGTAAGTAATCCTGAGCTTTTGCTTACACTTTCAGACTTTTCTAGTAATTTTTCATAATTTATCTCCAATGCCAAATGGATGGCAAGTAATTGGACAAAGGCACGTTAGAAGGCTTAGCTCCTAGAAGTGTAAGAGTTCTAACTAAGGAATGTTCTTCTTAAAAAGTCTGTTGATTGGTTCATTTTTCTTCTTTTTTTCCTCCTTAAGTGTGTGTTTTATATCGTAACGTCACTTCTTAGGAATGTGTCATTTTTTATAAAGAAAGGAAGACTGAAAACAAAGGGGAAAAAATTTAACTAAACCAATGTCTAGTCCTAAGATGACAGTGGGTTCATGTTATTTAATTATAGCCATGATTTATGTACCGCTCAATGCTGACTATCATTTTTTCATGATGAATTCTTTACCGCCCCAGGCTGAAAGTCTGTTGAATGGTTTTTTTCTGACTTGAAGCAAATGAAATCTTATTATTTTGATGTTAACTTCTCAAATTTTTGACTCATATTCCATGATGAATTCTTTACCGCCCCAGGCTGAAAGTCTGATGATTGGTTTTTTCTGATTTTAATAACATGAAGTCTTATTATTTTAACGCGAATTTCTTAAATTTTGACTAACATTTTTCATGATGAACTCCTTACCGCCCCAGGTTGAAAGTCTGTTGATTGTTTTTTTTCTGATTTCAATAATGAGTGTCGAAGTATTGCAACTTAATCTCCTCAGATCTTTGTCTTATTTTCCATGATGAATTCCTTACCGCCCCAGGCTGAAAGTCTGTTGATTGGTTTTTTCTGATTTAAATAAAAGGAGGTCTCATTAATTTAACACGAACTTTTTAAATTTTTGACAAAAATTTTCTATGATGAATTTTTTACCGCCCCAGGCTGAAAGTCTGATGATTGGTTTTTTTCTGATTTAAATTACATGAAGTCTTATTCTTTTAAAATGCACTTCTTAACTTTTTGACTAAAATTTTCCATGATGAATTTTTTACCGCCCCAGGCTGAAAGTCTGTTGATTGGTTTTTCCTGATTTAAATTTTATGAATTCTTATTAAGTATCTTAACGCACTTAGACTTCTCAAATATTTGACTTATTTTCTATGATGAATACTTCACCGCCCCAGGCTGAAAGTCTGATGTTTGGTTTTTTTCTGATGGAAATAATATGAAATTTTATTACGTTCATGTAAATTTAATAAATCCTTGACTCACTTTCCACGATGAATTTTTTACTGTCCCAGGCTGAAAGTCTGATGATTGGTTTTTTCTAATTTAAATAACATGAAGTCTTATTATTTTAAGGTGCACTTCTTAAAAGTTTGACTAACTTTCCATGATGAATTTTTTACCGCCCCAGGCTGAAAGTCTGATGATTGGTTTTTTCTGATTGAAATAACATGAAGTCTTATTATTTTAAGATGCATTTCTGAAAAGTTTGACTAACTTTCCATGATGAATTTTTTACCGCCCCAGGCTGAAAGTCTGATGATTGGTTTTTTCTGATTTCAATAATAGACATCTAATTATTGCAACATGAACTTCTCGGATCTTTGTCTTATTTTCTATGATGAATTCCTTACCGCCCCAGGCTGAAAGTCTGTTGATTGGTTTTTTTCTGATTTCAATAACAGACATCTGCTTATTGCTACATGAACTTCTCGGATCTTTGTCTTATTTTCTATGATGAATTCTTTACCGCCCCAGGCTGAAAGTCTGTTGATTGGTTTTTTTCTGATTGAAATAATGTGAAATTTTATCACTTTCATGTAAATTTCCCAAATCTTTGACTCACTTTCCATGATGAATTTTTTACCGCCCCAGGCTGAAAGTCTGTTGATTGGTTTTTTTCTGATTGAAATAATGTGAAATTTTATTACTTTCATGTATATTTCCCGAATCTGTGACTCACTTTCTATGATGAATTCTTCCCCACCCATGCAGTATCCCTGTATCAGCATGCAAATTAATGCAGTCAAAAGTTTTTTTTGTTTGTTTTTTGCCCAATTAGTGCTCTTTGATTGCACACCTATGTCACTATCAAGACTGTCATTGAATCTTGTGTAAATTAAGTTCAAATAGACACATAATTACCTCCATAATCTTACCAATTCTGTTCTGTTCTTATCTTATCTGACTCATTGGATACCCCTCCTAGATTTTCAATATGTGCCCATTCACTCTAATTTGAGTAGAGTTAGCCAATACCAATTGGTTTTAATATCAAATGAAAGCTAAAAGTGGGCAGTAATGTAGAGGTTCAGAAACTTCCTAACTTTGCGACTGGCCTGCCCAAGTGTCATGGGGGAACCCTCCTTAAAATGGGGCAAAATGGGTGAACCCTGTTCAAAATACAGTGTTTGAGCGTGAACTAGTATGGTTTTTTCAACCAAATTTTTTTTTTTTGTATAGTCTCCAGGAAGAAGTGATCATGAATTTTTATGAAAAAAGGAAAAAAGTTGATCGAGTTGGGTGAACCTTCTGTACCCCTGCTTAAATGTCCAGCTTTGGGCGTAACCTCCGTTTGTATGTTGAACTTTAAAGTTAAGACAACAGGAATCAGGCTGATACTTAAGCTAAGTTATTTAATTGAAGTTATATTAACCAGAGATGCAGAAAGTTCTTGCCCTTCATATCTGCACATACTTCTCAGGCGGGTTTCCCACAATGGGTCAGTTAAGATTCACAAGAAATCATAGAATCACAAATATTTTCACAGTATTGAATATATTTTGCTGTATGACTTTAAATGTTAGTGATTTGCTAATGTGTCCTTCTTTTTCTTTGCAGGCTTTGTTGGACAAGTTCCTTATCCCTAAGGCGAGCAACCCAGAAAGTAAAGTTTTCTATCTCAAAATGAAGGGTGATTACTATAGGTACCTCGCTGAAGTTGCCACAGGAGATACCCGAAGCGGTAATTTTGAACTTATTCCTGTTTATTTCACCTCAAGAAACTCATCGTAAAGTTCTATCTAGCACTGAGTTTCTGTTTTTAACGTGACAAGTGTATTCCTGCATTTTTTCTATAAAACACGAACAAAATCATGAAGTAGGTTGCACCTGGAAAAAAATTATTAGACGCTTGCGGTATTATTGTGAGCTTGGATGTACAACCTCTAGTTGTTTTCTGCAAAAGCTATTTTCATGGGTGAGATCAAAAATTTCCAGGAAAAATATTGAAAAAATTGTTTTAATTTATACCACTTAACCTAATACTGAAGTTATTTTTCACTCCACTATTCTTCATCATATTGGAGAGTTCGCAGGTGTCTGAAATTCAATGAATTTCATATTTATGAGGACTAAATATTACTTATTACTTACTTTTAACACTACTTATCTTATACTATCACTAATATTACCTATTTCATATTTATACCTACTGACTGAACTGAGCAGGAGAATATCAGTTCGCACTGCCTTGTGGCGTCATAAGGCGGTTCATTTTCTCAGCTTTTAAATCTGTTATGTGCAATTCCTTCTATCTGAGAGGAACTAAAAACAAAACCGCACACTTGGCTCACTAAGCACTCTCAAATGAAGCAATAAATTTTGTGTCAAGCAATCTCCATTGTATAATACTGAGGAATCTGATCCTTCCCATCCTCAACTTTGTCTCTATCATGTACCATCATTATCATTATTATCTCTCCTGCAGGGGTTGTGGAAGATTCTCAGAAGGCATACCAAGACGCATTGGAAATCAGTCAGTCCAAGATGCAGCCAACACATCCAATTAGACTGGGCTTAGCTCTTAACTTCTCCGTGTTTTACTATGAAATCCTCAATTCACCGGATAAAGCCTGTCAGTTAGCGAAACAGGTTTGTACCTTTCACTTTCCATTTATAAATAAAAATTAATAATGGCTATGAGTATCTTCATCAGAGAAGAGATATATACGGGCATAAAATTCGCCTCTGATTTGCTTTTACAGGGTTGCCACAGTCAAGGAAAACAGCAAAATGTCAGGGAAAACCTTGAAATGTTAAGGAAAATGACAGAAGAATCAGGAAAATTTCTTGAAGTTGCGTTTATTTGCTTTCTAGAATAAGGTCAATGTTTCGAACAGCTAATTTTGCCTGAGTACTTTTTCAAATTATGTCTTTTTAAACATTTAGCACATTTTAATTGTCAGGGATCAACCAAAATGTGTCGAGGGATTTCATTCTCTAAATTCTTTGGCAACCCTGAAAGTTGTGTCTCACAGAAAATGACTTAAAAATTACAATGAGCGCATGAAGAAGGTCTGAACTTCACCAGTTGCTTTACCATTTGCAAATTTTCCAGTTTGCCTGTTTTATAAGGTAAATTAAGTATGTATGGTTGAGAGATTGTCTGATACAGATGAGTCACCCTGGTTTCACAACTCCATAGTAAAGTGAAAATGACCGCTGTCACATGACACAATTCCTCTGATGAAAACTGAAGTCCTTCTACTGATTAAATTAAGTTGAAGCAAGAGAGTGAAGATTGCAGATAAATAACTTTTGTTAAGTTGCTGGTTATAATTAAAACTTATTCTTGCAAGGCTGAATGTTGCAAGGCTCAAGGTGTAGTTATTGAAAAGTCTCGTCTGAGTCTAAGTTCATCTTTGTTGTAGTGGACTTTTTTCAAAAATCTCTCCAAAAAATGATGAAGTTTGGAGTGAATTCCTGACGTTTCAGATTTGCTCATTGTGACTTACCAGCCATTTTCCACAAGACTAAACTCTTTTTTTCGCTCTGGCAGAAGTTAGCAACAGACTCATTCTTCTTTATCTTTGTCTTAAACTGGCCTTGAGGTTTTTTTTTAGATTGAGCGTGTTACGTATGGAATAATAAATAATACATTTGAATTTGCTTCCTCTATTTTGCAAGCCTTTATCTCGTGAATGAACTCAAGTATTTTAATTCTGTTCTCTGTAATGTATTAATGGAGCATCATTTGGACTGCATTTTGCAACTGGAACTATAAATTCTGGCTCTTCTGGAAAAACACTTATGTGCATAGGGAAACTAATGGCACATACGTTGTTTTTAAACCAGGCTAGAATTTATGGGTCCAAATTGCAAAATGTAGTCCATTTTAGTCTCAACACGAAATAGATATCAGGAATTAAGCTTTCTCTGCCCACCCATTGAAGATGTAATAGTGAAGTTGGATTTATTGTCATGTTCCAGGCGTTCGATGATGCAATAGCAGAACTGGACACATTAAATGAAGATAGCTACAAAGACTCAACGCTAATCATGCAGCTTCTACGAGACAATCTGACACTGTGGACGTCAGATAACCAAGGAGATGGAGACGAGCCTCAAAACCAGGGAGATAACTAGGTGTCGTAACTGTCGCAATATCCGTGTTTCTGCCAACTCAGTTCCCTCTATACCTTTTCTCGTCCTGCCTCAATGCCCATCAGCGTCCAACTGCAAAAGTCGCTGTCTCGATTTCACCGCTGCTATTTTCTCACTGAACATTTGGTCAAGGTTTAGAGTGCAGTTGCCATAACAATCACACGGTGTCCAAGTATCTTATGTTTTAAGTAGATGTACTCGTTTTCTTTTCGTGGCAAGCTTCAGACTTCTCCTAAGTGTTACGCTCTAATGACAGTTAATGGATTTGTATTTTATGTTTTGTTCTCTTTGGAAGATTTTATGTCTCGGAGTTTTTCTTTTCGTTATGCGTTGGATAATTCACTTAACTTATTATATGTGCATTCGAGATAAATATATGTATGGAACTGTGTAATCCCAACCGGACAAATTCTTTTTTTTTTTTTTTTTTTTTTTTTTATTCCCCCTGAATGATACCTTGATTTCCTGTCCGTCTCTCCGAGATCTCTATGCCCTCTCATTTCGTTTCATTTCACTGAATCTTATTTATGGCTCACTTCATGTTAATCTCCTCTTTTTCAACACTATTTAGAAATAAATATTTTTATTATGTGGGATACCTTTGGTTAATGCTTTCTTGCTACTCTTCCTATGATCAATTTTCTCCTTTGCGAAATTTCAACTCAGCAACCTACAGGAAGTACAGAAGGTGAAAGCCAGCCAGGGATTTTTACCCACTAACAAGGCACATGTCAGCGAGTTTAGAAACTTTGCCAAAAAACCCACACAGAGAACTGTAAAAATGTTGTATTTAGCAAGTTTCTGGAGATTTTATCGAAATAACTTATTTAATCTCAACAGATTGGAGTTAAAATGAATTTCGCTAATTTACTGTCCTAATAACATGATGATTTTCTCACAAATTAATTCATAGAAAGGTTTTGTAAATCATTTATATGTAATATGAACCAACACATTTTTCTCTACTTGCATTGTACCATTGCTCTGCTGAGTGGTGGGGAGGGGGGACTGTTACTAGAATACTTCTGTAACTTTAGTTCTTTGATCAGTGCAAGAAACTGAAACAAAATCTCCACAGAAGTCACAACATGCCGATTCTCCAGAAGAATGTTGCGCACAGCAGTCACAACCATCATACAGAAGATGGAGGGCTTGTTTGTGCTTTAAGTGTCACTGAGGTTATTCTGCCTCAAAATCCTGTCTGAATCTTCAGATAAAGTGAAGGAGATTAAGGTGATTCGATGGACGCCATATTTTGTGTCAGAGCGGCATGGGATATATCGCATCAATTGGTTCCATTTTTTCAGCTACTCGTCATTTTTCTCCAATTTTGAGATCGCAATTCTGTTGTCAAGAGACTAAAGCACTCACTTACCAATTTTAACAAAGAAATTCAACGTAATCAAGGCGTGGTTTTTTCAGAGAGAAAACATCGCATTCGATACTGATATCGAAACTGCACTCGATTGCGATATTTTCTCTCTAAAAAAACCATGCCTTTATTACGTTGAATTTCTTTGATAAAATTGGTAAGTGAGTGCTTTAGTCTCCTGACAGCAGAATTGCGATCTCAAATTTGGAGAAAAATGACGAGTAGCTGAAAAAATGGAACCTATTGATGCGATATATCGAATGCCACTCTGACACAAAATATGGCGTCCATCGAATCACCTTCATAATGATTCAGTGGGTGAAGAAAAATACACAAACAAACTCAATATGAGCAAATTTTAATAAATAGTACTTAGAAGAATAGGAAAATATCAACAAATGACTTACAAATGCAAACAAAAGAATACTTCATGACAATACTTCAAAGTGATCAGTCGATTGGTGGATAAGTTAATTAACTTTAACTTAGTACCCTTCTTAATATTAAACATGATTATCATTCAAGAGAGGAATGCAAATTGAGAAAGTTGAAAAATTCATCAGGAAGCTGATGCCACCAACTTAAAATATATAAACATGGGGAGAGCAACAAAATATCTCGAACAAATATCCCCGTCATCATCAACTCGATTATTAAAAAAAATTCTTTACGATCATGGGCTATGCCTCGTTTAGTACTACTGAGCTTTTCACTATTCAGTCATGTATACTCTGGATAATTAGATAGATTACACACAAATGAGGAGTCCTTCCCATGAAAGGAGATATTTCTGCTTTTGCAAAGTTCAAAGAGTGCTAGTCGTCATGGGTTCTAAGGTATTGACAGTCACGGTTACCGTAAATCAACAGAGATGATTATGTCCAGTTAAGTTCTGTTACAATCATGGTAATTTTCATTTTAAATTTAAATGAACTGGATTTAAAACACTTATAAAATATTTAAAAGGTAGTAATTAAAGCAAATACTAGATCACTGTATAACTCGCTCTCGAATTGTATGATTCTTAACTTTTTATCAAAAACATTTCTATCTTTCCTTAAGAGGCACTTCAAGATCGCTGCATTCAGGCTGACATTTCCTAACTAGGTTGTAAGAGCTATGGTTCTAAATCCACATAAAATGAAAATTAAAAAAAACAGGAACTGTTCAATTCAAACATGCATTTTTACTTATCAAGAACATGCAAAAAGTAAAGACTGGTGTAGGATGAGAATAGGTACATACTTCAGAAAAATTATGGCAGCTCAAATGGACCGCGTTAAGCAGAAAGGGAACAAGCCACATCAGCAATTGCCAAATTTAAAAACGGAATTTCATTTTTTACATGTAAATGGTTGAGCGGATTTTTGTGCGAATTTCAGTGTATTTTCTGTAACGTACAAAGCAAATTTCTCAAAATTTTCAAGGGAATCTTTTGAAATTCAAAATTAAATTGCCCTGTTAAAATTGGTACTAGCTGATGTGGCTACGTTCCTTTCTGCTAACGTGTTCCAAGCACAGTGGTGTTGATAGTTGCAGTATTTAGGTAAGTTAAAATCATACATAACCACAGAACCTTTTGATAGTTGATTTCACCTTCAGCACTTTCCTTAATATTATTTTGCAGAGTGTTGACAATTTGGTTTTTTGGGCCGCATCCATTCTGAAATAATGCCGCAACAATGTCTGGTATGATGAGCCAGTATTATAAGTTCACAATTTATCAAGTTCTATTAATTTTTTTCCCAAATTAAATCACCACTTTTGAAGGGTCTTTAACTTGCTCACAGCCATTTAATAGTCTGATTCTAAATTTAGAATAAAAAAGATGGAAATTCCATACGGAATCATCAGGAATTAGGCATTTTGTTACCCTATATTTAGTTTATACAGTCATTGAAAAAATCTTACTCTAAATTTACTTCCAACATTTGGAAAATTTATAACAAAACAAAGCACATTGGAATTTTCAGAGCTTGTTTTCATCCCTATTCTCATGAAAGGAGGGACTCAAAAACGGCAAGTCAAAAGATTTGTTTATATATCATGAGAATATGTTACAAAAACTCTGAAAGAACAGAAAAAGCTATTGTCCTTCACCTCACCTCGTATTGTCTAGTGCACCTAAAATTTTTACAGAATTTCAATAAAAATTACTTCTTGAACATGTTTTTGAGGGTATTTTTTTTTCTTCTTCTTGGATATGAGACGCTTTTTCTTCAACAATAATTTACGTTTTTGAGGTGTTTTGAGTGGTTACAGGGGAAGGACACAGCTTTCTCACTTAACCTAATTGCAACTCATGAAAGCTTTCTTCATGTTTCATAAGTTGGGACGGATCAAAGGCTGAAAATTGGAGACATACTTGTAGGTTGAAAGGTCTCCAAAAAGAGTTTACATATTTGAACTTAATCGAAGATAATTGGGTAAACTCAGCACCTAATTCAACCTGGATTTTCATGGATAGTTTAAAATATTTGAGATCAGCTGCAGTTGAGCCTGGAGGCAATAATTGTATTTTTCATCAGCATAACCACGGTCATTGGTCCGACGCCACCTGGAACTGGTGTTATGAAGCCGGCTACTTTGCTCACATCTGAAAATCAAAGACATCAGGACAAATGAGAGATGGAGCGGTTCTGAGGCAGATATTATATTTGATTCAATACATTGATTTCAGGTAAATATGAAGGTCTTTTGATCAATAAGTTTCTCAATTTTTTCCCCTTCACTAACACACACACAAAGAAAAAACTGGAGAAAGTTCTTTAATATCTGTCCGGCCGCAGGTACACTTTTGACTGCACATTTCCTTCTGTCACAATGAATGGTCTGTGCAGCGGTTAATTGTGGATGACGCACAGAGCATGAATCGTGGTGTAGGAATTATTGGACAAAAAGAGTACCTACTTGCAGTGAGATGAATATTTGTGTTCAATCTTGGCTTTCTTGGGGTTGCACCTTCAAATGGGAGCTCAAAATATGCAATTTTGAACTCATTTTTCGTGATTTCATATTGTTCAAAAAGATATAAGAAAATTCTTTTGAACTGAGTGCTGTCTCTACTTTCCAATTTATAGGAATTAGAAATTACTAAACCAGCTCATCACTGGGGTAAAAAAGTAAATGGTTCATATTTGATATTGAGAAAAGAGAGAGAGGAACCTGTGTCAAATATTTTTACTTCAATCTTCTTTTGAAAACGAGAGAGCAAACTGATGGAAGCAGTTTTAGAATAAAAAAGTAAGATCCTATGTACAAAAAATGCAAGAAAATTGTTTGCAGACTTACTTTCAAAATCGACATCTCCAACCAGCTTAAATTGGTTTGCAGATGGGTCCTTAACATGAGATATGCCGACATCAATTATGCAAGCACCTTTTTTCACCATGTGAGCTTGAATCAAGTTTGGGATACCTTTGAAAAGAATAATCAAATACAAAGTAAGGTAAAGGATATGATTATTCTGCCTCTGTAAAGAAAATGACAAATATACATAATAATAGGCAAAAACTTTGAGGGGAACTCAGAAAATCAACTTCTAAACAGGATATCCATGTTATCTTACAATTAAAATTGGTTAAATGGCAAAAAAACGAAAATATCCTTGTTTAATGAAACTTACACTTGATCTGTGTGAAAAATACTTGTTAAATATTTACTCCAGGTGATGTCGATAGCTGATAAAATAACCATAGATGATGTTTGCGAGTCCGTTTGGATGAAGTATTAATTAGAGATAAAAAAATTTCTGAACCTGAAGACAGCTTTTCATTTGCGACACTTTAGGTACCGATGAATAATTATTGAGCCATTAGAACAACAATTTAGTCATCCGAACAGTTTTGACAAATAATTTGCCTCTTAGTGCAATAACAATGGAAAGAAACAAGATCTTACCAACAGCAGAAACCACGATATCTGCATTTTGAAGGTAATGAGTAAGTTGGTCAGGGGGTGTGAATCGATGGCAAATGGTAGTTGTAGCATCCATGCCCAATATATCTCCTGAAAAATTAGGTCAATGAGATTAGCATTAACAAATATGCAATCAACAGAAAAATTTAACCTTACGGAGTAAAAATACATTGTGGTATTAAGAATGTGTCATTTTTCCCCTGAACGATATTCCAATCTCTTCATTCAATAACTTTCTTCATCTCCCCCTTCATTATTTGCCAAAACTTTGAATTTGGGTGACCAACTGTAACATTCAATAAACAATTATTTGACACCCTTTTCCCCTCTACAATTCACAAAACAGAAAATTCTGCCTAACCCCCTTCTGTTTGCAAGGATACCACATTATGTTCCATCTTCCCCTGATGCCCTGTGCCAAATGTGCCTAAAACTTGGAAGGCTGGGCCATCGTTGCATCTAAAAAAGTTGAAGCATGCATTTTTCAAACTCGCAATTGAGGACACCGCACCAAGAACAGCCTATAGGCGTATAGGTCGTTATTACGCCCATCTGCTTTTCGGATTCTACGTACCCTGGACTATGCTGTGGTAGCGATAGAATATAGATAGGTAACGGCTCGAGGTCGAAAAACCTTTTTTTTCCAAGTTAAATCAGGCCTCTGGATCGATGGGTGCAAGAACAACCTATACGCGCAGCCTTATCATTCTCGGTTCGCGGGCATCGGCGCGGCGCGGCGATAGTGATGGCTCGATTTTTTTATCTCATTTTATAAAGATTTGTTTTTATTTCAGAAAAACGAGCTATTGAAATAATTTATTCTCCTCTCAAACTATCCATTCCTCCAAAAATATATACTTCGCATATTGCCACCAAAATGACTGTTGGGCGTAATACGGGCCTATAAACTTAAGGGCCTATAAGGTGCTATAGTTACCCCTTTCTTTACTCACTATCCATATTCTTTCATTTTGCGTTAATCATGCGTGATTAAAATGATTTATACTTCATATTGCCACCAAAATGACTGTTGGACGTAATAATGACCTATAAACCGCTTTTTTAAATTAAATATATTAGAGTGTAAACCCAACATGTATCGCAAAATCTACCCGGCATCCTTCAATAGAAGGGTTAGGTCACCCAAAAACACCAAAACAGGGTACCTGCATAGAAAAGTCTGCGCAGTACATCAAAAAGAAAACTTTAAATGCGTTTTTCTCAAAACGCGGTTGCGGTTTCCAGTTATAGGTTGTTCTTGGTGCCGTGTCCTCAATTGGGAAGCAGCGGTAGCTTATGATACATACGCCACAGATTAATTTGGTTCCTAAAAAATTGTATGTAGACGGCTCCAAAACTTTTGGCAGGAAAGTAGAACACTGATATCTTATGAAGCGTGTCAATGAGCTTTGAGAGAAGATATGAATAAAAGGCCTTCTTCAGATATTTTCTCTTCAGAAGTTCTTTAGGAAAACGAATCACACAACAGGAAGTCTGAAAATAACCTCCTTGACAAGATATAAGTGTTTACAATTAACATTCATTGAATGAAAAAAATTCAACAGACGTCATTTGTATTTATACCACTCACTGAACGTCACTGTAACAGCCTCTGCGGTATGAAAATATGGCAACCTCAATCTCGTTGCTTGGGCTCAGCTGTTACACGTTGTTAACACTCCTTGGAACAACACAAAACAAGGCATTTTCGTTGTGTGGATTGTTTTCTGGATGATGCAGCAGAAACATACACTAGAATGCTTAAAATTTGCACTTTCTCTAGTGGTCTGGTGAAGATAATAGATTTTTGTACCAGCCCTGTTAGAAAGCTCCGAGAAAAATTTGGCGAAGAGCCTTTGCCCTCAAATTCATCAATAAGATTGACAGAAGTGGCAGATGTGTCATAAAGCATTTAAAAAACATAAACTGCATAGCATTACCATGTGTGTCAGAATGCAAAAGCATTGCAATTGGAAGTCCGACATTTTTGGAGCGCCCGCACACAACAGCATTTTTACCTTTGGTTTCAATGCCTGAAATAAAGAAATGAAGTCAGATGAAATGTTAAGACATTCTTTAAGGTGCCCACAGCTTTTTCATACGGTGTCTTCCACTTTTTTACTTCTAGCATATAATGTGAATCTACCATGACAGAAACATTCCTGCATATGATGTACATGTACTGTACCTAACTCAAGTACATGTGACTGAAAGAAACAAAAATGAAAATTGCAAATTCTGAATAAGAATTGCTTCAATATGTAAAAAAAAAAAAAAAAAAAAAAAAAAAAAAAAAAAAAAAAAAATCGGAAAACTGAGAGATCTGCATTCTTACCAGTCCGTAATATTAATTCATGAACTGCAAGTGGGGTTGCCGGGGCCAAAGCACACATATTGAGACTGAAGAGGCCAAAATTACTAGCACTGAATCCATCAACATCTTTGGTGCGTAATACTGAGTTGAATACTTTTTGTTCGTCAATATGCTTTGGCAAAGGAAGCTGAAATAGTAAGGAAATATAACTATACAAAACACCAACAATGGTAATAAAAATATAACAAAGAGTCCGCAGGCTAGATGCAATCTTTCATTTACATCCTGTCATATTTTTTACCCTCCTCTCATGTTTCAGGCTTTATTTCTTTAACAGGGAGCTAAACCACTCGACATTCTGAAACTTTCTGTGATTATGAAGAATGATAAATACATACATTGAAACTTAAAAAAATAAACATTTAAAATGAACTTGTATGACAATAATTGCTAGCAAAATCTCTCAGTCCTTTTAATGCCTCATACTATTTGACCTGTTGTACTGTTTAAATTTACTCACCCAAGTCTAGTGATATACTGCTTACAACCGTTACTTTTACCTTAGATGAATGAAATTGACAGTAACTTTTCCTTTTCATTTGTGTGTAATCATTTCCTGCTACCAACAGTTGGTTCAGATTCTTCAACATTCCTTCCATCAATTTCAGAGAAGTGGTAATTACCTACAAAACATTGTACTGGCCACCTACTCCTCCCCCTAAAAAGTCTGATTTTCCTTGGAAAAGTCAGCTCCTACATTTTTACCGTTACTTTGCATTAATTTTTCAGACTTGTTAAAACATCAAAACTAATAGTTTGAAATGCCCAATGGCACTGAAAAAACCGCTGCAACAACAGTTGACGAATCTTCATTACTGAAGCCTTTGCTGCTTCACAAAAGTCTTGAATCACAAGTTTTAGGATAAAGTAGGCACAAAATTACTCTAGTTTGAACTGAAATTATTCGGAAAAAGTACCTGCACAATAATTCCGTCGACTTTTTCATCATTGTTTAATTTGTTGACTTCTTCCAGTAATTTATCTTGGGATGTTTCTGTTGGCAGGCGAATGGTGTCTGACGATATTCCTGCAAAATATTAAAAATTTAACAGTAGTGGATAATCTATGAAATGAGACCTGTCTTGAAATATGCAACTTTAAAAAGGAAACATGCATTAAAGTGCTTTAATTCATACTTTATCAAGTAGTCCATTGCACTTCATTGGGATCTGAGTAAGTAGCTCCTTACTGTTTGTCCTTTACCCATCATTCAACCATTATTTACTAAATACACTCAAAGTTTGGAGACTCATCATTTGCTATCATCTTTATATAGTCAAACATCATAATCTCGACTTACATATACTATGAATTATATCAAAGAGTGAATATTGGGGTATGAATATCATATTTATCCACAAATATTTTGAGATTTACTTACATTAACTTGAAAAATTTAACATGATAGCTAAAATAAAAGTTTACGTACCTATTTCATCAATTTTTTAAAATTAATTGCAATCTCGAGAAGTTTCCTAAAAGAATTATTCACATCTCACCTGAATACTTTTCAACTATTCATAGAATTTGGTTCCTGAATTTGATAATTTTAAGGCTTACCTTGTAAAAGGTAGCTTGCAGAACAAGTTGTTTGTCAAACACAGAGCAGTTGACACCCTACAAGGAATCAAAGTGGAAGTTTCTCAGCTACATAACTGTGCCAGAGTTCATGCCAACAAATTTTGCACACTACAAAGTGAACACAAGAATCAAGATGGAATGATCTTTGGTGGCACTCTGTGATTACGTAAACTCATTTGATTGTTGAAAATTTGCTAGGTACCAACTTGAAACCTGAAGATATGTTTCCTGAAGTCTTCGTGTGATGTGAGAATAACTATGAAATGATCATAGTTCACTCAAATAGGCGTATTTAAAATACGTACCAACTTTTTTAGCAGCTACCATTTTGTTTCGAACATAAGTTGCACTGGCAGCATTGTCACCAACAAGAATGGCAGTCAAACATGGTGCACGCTTGCCTGCTTTCACGATATCTTCTACTTCTGCTTTTAGGTTCTTTAATATCTCATTTGCAATTTTCTTTCCATCGATAATCGTTGCCTGAGTACTGCAACAAACAAAAACCAATAATTAGAGTTGGTGACTCTGAAACAGTAAAAGTATACCTAGACAAAAGGCTGACAGAGTCAATAAATTTAAGATTATTCATTCAGTTCATTTTTCGTTAGCTCAAACAGGAGGCCTTGTACTGAACCGTCGGTGATGCTGCCAAAGTCAAATTGAGTAACTTTCTTACATTGATTTGAATGTAAATACTCTGGATGTTTTGTCACCTCTGGAGAGCACACTTCCTATTCTGGGACGATGGAAGAGAGCCTTTAAGATGTAATAAATTCATACGAACCTAAGTTGGAAGAAAATCTGACAGTCTGGGCTTATGTAAAAATGCTGTTCTGAAGGAGGAATGCAACTTAGTGCCCATTCTAATCAGATCTCAACGTTGCCTACGAGAATGGAGAGGCCGTCAACTACTATTCTGTGACATCAAGCTATTAGCTAAAACTCAGCTGCGATTCAACATGTGTTCTTGTGGGAGAACGCATGACATATGTTCCTTTTGTGGTAATATCTTTTCGGGGTTGATCTAATGCAAAAATTCATAAGAACCTTTTTGAAAGAACATAAAATTTCACATCAGAAAACTGCCTAGTTCATAAATTACATTGTCTGATTATTGAGGAAATAAAAGCTAAACACGACTAAATACCAAGAATCGTTACCCCACTGAGATTCAAATGCGCCGCTCATGCAACTTCGGCCGATCGACGGCGGCTCTGATTGGTTAACACAGCGATCTCTCTATTAGTTTGACGTTACAGCCTCTCCATTCTCGTAGGCAACAGTCTCAGCTTCGATGCTTCCTTTCTAAATGTGAATCTAAAGATGAAACACATTTCTGCATTGGGATCATAATGAACTTGAATCAAACAGAAAATGTATATTGCAGCAGCATTTGCATGGAAAGGTTTCCAACTTTTACCTCTAATTTTAGTGACAAAATCGAATGAATTCATATCGTAACGCTTGCAATAATCGTAGCTTTTGTATTAGTTTCTAAAAGAGGCAAGATACAGGGATCATGATGATAGAGAATGAATGCATTTAATTCTTACTTCGTGTGCTGGTGTCTGTGAGAACAGCTGGTCCTTAGTACTCCGGTGATCCTACAAAGAATGTTTGATCGATGCATTTTATGGAAGGTAAAAGTTCCTAAGAAGGTTTTCTGCTCTGGACACGAAAAAACAGGACGGACAGCTCCACTTCAGTTCAAAGACTATAATAGCCTCTTAACTTCTCAGAGATAACGACTAGTTGACACAAATCTCACAATTCTTATCACGAATTCACGAGCCGGGTGACGGATGATATGGGAGCATGTCTTTGTATGGGAGCCGCGTAATATTTTAGGTTATGTTATTGTTTATGTTTTGTTCAGTTGCCGCTGCTTAGTTGTTACAAATTATTTCTTGGGAAGTTATTCATTTACTTATTTCTTTCAATTATTTACACAGCATTTGTTTTTTCTCCCCCTTCCCTTCTCAAGCACTGAAAACATTTTCAATTCAGAATAATTCAAATGCTTGCTTCGACCACTTACACCTGGAAATATTGGACCTTCCAGTTCGGGAAACTCTCGACATCCTTGCTCTAAAGTTTTGGCTCGTAAATTGTCTCCTGAATCCTGCAATGGCCCCGAAAAAAGGTGATAATGCAAAAGCCGCGAAAAAAGGCAATTCTAAAGATGAAGCTAGCGGTGGAGCCAAGGAAAAGAAAGGCGGAAATGCGGTCAAGGTATGTCCTATTGTCCATCTCCCTAGGGTAACTATCGTCAATCTAAAACCTATATTCATAATTATAGTCACAAGAATTTTTTATTATAACTTTTTGTACATAATGAGATGATAGGAAATTTTATGCTCTTTCAGCCAGGTCTGTTCTTATGTGAAAGTCGGAAATTTACGAGTAGGTAAATAAAATGAAAATCCTGATGATTAATGGAAAAAAGGAACATAAAAAAGTACTTCTGGAACACCGAGGTGTTATACATTAAGCTTTTTTTTGGACGCAGATTGGTATAATCTGGGAGGGTAAAAAAATTTTTGAGGTGATCTATAGAGGCTTTTCCAATTACGTTTCTCTGCTAAAGCTGAATATGACCTCAGATTTTTCATAGAAAATACTGACTTTCTGGAAAATTAATTTTTTTTTAATGAGAAACTGTTTTACAATGTAAAAGGGCATTTAGAAAAGATTTATTTATCAGCATGGGTCAGTATTTTTTGATTCGGTTGAAATTTGGCAAAGGGTCTTTTTTGATTAAGCGGATCACTCTCAGAGAGTACGGCTAAAAAAATCCCAACATGGCTAGATTTCAGCCACCCTTCATTTTCACATGGCAACGTTAATTTAATCAAATTCCTTTGCGTCCAATTTTCCATTCAACTTTTCATCTTCTTTTGTTGGATGAAAAGTTTAATCGTCTGAACAGGGCTTTAATTTTTAAAATACAAAAACTCAAGCAACTGCCGAATTGAATCGGGGCAACCTGTTTCTAGGATGATTCATTGAGTTTTGAGACTATCACACGAAGAACAGCTTAAGTAAGTATTTTTTATGAATTTCTAAAGTGCTTACTGTCAAACGAGCCTTTGCTGGCATGATCAACATGTGAACTTTAATTTTCCTGTAATACATATCTCTAGATTCTTTGATGATTCCAAACCGTGACCAGACTTAGACTCATTCAATTCTTCAATGCTCTTTTTCAGGTGCGGCACATCTTATGTGAAAAGCAGTCAAAAAGTCTCGAGGCCCTGGAAAAACTGAAAAATGGTGGTAAATTTCCTGAAATTGCTGCCCAGTATAGTGAAGACAAAGCTCGATCAGGGGTAAGTACTTTTATAGTAAAATCATTCTCACATTGTTCGATAGCATAATCTGATGCTTAATTTCATTTTGTATAATTGCATTCAAAGAGGTGTGTGAAAAAACAGCCAAAAATGCCTCAAGGCATTTTCGAATTTTGATCACTTGGGGTGATACAGTAGCTTCCGAGACACCCAAAACCGGTCGCCGTTTTGCTTAGAAGCGCCGGGTTGCGACGTTGCCATTTTTTATAGTGGAAACCTTTAAAAATTCATATCTCCGCCGCATCTCAACCGATTTCAATGAACTTTTTTTTAAAATGTTCCTCTTAAATAGAGCTTTCTAGTGATGTATAGTTTCTTGGGGTTTACTTGGCTTTAAGTGGCACTTACGCGGTTTTAGCAGTTTTTGATAGACACAAAAATTTAGTTTTTATTTTACCACGATCGTGGAATCGACGGAATATAAACAAAAAAACAGTTTAAATGAAAGTTCAGATTTTCACCTTTCTAACGAGCACAAGATCATCGCGGGGAAACATTTAGTTCCCGAGATATGACCGCTCAAAGTTGGTCACATGCGCTTTTGCGCAATGTGAATGCGCCTTATCACTAAGTCATTCGCGAACTGGGGGTCCCTTATGTTCAATTTACGTTGAAATAATTACACAGAGCAGTAAGGTGTACAACACGAGCCGTATTTTCACCTTCGGCTGCCGATGTGCGACGTTGCCATTTTTTGAAGTGAAAACTCTTAAAGATGCATAACTCCGCTGCATTTCAACCGATTTCAATGAACTTTTTTTTAAAATGTTCCTCTTAAATAGAGCTATCTAATGGCATTTAGGTTTCTGGATTTTATTTACCTTAGGGAGGCACTTAGGTCGTTTATATGGTTCTTTTCAGAGATTTTTCATACAAAAAATAGTGTTGCTATTTTTTTTTTTCTCTTTTTTTTCAGGAGGGGGTCTGTATTTCCCCCGATTTTTTTTAACATTCAAACTAGATCCGAAGATCGCCATCGCTTAAAGTATAATGTAAAAATCTTGGTAAATTAGCAACACCACCTTCTCCTGTACAATGAGAGCGTCGCTTTCAATATTTGTACACGTAAGAATAGTGATTAAAAGAATCCCTTTTTTAAAAGTTTTTTCTGTTAAATTTTGCCATTTAAACCCTCCCACAATCCGCCGAGAAAAAAAAACATACATAGCAACACTATTTTTTTCATGAAAAAGCTCTGCAAAGAACCATATAAACGACCTAAGTGCCTCCCTAAGGTAAATAAAATCCAGAAACCTAAATGCCATTAGATAGCTCTATTTAAGAGGAACATTTTAAAAAAAAGTTCATTGAAATCGGTTGAGATGCGGCGGAGATATGAATTTTTAAAGGTTTCCACTATAAAAAATGGCAACGTCGCAACCCGGCGCTTCTAAGCAAAACGGCGACCGGTTTTGGGTGTCTCGGAAGCTACTGTATCACCCCAAGTGATCAAAATTCGAAAATGCCTTGAGGCATTTTTGGCCGTTTTTTCACACACCTCTTTCAAAGATAAAACTTGCTCAACAAGAGATGCTTTCTTCAAAAATTCATTAAAATTTTTGAAAAGGACAGTCAGTGAGTTTTGGAGAGGTAAATTAAAAAACTGATTACAATGGATTTGTCATGTATGAGACCAAAAGGAACTCTTGCATGCATAAGTGATTTGCAATTTCAATGATTTTTTTTTTTTTTTTTTTTTTTTTTTTTTTTTTTTTTTTTTTTTTTTTTTTTTTTTGTAAAATTTTGCGGAGAAAACGATTATGACATTGGTATTCTCTGTAAAACTCCCAACGTAATACAGGGAATACCTTCCATGACGATCTCAACTTAGAGAGATATTTTTGAGCTTGGGAGTTCATTTTAGGAACAACCAGTGGCACTGTCATATTTTTTGCAAAATGTTACCTCTAAAAGATAGATACATTAGAGAGCTCTTTTGTCTAGTTGCATTGCCAATTGAAGTACAGAAAAATGTTTTTCTCCTAATTTATGCAACCTGCTGAGAAATAGTTTCGAAATTTAATTGAGTATTCAAACAAGAGAAAAGAATGGCAGATTCCCAAAATTTAGACAAATGCTCCAAACCCTAAAATATGTCAAGAGACTCTCCATAATTCTCTGCCATCTCCCTATTTGGATAAACTACATTTCCTCAAATCTGATGAAATCAGAGATCAATGAGATCTTCCTTGAAATCATGCTTAATTCAATCATTCTTTGCTTGGCTGGCTTGCAAGATTCTTCAAATTTCATGTTTTGAACCTTTAGTGCCTTCACAAAAATCTAAAATCTCTTTTTTTCAAATGCCTTTTTATAAGAATCCTATCATTCTTTGCAGCAAAAATTATTTGTATCAACTACTTAAAGAGAAGTTTGTGAAATCCTTTGATATTCATCAAAAATATTCTTATGGAACACTTAAACTCAAAGAAGACTCTTAACTTAAAAATGCTGTTTATAAAAAAATTCCTTGATTCTCTGGATGTGGACTTAGTTTAATTCTCTTCCCATTTATTATGTATGTCTGTTGTGTGTTATAGGGTGACCTGGGTTGGATGACACGAGGCTCAATGGTGGGAGCATTTCAAGATGCTGCCTTCGCACTGCCAGTTTCTACTGTGGCCAACCCTGTGTACACTGATCCTCCTGTTAAGACGAAATTTGGTTACCATATCATTATGGTTGAAGGGAAAAAATGATTTTTTTTTCCTGCTGTGATTTGCCTCTTACACCGTGTCAACATTTGTTTCTTGTACAATTTAGTTTTTAAGCGTTTATTTCCTCTAAAATAAAACAATTGTTTTTTTTTTCATCTTAAAGACTGAAGTTTATTCTTGCAAAATTAATCAAGGGCTTTTTAATTTCATCAATGAATTAAATCCAAATCCAATCTTGCAACCTCTTTTCAAAAGTCAATCATCGAATTAAGTTGTCCTACAATTGTAATTTTCTATTGGCAGTATTTTCCAACGCAATCTTCTATTTTTTAAATTATAAGCAACTTTCCAATATTGTCAAAAGAATATTATGGATTTCAGAGAATGAGAACCATCTAAATTTCTTAGATACTTGAACTCATTGTAAACTAATCCGACTTTTGGCGATAGGTTTTGTTTAAATCCCAATTCAGGCGGTCAAACTTTTCTTCCGCTTTCGATGGATGAAAAGTTGCGTCATGTGGTGCAGACATGAAAGCACGACAAGCGGATAGTGTTAAATTGAAACTTGAATCTGACAATACTTTCAACTTTCCATTCAAGAAGCAGCGCTAATCAGATGTAAAGGTGGAAAGATGAAATCTTCTGACCAACATACCCCAATTCTGTATTTTGGTGAATTGGAAACTGATAGAAATATCTGCATGCCAATGTCTATCATTATTATGATATCACAGAGCAATGGTAAATGAATAAAATATGTTTGGATTTTTTTTTTTTGTTCAGCTTTTTATCAATGAAGTGAACCGTCTGTATTGGGCTTAACACCAGCTTCTACCAACAGTGCTGTACATGTGTTCACAAATAATTTGGAGATATGGTATTTTGGGAAGCTGTGAGGAAAAGATGACAAGGCTTAGTAGAAGACCTTTTATTAAGTCAGCGGCCGTTTGTACGACCTAAGTGACTCGTGATCATACAACTGATGAATTTTTTCATACATGAATCGAAAAAAAAACAACAGATCATCATAGGCATTATCATAAACTAGACTATCATCACAACTTACTCTGTTTAGGGTGGAATCTGTTACCGTCAAGCCCGGCTGACCACTATCTTCGGACTTAGTCTTCTCTTTATTCAGATGTAGTTTTAAAGCAGCTTGATAATCAATCAACAGTTGATGGATGGCTTCTATCGTAGCTAAATACCATCTTGGACTGCCCCGTTGATGCCTCCAAAACTGAGATATTCGAGATCGTAGCACAAAGCATGTCAAACCTAAGAAAATTGGAAACCATAAAATTTGCCAAATTATTAAAATTAAACTGAATTTCCTTCACAATGTATGCACTGGGGTTACTAACAGGATATTTTGGAGTCATTGAACTGAAAAGGAAATACAAAAATTGATGGTTGGCAGCCCTTATCAGCTGTCATGGCGCCTGCTGGTCTTGCCTCCTCATTGGCTGCAAACTCATGCTTTGTATGCGTCTGAACTTAGACCTCATTGGTCGCCCATCTTCTGTACCAATTTGTATTTTCACTCCACAAACTTCTATTTCATAGATTGGAGCGTGTTGCTTATTGGCATCCTCTCATGGAGTAATTTCTTCGGGAATGAAAATAGTGAAAGTTGATTACTGGTTTAGACTATGTCAACATATTCCAATACATTTCTACTTCACATTTTCAAAAAGTTCGTTTTTCAATTATTTAACCCTTTTTTTTCCTATCTTCTTATAAATCAACATTAATTTTAATTACTGAACTTGCAGCTGAGAGTTACACAGATTATAGCCAGTCAATCACGCGCAGGCTTGTTGTCTCACCACCCGTGACGTCAGCAAGACTATATAAGCAAGGGTTGCCCTAAAATCTAGGTCTGTCACTTTATTCCATCTCTCTGAACTCTTGTGAATTTTTCTGAACATCTAGACCCGTGGAACGTACACGTACACTCTCTCTCACGCCCTTAATAATTTTGTGCCCTTCCTCGCAACATCACGCTTTTCTTTTAAGTGATTTGTTTTCCGAACTGTTATGTGATTTCTGTGCTCTCATTTTTCGACAATACAAGCGAATTCATCTCAAGAAGATCCAGTGTCCTTATTTGATCCACGTCTCTCTGTAGTTTGTTGTTCCTGCTCAAAGAGCAACTGGTGCCGAAAACATTTCTTTTAAAAAAACTCTCGCTATAACATCGTGCGACGTTTTTTTTATTAAAACTCTCGTCGCTAACATAGTGTCGAACACTTTGACGTTAACATGGTTTCGAAACCCAGTTCTCGACCCTAACAAGAAGGATTCATATCAGTTCATGCTATGTGCTGGAGACAACTGTTCTGCCTTCCCTGGGCGCTATCCTTAAAATAATTCATTGTTATCATTGTATACGAGATGAAGAATCAACGTTAGCCGGGTTGAAGACAGAACAAGAGATTCAATACTTACTTTGAATACGCGAATCCTTGTAGATCCCTTTACTTTGATTCCAAGTGCTATCAATGAATACAGCTTTCTTGATTTCATGGATTCGTAGACGTTCAGAGCAGTTTTTGGAAGGATCGACACAATCTTCCAAACTTACAGCGCTTTTATTGGGGTAGATAAGGATTACCTGAAAAATGCCAAACACATCTTGTTTTAAATCACTAAATAGAGAAGAGAGGAATGAACTTCGAAAATTGTGATATGTTAAGGGCAGTTTTCTTCAAGTATGAAATAAAGGTGTTCTTGAAACCATTAAAGCAATAAATTTCATGAAATATTTATGTCTTTATGGGTGACGAGAAACAAGATATATATTTCAGCTTTTTTGAATTGAAAGACAAGCAGAATGGCTGATAAAACTTAGCTATCATATCAATAATGTCATTAAATTTTAATTTTGGGTGGTATCTGAAAAATTTGTAAGGCAACTTAGAAATTGCAAAAACCAAAATATACATCTAATGCTAACTAGAGCCACAAAAAGCTCAAAATAGCTGACAAATGAAAGAGGCACATGGCAATTCAGCAGTCAGTTTAGAGACAGATTTAGGATTTTGTGGGGCAATCTGTGGTGCAGCTTCCTCAAATGTACACTTCCCCAGACAGGAGGGAGTTAGTAATAGAATTTGGGAATCCTAAGGGTTTTCATTTGAAATTTTCAGCGATAGGATGAATTTTTCATGGTGTGTGACTTTACATTGTAAGTTCTATTCTAATGTTGGTGTTATATAAATTTATTTATAGGTGCTTTAATAATTAACAGGCATTAACACATAGAGCAGAGATCAAAAGGAGAAGTACACAAATTGAAAGAATAAGGGAAAAGAAAAAAAATAAATTAAATTTGAAGATTAAGTTGTTTGAAAAAAGGAGGGATTTGATGAGAAAATTTTGAAACTATGGTACCTATTGAGATCAGAAAGAGGAGGGAAAATATTGGATCTTAGTTGTTGGTAGGTAGGACAATATGCTGCACAAAACCAGTGCAAGTATGCATATACTAAAAAACCAGTCCGGGCTTTGAAGATGAAAATCTTGAGTAAAGAGGCTAGATTAACAACAGTAAAATGCAATTATTTCTGGTGAGTGTGGGTTATAGGATGTGGACCAGTGTTAAAGAAAGAAATTGGCTTGAGAATGTAAAAAGGATAAGAGGCTAGCTTATGTTGGGACAACCAAAAGAGAAGAGAATGCTAGGATGATTTCTCAAGAGATGAGCACAGAGATCTCATCCCTGAAAGACGAATGAATGTATTTTTATGTGTTATTTTTTGATGACTTTTAGTTGGGATGAAGACTGATCTTTATTTTCTTCTTTTCAGGAATGTCTGATATGGTGAGAGCTGGAAAACAGGGTTTGTCCTGGGAGAAAAAGAAGGGGAAGGTTACATTTTTGGGAATTTAGCGATGCAGATCTTTTCTTTGAGAATTGTATACAATTTTCGGCTAATGTCTTAATTTCACAGATTGGATAGTTCTGAGCTCTTAACAGACTACTGCAAGAATTAAACTGGGAAGAAATTTCCTACACATACTTACACCAGGCTCTGTTGAGTAATCTGGTATATCAGGGTAGGTGTAGATGGTGACGTCTTCTGGTGCAATGATGGCAGCATGAATTGCAGTGCTCTTTCCATCAATTTCTCTACAATGTTTGATAATATCAATTTTCAGAGGCAACTGTAAAACACAGGTAAAAATATGAAGTGGGAAAAATTAGATGTGTCAGTTTTTGGTAGTACGATCACGCCAGAGAAACATTACTGGAGAAACACACAATAATCAGGGTTATGATTTTTGAGCTAGTGATTAGTGAATCACTGACATGTAGTGACATACTAAGCCATGCAACAGTTCAATATTCTGTCTTCCAAGGAGAAGGATCAGAATAGCATTGGATACTGTTGCTTAAACCATATCATCCATTTAAATTTATACAACCTCCTCATTTGTTATCGAATAAACTTCCACTGGTTTCTTCATCTAAATCAGCATCTAATATGATGAAAAAGGGCTCATCAAATGGTAGCACTAAATTTAAGTTTCCACATAGTTATCAAAAATATGCTCCATACTATTACTTTACAGCCATTCAAGTTCCTACTTAACTTTCTCCGGCACTATTGTGATACTTAGGGTTATGATTACTCCAGGAGTCTGGCCAAAAGGGCTCTACTCTACACGGTTTAAACTTTGTCTTTCTCTACTCTGTGTTGCGATTATATTTGTAGAAATAAATAAATAAATAAATAAATAAAAATTAAAAATACCACTAGGTTAATGTGCAAGATCAAAACCTGATCATGAAGATTACTCTTCGGTATGTAAAATGTCAATACCTACAAAAGAAAGTAGTATAAGAGTGTATACTTACAGATATCTTTGGTAAAAGCAGCTTCACATTTTCTAAAGGTAAACAACAAGTATAGCAAAAATATTTACGAGATTTGTGACATTTCGAACATGGTGATCTTTCTTCAATATCTTCCAAACGCTTCCAGTTATCATTAATTTTGAATGAACCAAATGGATTTCTGTCTACTTCAGCGCGCAAAGTTTCTTCATTGAGTTTGTACAGCTCTCGAGGATTCATGATTTACCAATTAGATGCACCTCACATTTAAAAAATGACTATTATACAGTGAAGTAAGCATTACTGCAAAATAATAAGCATGTACACAATCTCAGCAGCACCTTCAGCGCTTAAATCTCAATGACTAACTTCATGATCACCGGGACATTGTTCATTTGTGGAATGAAAATAAGAAAAACTACTGGCACAAAACTTAATATATGCAAAAGTAAAAGTGACCAAGGCACAGTATTGTATTTGCATAAAAAAAGGACAAAAATGAGGGAAAGTTGTAAAAATGTGAGTAAACATAACCTTAACTCAGCCCCGTGTGCTACGTTGCCGCTATTTGTTTAAAAATGGGATGAAGTTAGAATTCTTATGGTATTTCTTCATTGACGTATAATACAATCTAGACCGCGCATTACGAAATTCAAGCGAGACGATAGGCAACCCAGCAACACACAGCAAGTGTACCGGCGAGACAATGGTGGAATTCGTGGAAATGCCAGTCTTGCCAGTGCCGTTGCCTGATACGGGTACACTTAGCTCGTATATCCGGCGGTATCAACTAGGCTGAAGGCGCGTCTTTACCCCCCTAGCTGTCTTACCTTCCCCGCCTAAAGTCGGGCCCAATGCGCGGTCTAGATTGTATTATACGTCAATGTATTTCTTTGTATATTTTTTATATCAGGGCAACACTGTCTCAGCAATTGCTGTTTGTTGCATTGCCTCCGGTGTTGCAGATGAGTGATTAAAATTCGGTAAACAAAGAATCTTATCAAACTCTCCGCGCGTTTGCATGCTCATTGCTCAGAACATTGAGGAACAACGACTTTCATTAAAAATTGCATGTAAATTCTCTTAAATAGTCCAAGTCCACATTATTCCAGCATATATAGTTTCATTTCCCATCGAATCGAAGTTACAACGTGCAGTGATATTTTCCTCCCTTTGTTTCTTTTTAATTTTAATTCAATTGCTAGTTTGACATCTCACTGTTGTGACTTTTCATCATACTTTGCTGAGTTATTTTTCCTTTGACAATGCTCTGCTCTAACTCCAGTGATAGGAAAAGAGTGCTAATAGCCTCTGAATCAAATGATTTTTTAATGAAACATAAATCTAGTTACTGAATTTAAGCATGATGTTGGTGCCCTAATTTCAGCTCCGCAACAAGGTAAGACACGAAGGTTTTATATACAAGGAAGTAGGTATCGTCACCTTCTGGCAAAAGTATCACAAGCGCCACTCAGCCAATTTTTCAGGAGACTTGAAAAAACTGATTTGCGATGGCATGAGAAGGAGTTTTGATTGAGTATCAAAGTTTTTTGGAGTTTTTTGAGTTTTAATTGGAGTTTTGTTTGAGGAGTATTGATATTAATCAAGCACAACTTCCAACCTTGAATTTTATTAATATTTCTTTAAACAAATATTTTTTCCGTTGCAAATTGCCACATGTGATACCGCATGCTCTGGGCATTCTGAAAACCCTTGGAGCTTATGATATGGAAACTCATCAAATTTAATGGAGTTTTTCCCATATTTATTCATATTCATTGTGAAAAAATTTGTTATTTTTGTCTGCAAACGGATCTTATTAATTCAAAACCATCCATGAATCAATTTCGATACAAATAGAGCTTGTGATACTCTGGTCAGAAAGTAACAAATTGCTATAGGTCATTCCAAGCATTGTTGATACTAAAATTGTAACAACAATCCTAAGGATAAGCTGCTACCCAATTTGGTGCTTTTGATACCTTGCTCTTACATAGATCATTGGATTTACGTATATTTATTCATATTCTAAAATAAATATTATATTTGATATAATGAGATGCGCGTATGCACGAAAATAATTCAGCTTCAAGTCATACGGAGGGTTGCTGTAACTGAAATTGAAAGCAATCAGAAAGGTGAGTGGTTCCAGAACTCGGTGCTTGTGATACTTTCCTCCTATGTTGATGACGCTTGTGATACAAAAGTACATAAACTTTAATCAAGTTTTATTCATTTTTCTAAATTTTTGTTCTGAAAAAAGTTATTATTATCTTATGGGGCCATCCTTAAATTACGCATCGCACTTTTCCAAATATTTAGACCCCCCTCTCCCCTCGTAAGGCATCCCTTACCCCTCCTCTAAAAAGTACGTAAGGCTCGACTGACCCATCCCCCCCTTTTTTTCAATTTATCGCAGATCTAAGCATTAAGCTTTCCTATTGAAAAACAATGAAATTTTTAGGCCAAAGTTTTTATTAATGAAACTAAATTTTTGAAGTAAGTTCATAGGAAATATTAATGATACAATTAGCTCAATAAACAAAAATACATGGAGCAGAATTGAAGATTTTTTTGTCTTTGGAATAGTTAAAAGTATTAAGTTGACACAAGAATGAAGTCTTCAATCATTATCCCATGGGGTGGAAAAGTGGGAATCAAAAGAAAAGACAGGAGCATGGTCCGATTGGTCAGCAATCGGTGATGAGCTGATTTCCTCTATTTCACCTTGAATTTTACTATCAATCTGACAAAAAATTGATTTTTGCATTTTTCTTCAATATAGACTGGAAAGCTCATTTAAGGCTCAGTCCTAAACCCTCCCCCTTCCCTCTTTGCGAGGTACCACAAGGCTATTGGAGACCCCCCCCCCCCCAAGAGCCTTAAGTAATTTATGGCCGGCCCCCATGTATACGCTTCTTGGTATTTCGAAACTATTCACAACTCAGTTTGGTGAAAATGGTGCTTGTGATACTTTGGCCGTAAGGTGACGATGTCAGGTCACATCGTCTTAATTTAAATTTTAGCTGAACAAGTAGATTTCCATTAATTCCTAAGGTTGTGTTAGGATTATCTTTGTCATGTAGACAATCGACATCACTCATTCTCACCAAAGTCCGCCCTGGACTAATGAGGGATTAGTAATGTCATCGATCCAGCATTGATGGTCGAACTCTTAAACCATGCAACCTTCTGTAATTTCTACATTTCAATATTTTTAGAAAAACAGTAAAACTTTATATGATGCTGGACATGTTTTCATTACAACAACTTATAAAGTGGTAAAGAAAATTTGGTGGAAATGGTGAAATGTTGCAGATGAAACAAGCAATTTTTTAGGGAATTCATCAGAACATTTAGTCCACGTCCAAGAAGAAACCAAAACAAATAAGTTTGGTTTCTAAATCCAAATCTGTGTAGGTCTCATCAGAGATTGAAAACTGTTCAGTAAATTAACAATTCAAGGTGTTGAATGCTGTAGGTAAGTGTCAGACAGATGGCTGAGCAAAATTTTATCTCGGCTACAATATTTTGAAGTTGTATACATATATCTTAATCATAAAATTTTATAAAATCAGTTCAACACTCAATTTTCCTTGAGTACACTTTGGTTTCTTCAAAAGCGAAAGGTTCAAAATAGTGCTCAATGTGTCCAAGCACTGTATTCTATGTAAAATTTGTATCAGAAAACTGATGCTTGTTTTTATTTATTTTCTTGTGATCCATCACAAAAGCTATTGATCAGGTAATGGAGCAAGCATTGATCATTACCATTTGTGCATATTTTATGGTTTCAGATGATTCCCTGGAACAAATTTCACTCCATGTCAAGAACCAATTTGGTTAGGTCTATGACCACCAGAGTTCAACAACTTTTTTGTCAAACTGGATGGCCAGAAAGTGAATCTCTTTCACAGCAAATTACTGCAGATATAAAAACTGAACTGGAAACAACACTCGGTAAGTCTATGCCTTATTTCCAAATTTGCCATGTTGCTTTCTCGGTTATCTAACTTAACTGCCAGTTTCATCAGATTTTGCAGAGCAAGGTAAAACAGGACAGGAAAATGTGAGCAATACAAGAGAGGAGTTTACAATAATATTAGGAGTGTACTGGCAGCGACATTAGCAGTGTTATTAGAACATTTTGGCAACGTTGTTAATGAGCAATTATTAGCTGAATCCAACTTTCTTCGTCTACATTTTTCTGCAATGAATATTTTTATTAGGTATTTAATTTTGCTCAACTATTTTTTCTTTTAAATTTTGTAGATTGTCCCAGATACATTGCCCAACACATAGCTGTAACCAACCACACTCTCCGGCAACAGGGCGTAGCCACTTTGAAGGAAAACGCGATATTTTTACAGGTGAGGAACAAATTTTATTCTTGGGTAGATGACTATTTATCAGTGTCAATTTAAGGTTACCTTTGAGCTCTCGTGTGCAGAAATATAATTTCAGCCAAATTTTAAGGGAAACTAAAGTTGTTCGGAGGAACCGAGTGTTGTTTGGGAGATGGTGAACTTCATAAAATCTTACGCAATTTCCTCTAGTCATCATAATTCTCTAAAATTAAGTCCAAGAGAGTCAACTCTTAAATTCTTCCTCCCCTCCCACCTGAGCTGCCTTTTTTGAATGATGATCTTGCTCTTGTGACGAAAACATTAACAAATAATATTTTGACCCTGGCAAATCATCGCAATTCAGTGTCTGTATTTCTCTTATTTCAGGTCTACCATACCTAAGCCCTCCTAAACATGATCAGCTCTGAATACTTTCCTCATTTTTTAACAAATTACCACCAGAATATGCTCTATTGAGAACTCATGTAATACCTAGTTTTTTCACAGATAGAGGAAATTCTAATTTCTGTTGTTTCAATTCCTAATCCGCAGCTCCTGTTAGGTGCTTATTTATTTTACTGTATTTGCTTATTTATTTTTATTTTTTTTGAGCCATGGAAGGACCTTTGGGAGTTTTAGTGCTCAGCTTCCTTAGATGAAGTCAAGGCTGAGAAAAGTGCTATGAAATGAAGTGGACAGTATATATTCAATTGCAGATTTCACTGCATAAACAAGCAAAGTTATTTTCAGTATCAAAAACTTGAAACTTTTTTAAAGTGATAGCACATGTAATAGACAAGAAAAAAATTGAAAGAGAGATTGTTTTCCAGCCTCTCTCCCTTCCTAGCTAATCTATGGTATACTAGTGCTTTTTCCCCTCTTAACCATGAAATGACAAATCCAAAAAAATTTGATGTGTGTAAGGTGGGTAAGTAGTATTGAAAATTGTTTGACAGGTATTTGTTTTGGCAATTTAATCATTTATCTGTTTATCATTTTTTTTTTTTCAGTATGCAACATATGCAAACAAAACAATTTATAACTACCCTGAAATTCTCACGCTCAATCCAACAACTTTGATGAACCGCTTGACCATTTGTCGAGAGTGTCACATTCATTTGTCGCTCCCTGTTCTGTATAAGTAAGTTGAATTATCATCCTCCACTTTTCTATCGAATTTTCATGGGAATTAATAGAAAACAGCCAGTAGAAATATCAGAGCTAACTGATTAGATACACTTTTTTGTAGTTACCATGTGCTGTGTGCCCCTTCATTTTTTTTAAAGTAGTGTTTTTAGCCTCTTTGGATCTCAATGAAAGCCATCTAGACTTGCATTAAAATGTTGATACTCAGCATACCAATGGTAAATTAAATAATTGTGAACAATGATTTGCAATGGTCTAATCTCTTATGTTTCTATGTTCCGGTTTTATTTCATTTCTTTTTTTTTAAGAAAACAATTTAATAGCTTTTCCTAAAATTGTATGTGAATTTTCTTTCGTTTTTGAGAAATGCTTTTAGGAAACTTTAAAGATACTTTTTGGTTTGGTTTCTCTCAAAATTATGAAACAACATCGGTTTTTTTTTACCGTCATAATGGAGTAATGCATTTCTCAATTTAGCTGCATGTATATTTCGACAACTTACATTGATAATGATGGAAGTGAAATTCCTAAATGGAGAGGTGAGGTAATAAACTGCATGCTGAAGTTTTACTAAAATTTCTTCTTTTTTCAGTTTTGAAGATTGCAACAAAGCCTCAATTGCCTTATTGAGAGCATATTCATTGATACCTGCAGATTGGGATGTTATAAGCAATCTCATAAAAAGAGCTCAGGGCCTAGAGGAGCATTCCCTTGATGTGCCTCCTCTAACAGAGAAGAACACTTTGGATGCTATATATCTGGCTGTGATAAAAGCATATCTGAAAAGAAAAATGCGGTTGCAACATGAACATCTTTTGAACAAACTAACCAAGAATCACGTCCGGGATCTAAGTTTTACCGCATTCAAGTCGAACTTATTCTACCTCCTTAACTTTGCTGGCTTCACCAGAGAAATGGTAAGGAATTTTTACTGACTTTGCTTACCTTGACTTTAGCTGTAACTAGCTTTTACTATGACTTAACCAGAATCAGCCTAACTATGTAAGGTGTTGCCTAATTTTCTTTCTTAATTCATTTTTAACAGAAACCTATGCACTATTCTAAATTAAAATTTTGTGAATATATTTTTTATTTTCATAGGAAACTTCACCGAAATTTTTAAAATGTTATGTTCCTTTAGTTTTCTGTCAGTAAAATGAGACATGAGAAAATATTATGCAACATGAAATGTAGTTTGACTACATTGGAACATGGTACATTGGTACATGTTGCAGGAATCAAAAAGCAAAAAAATTTAGAGTCTAGTAATTTCATTACGGCAGAATAATGAAAAATTGTTCAAATCTCACGCTCAGCAGTACATTTCACTGTTTAAACTGCAACTGGAAAATGAAAGGGCAAGAAAACAGACCTTGCACTTTCAAGCCTAAGTTCTGCATACTGAAAAAAAGTCTTATATGGTGCATGGTAGAGAGTCTCTGAGAGGAAGTCAAGAAAATTATTTTTATTGAATTTTTCGATATCCAAAAGGAAAAACTTCGATTTGGGTTTAAAAATAAAATGTGTGAAAAATTCTTTGAAAAAAAAAAAAAAAAAAAAAAAAAAAAAAAAATATCTTTGGGTATTTACTCTATTGAGGAAAGTGTTGTAAATGCAGAAAATTGCCAACATCACAGAATTTGGTCAATTTTTTATTGTATTTCCGGAAGTGCAATTTCAGTCAAGGGGCAAAGGTTGCTCTTTGGTATCATCAGGATGTGCACAAAAGCGTTTTTTGGTCAGACTTTGTCTTTCAGTTCCTTTTGTTACTTATATAGGAACTTTTTATTTTTTGTTCTTTCCAAATTTTAAATTTAGCCCCTCAGATTTTGACTTGTGAAAGGCATTGGTAGCTCTATTGTCCCTTGGAAAACAAAATTAAACATTTTGCTGGCGACAGACAACTCCATCTGGCTCTGCCTTTTTATAGATGACTCGTCAGAAAACTCAGACTCAGAAACTGAGACTTTTTCCAATTTTCAGCTGTGAAAATTTGCTCCTGCCTATCTCAATATGCAACAAGAAAGGCAAGGTGAAAATTAGTGAAAAAAGATAGCAATCAAAAAATTTTCTCGATGAAATGACGCTTTTGGGTTAAATAAAAATTATTAAGTACAGGGGCTTTTGTATTTTTCTGAAAAAGTGTAAAAACTTTAGAGTAAGTACTTGAACAGCTAAATAAACCTGTTTGTTATCTGTTAAAATTTTAGGTTCTTGCTAATTTTCGGTTCATGAAATATATGAATGCAGGGTCTTTATTTAATTTAATGAAGTTTTATCAATCAAGAGGATGCAACTTCCCAAGTTTTCTACGCCAGAAACCTATTTTACTCACTTTGCAATACTCACAAGCACAATCGATACTTTCTGTTCTAGAGGTAATGTATAATATGTCTTCTTGTCTGATTCTCTAATTCAGTTGTATATGCTAATCGCTTCATAAGTGTGATGTTTAAACAAGTCTCATTATTAGTTGATCTAAATCAGAACGTAGGCAAAAAGCCCAACAAAAAGTAAAAACGCACTAGGAATAAAAAAAAATGCATGGAAACGAAGAAGTAAGGTCTGTACTAAGAGATATAAAGACAACCCAACCATTAGCTCAACAAAATATTATAGAAGATGTAAATAGATTGTCATGATGGAACATTTTAATGGCTAACACTGGAATTAATTGACTACTAGAAAAGGTATGACTTTATGCAGTCTAATTAGATAATGATGGCCTATGTTCAAAACCACGTATCTAAATTGCGGTGTCTAAAAATTTCTGCTCCTATTTTATTTTTTGGAAGAAAAACAAGTTAACTTCATTGCTCAAAATTCATACAAAATATTCTGCTAACAGCGAAGAAACATCAAGGCAGTTTTCAAGAAATTACGCTACTTAGTTTACCGATATCTATCTTGCAAGTTTTCTCTTTCAAATTTTGAGTGGAAAACATGCGCACAACAGCAGGTTTTTAAATAAACTTGTAAACAATGTATAAATGTTTGCAAACAACACCAGTCAAATGGCAAAATACAAATGATGTCTTTTGTTTGTTTTTATTATCCAGTGGCTCAGTGTTACAAGTTGACATTAATACCTTGCTTAGAAGTCTATGTCGGAGCTTGCTGTTGCGTAAATCATTTTCTACAAAAACTTTGGAGAGAACTCATGCAGTTTAGTGTTTTAATCCAAATCTTGTTTAGTGACATGTAGCAATCCTGGTAGTAGTTAGCTTTATCTTTAAAACCATTATATTTATTTGTATTCAGTCCTAAAGTTAGACTTTTGTTTAACATTGTTACCAGGAATTCAATGTGCCTTGCGATGTATCATTGAGTACACCTAAAGTATTCACACTTTCACCATATGTACTGCGAGAGAGACTGAAAGTTCTCTGCAGTCACAAAGAAATCGAAATCTTTAAATTTCATCCACGCTTCCTAGAATGTACTCTAAAAGTAGACTTCGTCATAAAACAATTGAATTGGTGTCGCCAGCTTGATTTCAAGAAATTGTCCATGTCACTCCTGTTAGACAACAGTGGGTAAGTTATGATTTTCAATAAGACCAATGCATTTTTGAGAAGGTCGCTTAGCGTAGAAATATCTTTTTTTTAAATGTGGTAGAGAGAAAGAAATGTAGGTGTATATTTAATTCTTAACTTTTTTTTTCTTTTTTCTTGTATATAATAGAAAAATTCTCCTCAAATCTTTCTTTTTCAACAAGCGGGAGATTTTCAATGTAGCCAAAGAGCCCAAGTCAAAGGATACCGAATTTTTTTTTTTTTTTTCATGCTTTCAGAGAGTTCACCTTGCGAACAAGTCGGACTGGTACAGACGATCTTTTGATTTACTTAGGAAAACAGTTTTGTAAAGCAGACGCAGATATTGTTGTAAGGTTAAATCGGCATCCATACTGGCGGACAGTTCCTCTCATTCAAGTTGATGAGACTCTTCAATTTCTTCTAAACAACAACTTTACCAAAGAAGATATCTACAAGTCAATACACATAGTGCTTTATCCTAGGTACGTTTTCTTTCATCCTCTTTTGTTGAAACATAAGAAAAATGTTCCTCTTCTCGGAGACAATTTTTTGATAGGCAGAATGAAATTAGACCAAAAACATCGATAAGCTATCAAAGAAATCTCCTTGATGAAATACTAGGCCACAAAATCGAAAGAGAGATCCAAGAAAAAGGTGTTCTCATTGATAATTGACCCCTAGGAATCCGAATCTACCAGTTTCAAAGCCCTCTGGAGCCTCGCTGAGGGCTCTAAACTTATAAATTTGACAAGTCCTGGGCTTATCCAGTACCTTATTGGCAAGGCTCTAGAAGGCTCCGGACAAATTTGGATTCTTTGGGGTAAATTACATATGAAAACACCATTTTCCCAGGTCTCTGCGTCGGTTTGGTAACGGAGCATACTACCGAAGGGGATACTTTCAAAACTTAAGGGACAGTAAAATTCAGACTCCTTGAAGTCAATTCCTTATTCACCCCCAACGGTCCCAGACCTCATCCAATTGAAATTAAACATGGAAAAAGCCCGGTACAGCAGGTTTGGGATACTTTGTAGCTGCATATATGTAATTTTCAGAGAATATTGAAGGAAGGAAGAAAATCTGATAGAAAAGTATAATGGGTAATGGAGATTGGTTCGCCCTTGTAATACTAAAATACACATTATACTACAGGAAATCAGTATTCCCAATTGCAAGTATTTTTGTGTCCCATTTACCGAATTGAACAGATAACCAAGGGAAGAAAAACATTACGGAGCCATGAATCAAGAGGATGTTTAAAGTTCCATAATAATACCTTTAAATCCCTGACTCCATAAATGCTGTCTTTTAAATATGTAATCAGATCTGTGACAAGGGATCTTATCTTTCAGTAGAAAATTTTCTGTAACTTGTTGCTAATGTATGTAGAAAGAAAATGTTGAAATTTTGTCACAAATTTTACTTTAAAATCTCAAAAATTAAAGGAATTACTAGTCCTAAAGTTCTAAGACAAATATTTGTAGGGTGTAGAAAAACACGGTTTAAGTGTTTGGCTGTTTGCAAAAAGTTAAGGAAAATTTTATTTCCAAAGATAAGGTCACTTTTCCCAGATTCGATCCCATATTGACAGTGAAACTCCCAAACCACGTATTTCTTGGCTTACGACGTTACAAGCTTTCTGTCTTGCTTTTTTTCTCAATGGAAAACTACTCAAAGTCAATTATTCTTAAAAACTTTTTGGGGGTTTTTTCTTCTTCCAAAGAATATTCTATGAAAATCTCAAGAAATTATGTTGATTTATTCTCATTTAAAAAATAAAATGGAAGCAGAGATTTCAAAACACAGCAAGTGAGCTACGTAATTTGAGAGTTTCATTGTCAATATGTATTAAGGGTTCAGTGCAAGCTTTTCACCATTGTTTTTTTTTTCCTCCCGGCAGAGTTCGCATTGAAATGGAATTAGCATCGCTGAATCGACGTAAATTTACTGTGTGCCGTGATGCACCAGACACCTCTGTGCCAGGCTTTACCGTGTCGCCAGTAGTCAAGAAAGAATTCATATTACCTCTGATACTATACTTCATGGAGAAAGAGACCAACTTCGCCTTTGATGCTATCTGGATTGACAACAAAATTGTAGAAAAAGATGATGAATGTGAGTTAAATGATGATATCCCGGAAGAAGTTTTTCACAACTATGCAAAGCATCCGATGCCCAAGGCAAGCCCGGCTGCTGACGCAAAACAAGCCCAGTTTGTAACTTGATCAATGTTTTTCTCTATTTTTGTTAATATAAACACCTTTTGTTTTCCTGATATGTCAGTGTCTTTTTCTAAACATTTATTTTTGTTACTTTATACAATATCACTATTGGCTAGATGTTTTAAAGAGGAAAAAACTCTGGAAATTTTAGTGTAAGTTTGACCCTGAAAGATTAAAAATTGAGGGAGGCATTATTCCCTGACAAGACAAAAAAGACAAAGACAAAGTTATGAAAAATTCTCTTGAAAGATCAGGTACCATTATACAGATCACGTCCTGAACTACTACTATGCTCCTTTCACGTCCGTGAAAGTAGCATCCTACATTTGTTATTGCTGAAATCGATTATTTGCAGTGATCCGTGGACAATCCTAAAAATCCTTTTTCTCTCAAAGTAGTGATGAGCCTGGTGAAAGTTTACTGCTCAATATGAACACAGATACCGTATAGTTTAGGGAAGGAGAAACTCCGAGGACTTTTACCCTGCAAATTGTGCATGAAAATGACCTTAAATACGCAACTCTTCCGCGACAACCGGAATTTTTCCCAGGGGAGCGCACAAAGTGATTTTCCTCGTCTTGAAGCGTCCATTTGGGGTTAATCCCTCAAGATATGTCGAAATGGAGGCTTTTTTTGACCAAGAACCCCAACTCAGCAACATACCTACTCAGTCAATGAATTTTGCCTAACCTTGACAAGTCGGAAAAAGTTAGAGAATTTTGCAGCGGCAATTTTTGTCCTCGGCCCGAGCATAGGATTTTTTCACTTTTAAGATAGGTACCTGCTTTGTGCTCAGACCTATTTAACCACGACTTTATCAGAAATCATGCCTAAAAAGCACTGAAAATCTGGAGAAAAGTCGAGTATTTTTGTGTTCAAAATATCTAAAAAGTTAGTGAATTTTGAATCCAAGAAAGCTTTTTAACCTGCAGACAGCGATGATCACGATTGTTTGGCGATACCGGTCCCGCAAATTTCCGGAAATTTTATAGGTAGTAATTTGCGGGATTGGCATCCGCGATGACTTTGTTGGAATGTTTTTAGTGGAAAATTTTTACCATTTGGTAGCACTGCGTAATGGAATATGGCTCATCCGAAATTGGAGGATTTCATGGTGAACAAGATTGATAATTCAACGTGGGAAACATAGAGAACCGTACTGCCGTGCTAAGGAAGAACGCCGTATGAACCTTTAGGCGTTGCCAAATTTCCTTTGATAAAACGCGAATTTCCTGGTAAACTTATGCTATTTTTTCTTCCAATTTTTCACATTATTTTGTCCGTAATTTTACCTAAAGTTCCTGCAAATTTCAAAGAAAAATATTCATAACTTTCCTCAAAAATAAACATTTTATCGGAAGAAATATGACAACTCTCGTATGCTCATACGGCGTTCTTCCTTAGCACAGCAGCGTAGAGAATCGTAACCATACGTTGTCCTCAAGAAAATCAAAATGCCTGCAATTTTACGTGTATGCAACACGGACATCCCGAAAACCTGATTAGTTGATTCCAGTCACAGGCATTGAAGAAAGACGGAGAGTCTTTAATTTTTCCCGCTTTGTGATAGTAAAATGTGTCACGCATTGCATTCATGCGTCGTCGTTGTACGTTGAAAGGACGGATTGAGAATTCAATCAAATTTAATGAAGGAAATAAGTAAATTAATAATAAATCTCTAAAGAAAATGGAGATTCTTCATGCGGCAGTCCCGCACTTCACTTTTACCTTAATCTTCTCCCTCAATTGGCCTGTGTCACACTATCAAAATTAGCCATCAAAATATCAAGGTCAGGTGTTGTGATTGGCTCATTCGATGACTTGGACCAATCACAGCACTTGACCTTGACATTTTGATGGAGTATTTTGATAGTGTGACATAGGCTATACTCATGGAAATATTTAAAAGTCGTATCTTAGTAATTACTTACCATTTGCCGTGAGCGGCAGCGTTGCCCCATAGTGCAATCTAAGGGCTCGTTATCGGCAAAAACGAGCAGAATCACAACCTATTGTGATCATCGCTGTTTGCAGGGCCGGATTTACCTACTTGCCGCCCATGGGCCGCCTGTTTTTTTCTGCCCCCTTCTCATTCGTTTTGAAACATCGATAAAAACCATCAAGTGAACGTGCCGGAGGGGGAGGGGTGCATAAGATTCGTTTACCTACTCGTGTTGAGTACATTTTTTGCGAAAGCCCTGGCAACACTACTAGCAAAATTTCACGGAACTTTGTGCGAAAGTTAAGTTCCATAAACATATCTCTGTGTGAACAAGGTCCTCCGTGTGTAAGAAATGAACCAAAAAATTGAAAGAACAAACATAAATGTGGTTTAATAATTTTAACTTCCGCCGCTGCACCGGGCTGATCGCACTGTGTTTGGCGCAATGCGTGAAGTATTCCTGTAGTCTTGTAGGCGCTACGCGTTTCACGCCAAGTGCTCTTGACCGGCGCGGCGCACTGTGTTTGACGCAATGGGTGAAATATCCATGCAGTCTTGTAGGCGCTAATATGTGTTACATGTCGACCGCAGTGCCGAAGGCTTGTCCTTTTCATCTCAAGTCCTCGTCATCATTCCTCTCTGCGCTGAGCTCCAGGCCAAATTGCGTGTTTAGTTCCTCTCTTAAATCGACTAATTAAAGATGCTGTCTCTTTTATCACCGAAAAACGATAAAATTAGAAATTACTATACTCTCAGGAAAGAGAGATTTTGTCCTCTTTTCTCATTGATAATTTTGTTTTCTGAAGCCGATTTTTTTTATACCCACATTTTAAAAAATTGCAAAATTTGCCGCGATGGGCCGCGGCCCGCGGCTAATCGCGGAAATTTCTTCGATCACGATTTGCAGGATTGACATCCGAAATGCCTTTGTGGAAATGCTTTTGGCATATGATTTGTGGAAATTTTCACCATTAAATTTGGCGACGCAGCCGTGAAAATTCCATGACTCATCCGAATTTCTAGGTTTTCATTGGAAACACGATTTTAAATACATCGTGTTGTAAACCCTTAAGAATTAACAACCGCAGCCATACTTTGTGCCTGAAAAAAAAAACCTACTTAGAGCGTCTGCAATTTTTTCAAAATTTAGAACGGGGCTTGAAAAAAAGACACATCATACCCTAAAAAAGCCTAGTTGGGCGAATTAAATCACCTAAATATTGTAAGTATGGTCGCTATAAGCACGATGGAGGAATTAGCAAGTATAATCTTGGCATGGAAACTTATTGACTAAGGAGACAGCTTACCGTTAAGCACGAGGTTTAACTAAAAAAAAGTATCTGTATAGGCAGAAAAGAAAAAACGAAATGATACGTAATTTTTCTATGTTAGCAGTTCAAGTACGAATGATTTACTCCAACTAGCAGTTCGACAGTTCGATATTGTTCCTAAAATACAATACAATTTATGAAAAACGCACAGTTTAGACCGATCATAGCAATTCGAACTTCTGATTATTCGATCTCCTTGGTGCGTCTGTTGCCTATACGGCGAAATTGAAGGCGAACCTCAAGTTGAAAATATCTGCTATTAGGTTCACAGTTCACACAGTCTATATTAGCTATCGTTGTTTACGGAGGCAGATTATGTGTATTTTTCAAATAGATAACTATTAGCGCTCCCTGCTATGTTTGTTGCCTATCCGGCAAAATTTAAAGCGAACCTGAAGTTGACGATATACCAATAGATTTATATCCATTCTCTGTGGGCACCGAAAAAAAGTGAAGTTGATTACCATTCTAGATGAAAAACAGTGTGCGAGAACTCACAAAATGCTAAATTACCCGCTACGGCAATTAGTTTTACATCTCGACATTCGTGAAGTAACTACAGTAGCAGTTAATTCAGCATTTTGTAAGCTCTCGCACACTTTTTTTACATTCAGAATGTTAAATCAACTTAACTTTTTTTTCAGTGGGCCTTAGCCACATTTTTGGAGCAAGATATATGTGTGCTCGTCAATAAGCAATTTAAACTACAACTCCGACGTCACTAAGGGTTGCATGTGAATTCGTAGTGGTTTTTCACGAGTAACACGGGCCCCGGTACCAGGGACCCAGTATCCCACCCTTGTGGCGGGCCTGCCTTCACGCACGCTGGGCTTGTCGATTTCCTTTGGCATTTTTGCAGTCATGAATGCGCTTAAGTGCGCTTCAGCTAGAATTGTATTTAGCAAATGGGTGGTTTTTATAGGATGATTATAATTAAACAAGTTGTTAGAAATGGAACTAAAATAATATGAACTATGCAAAACTATTATTCCGATAACGGAACTTGGCTGTTTTGAAAACGCCTTCAAATGCGGCGTGATACCTCACGCATTCCGGAGAGTTCAAATAGTTGTATCATTGCGCCTTAGAGATGCGACGGAAGATTGCAATTGAAATAACCTGCATGCACGCTGGGCGAGTCGATTTCCTTTGGCATTTTTGCAGTCATGAATGCGCTTAAGTGCGCTTCAGCTAGAATTGTATTTAGCAAATGGGTGGTTTTTATAGGATGATTATAATTAAACAAGTGGTTAGAAATGGAACTAAAATAATATGAACTATGCAAAACTATTATTCCGATAACGGAACTTGGCTGTTTTGAAAACGCCTTCAAATGCGGCGTGATACCTCACGCATTCCGGAGAGTTCAAATAATTGTATCATTGCGCCGTAAGAATGTGACAGAAGATTTAAATGAAAATAGCCTTCAAACCTCGAAGGCGGGGTGTAAAATTTTCCAGCCATCACTCAATTTATAAGTAGTTCTGTAATCTTGACTCGAGAGCCACCAACGCTGGAGTGTCTCCATTTGATTTTCTTCAAAAAATTATATTTCTCTTCGAGAAATCTGACAACGTGGTTAATCTTTACATCTAATCCATCAGATTAGTTTCCTCGTGAGTCTCTTGAAACCGAAATATGTCGGAGAGTGGTTCTTTGGCTCTTCTTAACGAGATACCGAATCAAACTTTGAAATTGGCAGATCGGTGGGTATCCGAATAAGCTGCTCATTACTTAGGTAAGTACTGTCCGGGTCCGCGATAAGATCGCAAGTACCTAATTAATTACGTTTAAGGTGTAAATTCTCCAGTGATATATTTTAAAGTACCTCATCAATCGGTCACGCTTCCCTCCTCGTTTGTCGGGAAGTATCGCAATTGGGAGGGGGCGGTTGTTCCAAAAAAAAAAAACGTTCGGGTAATTCGACGGTGAAAGTCGCAAATACGTAAGTACCTATACATAGATTGCGATGTTTTAAGATTTCCTCTGTATTTTTTAATTCTTTAGAAAAATCAAATGATTGTTTATATATTTTGAGACTTTCACAGAATATTCTGACAGACGACGGACAGTATATAAGGAAATATTGGAAACATGGAATATTTACAAGAAATAATATTTGATGTGTTTTTTTCTGCACTCTGAAAAAAAATACAACAAGAAATCTGCAACGTTGCATTTTTTTTACTTTCACCATCGAAGTGTCGTGCTCTAAATTATAATTTGACAAACTCAAATATCGACGCGTTAAAACTTTCGAACCATGTAGGTATATCGTTTGCGGTGTTTTAAAACTTTCGTCTCTCTTTCATATTTTTGAAGGAAAAAAAATCAATATCATTCCTCTAAGTCTCCACAGAATATTCTCTGCACAGCGAAGCGTAGATAATCACGCCTGTTCTTAAGAATTGCCACTGATTAAATTTCCTTTCAAATTGTGAAGTATATGATAGGAAATCTACAACGTCGTAAACTGAGATACGTGAGCTGGAAGTTTCACCGTCGATATATGGCAAAAGGAATTATGTAAGTACCTAAGTACACATTAATGAAATCAGGGGAACTAAAGATAGTATTATATAAAAAGAAAATCCTTCGCACCCACCTAGTTTTTCTTGATTAACCCCAATTCATTTTCATGCGAGTCAAACGCTTTCATCGGCCAAATACCGGAGAATATTTTTAGTATCCGAACTACTCCGGGCTTGAGACCGTGAATTTCTTGTCGTTCCAGCAAATCAAAGTTCGAAAGCAACCAGAGTATGCCGCAGAATTAAGCCTTAATGAACAGCCATCTTAAATACTTCCCTCGAAAATGATAGGTGGGTAGTGGTGCGTTGTGAGTATTAGACCAAGTTCAAACTTTCCATCAAACTCACTTCTCAGGAATTCGGAGCACCTGTGTGATAAGAGCGGCACGGCCATTCACACTCCCTGGCGCGTTTTCACTTCCCATTTAAAAAAAAAAAAAAAAAAAAAAAAAAAAAANAAAAAAAAAAAAAAAAAAAAAAAAAAAAAAAAAAAAAAAAAAAAAAACCGCCAGTATTCAAAACTTAGCCTACTTTCATTTGTTTAAACATTCTATGATAAACACAATACGCATACCCGGACCATCCACCTTCAGTATGTTTTGTTATTATATTTAATCAATGACTATTACCTGAAAGTCAAAAATTTACGATTGAAATTTGTATCATTTTAAAAAATATTTCAAAATATTAACAGTAAGTCGGGTCTCACGATTGAGTGACATCAACTTCTCACCCACCCATTTATGTGAAGTTTTTTGAGACAATACTCACTTTCTACCCGGATAAAGTGTGTAGGTACCTACTTTGAATGTCACACAGATACAAAGCGTAGGTAGGTAAATGACCAGCGCTTTGAATACCGCTTCAAATTCAAAGTAAGTATGTTGGATCTTTATGATGTTCGTAGGTTTGAATTTTCATAACATGAATTTTGATTTAAAATATCCGTAAGAATTTATTATAACTTTTCTGTATTTTTATATAAATGAACTAACATTTAATCACCAAATTTTTGAAGGATATTTCTAGGTTGTTAAAGAGAAATTTAATGATTTCGGCGCAGTAAGCCCTTATTGTGAGCGTACCGCCGTCTTTTACATGCATTTTTTAGGTTTAAACCTCTTGAACCGCCTTTTTTAAGGCACCACAAGAAGGAAGAAGAATACTCACTGTTTTATCCATAAAGCGCCAGGTATTCTTACAGCCCGGCAGAGCAAAAACGTCATGTGTCAACCTGTTGAGTCGCTTAAGATTCAATCCACCCAAAATGAGCTTGATTTTCCCGCCAATCGCCGGAAATACTCTGGTCGATCGACTTTTGCACAAGTAAGTAGGAACCACCAGTTACTGCTCCATTTCGCTTTCTTCTGATGCAACAATTATTCTCATTTTTATTTCGTTTCATTCCCAAAAAAAACGGATTGTGTATCATTAATTATTTTCCGGTGAGCGGAAAAATATTTCATCCAATCCTCAAAACTTCAAACACCGATTCAACTGATTTAACGTTGTGTTTTTGAAAGATGCCTCAATTTTCAACTTGTCTTTTGCTGATTTTTTGCGGTCCCTATACAGTGTGAAATTTTAAAATGGTGTTCTCGAGGAAAGTTTCTACCTCTTAGACTACAAGGCCCTTTTTCCCGTGTACGTATGTAAATGAACAAATAAATGAAAACTCTTGCATTGACGGATGGAGGAAGTAAAAATAAAACGAACCGCCGTGTCTAATTCACAAAAATAAAAAGAAGCACCTTAAATGATAATTCCTCGGTCAACGATGCGATTGACTCGCGCGCTTCGTCGGCGTGCCGTTAGCGCGAAACGCGCACTGATGCCTACAAACCCAAGGGGATACTTCACGCATTGCGCAATGCTTGAAGTTTCCCCTTAGGTTTGTAGGCGCCAATGCGCGTTTCGCGCTGCGCACCGCGGCGTACCACGGCGTCGCGCCGTCAATTCGATGATGAGCGCCTAATCATAATAAATTATTCCTATTCAACAAATGTGCGTATTGCATATGGATATAGAATGAAGGCACTCCAGGCTCCTTTTACCCTTACAGTAACGAGTGCCCATACGAAACTACTAAACGGTCAATAACCTCGCCTGGATGCAACTATTCGCTTTTTACGAATGTCTGTGTTGCACAGACAATAAATTGAAGGGGCACTGACTTTTCCATCGCAACAGCTACTGTCATATGGATAAATACAATTTAATTTGAGAAAAAATAATTTGATATTTGCACCTAATATGTTCTGCGATATTTTTTTACCTATTCTTCTTGGAAAGATAGTGTTTAACGTCAAGAACTCATTTTCCTGCGTTTTTCTTAAGCTAACTCGAACAAAGAAGCTGGCAAAAACAATGTAACTTTTTTGCTATAAGCTTTCTTTTCCCTTACATGGTCACATCTCACATGCATTAAGTAAACACTGCTCCGTAGATACTGGCGACGCTTATTCAAAACTGGCTGCTAATTGAGATAGGGCTTGATTGGGCCATGCCTACAATGGTAATCGGCGCCCTCCACAAAAACCCCGCAGAAGCACTGAACATGAATGATGACCAAGCATCATGGTTTGGTAAGTCATCGAATACATAAAGAGCATAAGAATGTGCCGTAGGTAAATGCAACGTCTTATTACCATCGTATCTACAGGTCTGGAAAACCGATAATTTTAAGGGAATTTCATAAGGTCAGGGAAATCTGAGAAAAGTCAGGGAATTCGACGGAAAAGAAGACATGAACATTGAAAAAATTTTGAGATTTGAAATCTGGACAAACACTAGTGCTGTCCAAACAGTCAATTCGAGTCTCGGTCAAGTTCGGGATGTAATACTGAGAAAAATGAGAAAGTTCTGAGCCTTAGAGTGTGCGTTTCAGCATATGCAGCGAATGCTGGATTTAAAAAATGTTCTAATCCCTTTTTAGGATCAAATTTTTATTTTATATTTTTTATTTTTATTTTTTTTATGGGAGGGGGGGGGTTTGGAGTTTAATCTCCTTTTCATTAAAAAACAATAAATAGATAATAATGAAAAAAACTTGGACTTCATTTTTACCCATACTCCTACCGCTATATATGTTGTAATTAATGTATAAGGAGGTGAATAATTTTAAAGTAAAAAAAAAAAAATAAAAAAAAAAATAATAAAACCTCCCACCGATGGTGCACTATGTCCGAGATGGGAATGTGTGATTAGTTCCTGCAATAAAGGGTGAAAATCCAAAAACTATGAATAAGCGTAGATCACAATTACTAATCATCGAACCCTAAAACTTTCCGCATTTATTTGTCCACCAGGGAGCATTCCGTCCATCTGCCATCCTTTGGCGAGTCTCTCCTCTGGATACCTGCAAGAGCTCCTCGGTCGAAAAACAGCCATGATCCTCGTCACCATCCCGACGTTTGCCGCGTGGATGACCCTGTATTTCGCCCAGTCCATCCATGCGCTGTACGCGGTTGCCGCCATCATGGGCCTATGCACCGGGCTCACCGAAGCCCCTCTCCATTCTTACATCGGCGAAATCGGGGAACCGCACCTCAGGGGAACCCTTTCGACCATCTCACAATCGGCTGGTTTCATAGGTGATAAAATATTCCAACCTCTATACTTCTCTACAGTTACTAATCCTATACAGGGTGATCCAGGGTTAAACGGCCAGACTGCAGGAGCAGAAGCACCCCCAAACCCCCTCTTTAAATTGAGATTTCGATTTTTTAGATCATTTGTGAACTCAGGGCATAAAAACACGGGGGAGTAAAAATTGTCACGAGATTTGGTTCACAACCGTTGCCAAAATTTAGAAAAAACGATTTACTTTCCGAAATTTTGGGGGCCGTAGCTCCAACTGGGTGCACTTTTGGAAAAAACTTTATACAACAAAAATGTCTTATTTTGACCCATAGAACACGCTCCTGCAGTCTGGCTGTTTAACCCTGAATCACCCTGTATATCTTCTCTATTCTACAAAATCATTTTTTAGCCGCTCGATGGACGCGGTGAGGTAGGGAGTAAGACGATCGATGGACTGTAGTTCTAAGTCCGAAAGTGGGAAAATCTTCTCTACTCTAATAAAATCACAATTAAGACGCTCAATGGACGGGGTAAGGAAGGGGAGTAAGAAGAGTGAGAATGCATTCCTTCCTTACCCATTTCCTGACCCAGGTAAAGCCTTTCGGGGCGCACAGCGCCCCGGGGGTTGGGCCGCGTAGTGGCCAAGGGGTGGACCCCCTAGTTTTATTTACTTTTAATTAGAAATTATTCAGCATATTATCGTTCATACTATAGAAGTAATAATTTATTTTGGTACATCAGATCCAAGCAATTTTGGATTTCATATTTGTAACGTTGATCATGTTGATTTTATCCGCAGGTGTTTTCATGATGTACGCTTTCTGTTACATTTTTGATGACTGGAGAACGATTGCTTTGATCTGCAGTGTATGCCCGGTGATAACTTTTACAACAATGACCCAGGTAAAACTTGGGCGCGGAGAATTATCGAGCTAAGTAAGTGAGTAATGGTAGCTAACATTGATCTACGAATCAATTAGAAAAATGAATTAAATTAATGAAACAGGAAAGTTTTACACGATAAATGATGGTAACCAAGGTCGCTCGCAGGAAGGGCAACCGAAAATCGTCGCACGGTGGATCAAGTCAATAGGAGAGGTCGGACAAAATTTAGAAACTTTAAAAGCTCATATCTCTATTCATACAAAATTTTAAGGTTCTAAAAGCGGGACCATTGGTTTCCTTGTGAAATTTTCTTTTGGGAACGCACCCCTTACGAGTTAAAATGTGACGAAATAAACATATAAATTTGCAGTTTTTGTCAAACATTTTATGCCCGACTTCCTGATTGACTCCATCCTCTGTGCGTCGTTGGGTGAAATTTCATTTGATCTTTCATTTCCCTCCCGAGACCATTCTTTAAGAATTTTATGCGAAATTAACAGATTTTTCTGAAAAAATAAAACACCACAATCGAGGGGCGCATCATTTGCTCGTTTCATTATCTAAATATTTTATTTTCAATCTGATTGCATGTCAGGCCTTCCGAGTTTTCAAAAAAGTTTCTAATTCTCGACTTACTTCCTTAACGTGCGCGTAAACTTACGTCACTATTTGGTGTGTGTTGGTGCAAGAGAGTTTGCATCAGGTGCCCCTTTGACGAGCTGAAGAATGCCGCATCTGATCGATGAGTACGAAAGAGATAGACGACAAAACAGCATATGAACTATGTTAAGTTGAGCCTTACGCCCCGTTCACGGCCGTGCTTTCGGGGGCTCATGATCAAAAATCGATCAAGTGGTTTCGCCGCGATTGAATTCAAACTACCACCGCGCGGCTAAAATACGAGCCGGAGTCTGTATTTTTGTGCTTGTGAGTGAACCTCTTCTTCCGTCGATGCTCTCATTACCTCTAAACTTTTCACTATCGAGGATGTAACCTAAATAGTTAATAATTATTTTACATTTATCTGCATGAGTTCGGGTCTGATTATTTTTTGTCATCTAGATACCCGAATCTCCAACGTGGTTGATAGTGCGAGATAGGTTAGATGATGCCAGAAAGTCGTTGTGTTGGTTAAGAGGCTGGCTCAAACCGGAGGAAGTAGAGGAAGAGTTCCAAGCTCTCAGGAACCACGCGAGAAAGTCCGTGAACGCTTCAAATGATCCCGAATTGATCGATGGTATGCATCATGCACTACTTCAAATTTGAATATTTACACAGGTACACTAATAAAAGAGTTAGGTAGTTTTATGAACTCTGTGCTATGACCTGCACCCTGCAGGACGGCCGATGTGAGCTCTAAATTTTATGGTGCCCTTTACTATACTTCCTCGATAGAGACTTTCAAACTTCTAGGTTAAGGTATAACGGGGTTGGTGCAAGTGCTGGATTTATATCGATGGCTTATCTCGAAAAATACGCATCTCCATTGCAAAGTTTCAAGATCTCCAATTAAGGTTCATTTTTTTCAAAAGAAAAAAAAACAAAATTTGAATAATTTTGCTGTAACTTAGATTTTCCAAGAAAATAAAATAACAGAGACTTGCAACGTCACAATTGAAGATGCGCTTTTTCCGACTTCAGTCGTCGATATTTGGACATATTTCTGTCAAACGAAACTATGTGTATTATGATGTGAGCCCTGTTATGCATACATTCTTATAGGTCTCAGGGATCATATCTTAATGCACATAGTTCCGTTTGACAGAAACACGTCCATTTCTCTTATCGAGTGGTCGCGTTTGTACGTCTTGTCCTTAATTTTTCCGTAGGGGCCACCCATAATTAATTTATTAACGCCAATGTTTGAAGAGAGGAGGGTATCAAAGGGTGCCTGACATGTGCATACCTAACGATAAGGAGAGGGGTTTAGAGTCCAGCGGAGCCTTACGTCTTCCTGCAATGGGCACGAAGCGCCTATTTCTCGGACAATAGACTGATTTAGTGACTACGTCATTCAATAAAATATCGAGCTCTTGGTTCAAACCGGAACAAACTAACATGACCTCATGTGCGAATTCTTCATGAGTTAATTGTGTTAATTTATTAAAGTTTAGTCATTAACCGGTCATAAATTAATCAAAGACTCATTAATTACCAGAACTTTCGATTGTAAGAAATACTTGGACGCATTTTACCACCATAGTGCCAAGGGCGCGAATCAGAAACAAGGTTCTGTACTTGTTTACTTTCGAACCAAGGGTTCGATATTATATGGAATGACGAAGTCTCTAAATCAGTCTATTGCGATCAAAGACGACGTAAAGCGCCAATTTTTTTGCATACCTGGTAGGAGGAAGTTGATACAAACATGGCGTAATTTCAATGACGTCGTTGAACTCTGGATGGTCGTTTCATCAGAGATGAGTGAGGTGTAGAGGATAGGAGTTCCCCAAAAAAATGCCGACGTCATGTATGAATGGCTCATCCTCATAAAATGTTTTCTTACGAATATCCTTTATTTCGCATTGAAATAGGAAAAAAACATTACTTAGGTAAAAGTGCGGACACGTATTCTGCCGTGCTAAGGAAGAATGCCGTATGAACATTCAAGAGTTGCCAAGTTTCCTTCGATAAAATTATTAGTTTTGAGGAAAATTATCAATATTTTTTATTGAAATTTTCAGACTTTTCAGATCAAATTACAAACAAAATTATCTGTGAAATTGGAAGAAAAATATGCGCAGATTTTCTTGAAAATTAGTGTTTTATAATAGGACATTTGGCAACTCCTGAAGGCTCTTACTGCGTTTTTCCTTAGCACGGCAGTCTTGTCGGAGAACAATTCCTACCTTTTAGCAATTTTACTCGGCCAGCCAAAAGAAGTATGTCTCATAATTCTGCTCTTTCATTCTTCCCTTCATAGATGGACCACATATCAGGAAAAGTGGATATTTGAGAAAACAATTCAAGGAGATGGCGAGCAGGAAGGTCCTGCTTCCTCTTCGGATGGTCTGCATCGTGTTCGTCATCAGCGCCTTCGCTGGCTACAGCGGCATCAAACCATACTTGATCGGCGAACTGAAAAAATTGGACATTCCTATAGATTCCAAGCTGGTTTTGGTGAGTAGCTCAGTTAATTTTCGTCAGTTCGATTAATTTAAAGCAAGTTTGTTAATGTTGACCATCGGAACTTCTTTTTATTACGAAAGCTAATTTCATTTATTTTGAGCTTTTTAAAACACTCTAATAAGCTCACTTATTCCTCGAAAGTAAAGTTTCTTGTAAAATTTCATGCACCCACTCCCAGGAGACGCTCAATTGGACTTCGTGACATTTTTCGGATACCTATGAAATCCAGGTGGCAATTCATCAATAAACAGCCAATTAACAAGCAGCATTCACTCGCAGTAAAGCTGTGGCACAATTCGGATTCATCGGATGCAAACGCCACTTCCGTGAAGGTGGCGTCTCCGCCACAACGGAGGCCCTGTGACCCCTGTTTGGAGCTAAGGAAGCCCCTTAGCCAAAATATAGAAAAAATATAGCCCTGATGGGGCGTGTGTCCCTTTGATGAGATGCCTCTCTGTCTCCCCTCCCTCAAAAAGTTCCTATAGTTCCGCCCAAGGCCCCTGTAACTCACCGGGTGGAATTTAACCTTCAGGTTTTTTATAGAGTATTCTCTCTCATCTCCTTTGTCATAATATTCCTGATTTTTCAATTTTCATCCACAGATAGCTTTCCAAGTGCTAGTTTTCGTCGGTGCGATGTTGAATGTGGTGTTCTTGCGCCGATTTGGGAAGCGGAAATTGGCTCTTCTTTCCTACGGAATTCTGGCTTGCTGCATCCTTGGTATCGCGGCATACCGATCTTTTCTCCAAGGCTCAGAGCGCTTCCCCCAGTTAGCCTGGCTCCCGGTGATATTTTGGCTTACTTTGGGGCTTTTCGGAGGACTTGGCCCAGCACTTCTCCCTTGGCAGTTGGTCTCCGAAGTCTTCCCCATCGTGTAGGTGCTATTCAGAATTCGACTGATAGCTTCAAAATTCCGTGGGAGGCAAAGTCTATAAGATCCTCAATGGTCAAAACTAAGATTTTGATTTAGTTTTCCCAACACATCGATGGTGAAAGTGTAGGAGTGCTTATCTCGATTATTGACAATTTTGAATTATCTGTATTAACGTGTTGTTGAATATGCTGTCTATCTGCCAGCAAGAGACTATAATTGAAAAAAATCGGGAAGTCACCTTTCGAGAATTCGCTGGTTTTGAAAAAATGCGCTTGTTGGTTGCCAGGGGTGGCGGCAGCCCCCGAGGGGTTGGGCTTCTTGGTTGCTCGGGAGGCTACCCCGGGGAGTTTTGCTTCATGGTTGCCANNTGGGCTAATTAGATGCTAGTGGGACATCCCTCGAGAAGTTGGGCTTCTTGGATGTCAGGTGGGGCAGCCCCGGGGGGTTGGGCAGCTTGTATATCAGGGGGTGTAGCCCCGATGGTCGGGTTCCTTGGATGTCAGGTGGGGCACCTTCGGAGGTTTTGCTTGCTATAAAACACGTATCACATTGCTGAAATTCGTACCCTGATGCCTGGGCCAATGATTTGCCTTCAAGTAGCTAGCTATGCAAAATGACTGTCGTGACGCACGAATAGTGGTATCAGAATTTCGCATTAAGATTACGCATTGGATTGAAGGCGCTGTTCCGGATCCTATTTGAGTGGTCCTGTACGATGATGTTGACCAAAAATGATCATAATTTGTGGGTCTTTAATCGAGCCGTAATTTTGAAAAATACCCGAACAATATAATTTTGCACTTTAAATTTTTTTTGTCTGTAAGTCTTATTTCAAAAAAGAGAGCCAAAACGCTCGGTTTCGATTGTCGTTTTTAAGACTTCTTGCTTTGGTCATCGTATGCTTATGCAAATCTGAGATAGTCGTCGTTTACAAGATCGCAACTTACTCCTCATAAATATCTCGATTTTTCTTGCAGAGGTCGGGGTCTGGCGAGCGGTTTTTGTTCCGGTTGGAAATATGTGGTGGCGTTCTTTCTGGTCAAAACGTTCCTGTACATCGAGGCTTGGATAGGTCTCAGCGGAGTGACGTACCTCTACGGAATTGGAGCCTCTCTCGGTGTCGTCTACCTTTACTTCTTGCTGCCCGAGACGGAGGGAAAATCTCTCGAACAGATCGAATCTTATTTCACCGATAATCATGATCCAAAGGAAAAATTTTCCATCGGAAAGTGAAAATACTCAATGGAAGTCAACAAGACCAAGAATTACTCTTCGATCACCCGATCGGTGGATTCACTAACAACTGTATCAGACGAAGGAATGGGTCAGTTGCGCTGGTCACAGAATCATGTTTTAATGCTTTATTCTTGCAGATCGACTAAAAATAATAAGATCTGTCCAAACAGCAACTTTCTACGTTGGATATTAACCGAGATAGCGCGCCTTGAAAAGCTCGATTCATGACGTCATCCACCGCGCTGGTACAGACCATGTTTTGCACCACCGCGGTGGATGACGTTAAAAACCCGAGTTTTCAAAGGACGATATATCGGTTAATATTCAACTTAGAAAATTGCTGTTAAAACAGATCTCCTTATTTTTAGCTTATTTATAAGAATCAAGCATTAAAACACAATTCTGTTCTGACAGTTCTGAAAACGCAACTGGCCCATTGTTGGTCAGGTATCAGTGTTCTTGTTGAGACCAAAATTATCGAAAGTTGTTGATCTACGGAGATCTATTGGCATAATCAAGTTTTTCAATAAACTACCCTCTTTCCATATCGTAGGCTTGGAAATATAAATGAGGTGTAAAGAGGTCGGTTGGTAATAAGAGCTTGTCTCTCTGAGATATCTTGGCCGTGTGTCAAGCTAGTTATACCTACTTGAGGGACGAAATTTTTCCCCTACTCGCAAAATTTATGAACTGTGAAAAAGGGTCTTTGTCCTTAAAACAACCTCTATTCCTCCATCATTTTTTTTTTTTTCATATTGCCTGCCGAACGTCTTCAAGGGCGAAGGGGGAGACCCTGGCAGCATGGAAAGTAATCAGCGCTTGATAAAGACTTGTCTACTGAGTTTCACATTCTCAAAAAACCTATTGATTATCGATGCTACAGAAAAATGTATATAAGTTACAGGGCACGTTAGATTCCTTGTTGCATTTTACTGCTCTTGAAAACGCTCAAATGGCTTTATCGTAGGCATGTCATGTGATATTTCTTGAGAAGAATGAAACAAACTTAAGCAAACATAATTCTTTTTGAACCACGTGTATCGACTAAATATGAACATGTTTTTCATCCAACAACTTTCTGTGCATTGTTATATGTAATAAAATTGCGAAACACTTTTTTCAAGTCAGCGCGTATATTGTCAATTCTTAGAAGTAACAACCATTCGAACAGAGATTCTAATAAAGGAGAAGATCAAAAGATAGCGATCATGGATTTACGTTATTTGATAACTGCGTGCATCTATGAGGGGGGAAAAACTCGATGGCCTTTCATTTTTTGCTCACGCAACTTGGACATCCGCTAAAAGCTCAAATAGTTGCATTTAGGCGTTGAAATACTTTTCGCATTTTTGTTGATTAACCGCATCTGTTGTTCGATGTTTCTTCTTATTTTTCAATTTTTATATTCTGTTTTTATATTTCATTTATTTTTTTACGTGTAGAGATTGTAGGAAAGAAATCTGCGAGAAGTGTCTGGGGCCGTCCTTTAGTTACATAATGCTCCAGGAGTATCGAGGAGAACATGACGTTTTTTTTTTTTTTTTTAAGTGTTAGAGAATAAGGATCTACGCCACAAAAGAGTTATAAGAAGGGGGGGGGGTCAAAATGCCAAAAAAGTGCGATTCGTAATTTTGGGACGGCAGCCCTAAATATATTTATAAAACGAGAAAATCCTTGCAAGAGTCTTTGTGGACTTAACTTGAGAAGTTATCCTATTAGAATAATGAAAAAAAATATGACAGTAAATTATTTCTATAATTTTGCAACTCGAAGCAGCCTTCTTCTTTATGTCTCGATATTTACATATCATAAAGTTAAAGGTCAGAGCCACAGCTGAGAATTAGGATGAAGTACATAGGTGATAAAAAGATCATAATGTCAACGATAGCAAGATAAGCAACACAAAATTTGACGAGCAGTATAACGAAGATGATGCACATCGCCTGGAAGGAGGATAAAAAACACAAAATTTGACGAGCAATAAAATGAGAGTAATGCACATTGCCTCACGTCCTAATTTGCAAACCTTGAGTTTTTCCATTGTTACCTATCCGTGTCAGCTGATTGCCTCTTCAAGCGGCGAAACAATTGGCATTGATAGTCACTAAATTTTATCTCTGACTGAAACATTCGTCGTTAGTGTAAAAAAGGTAGGAGTTGTCCTCAATGTCAGTTGAAAAGTGACTAAAACTTCAATTTGCAAAAGCGAGGTTAGAAACGACTCGCGGAATCCAAAGAGGTCAATCTACCAATTTTTTAAGTGTTTATTGATAGCGGGAGTTTTAAAAGAGAATCAAAGACCGGTATTTTTCTTTCATCAATCTCAAATAATGAAACAACCGCTCGTGAAACTGACAATCTTCAAAAATCCATTGGTAAGAATGAAAATAATTTTAAAAACTTTGCAATCGAGACACAGTCAGACAAAGAAGAGTCTTTCGTGAAAACGATATTTTGGACTTTAATCGGTATATTCTTCAAGAGGATGTCCAATTGAGATAGTGTCATGTCCATGTGAAGATGACATCGGCGCTGTACTTGATCATACATTCAATCTCTTCATAATGCTTCATCTCATCTTCCTTTTCTCATAATCTCGCTCCCTTTCTCTCCTTTTCNGGGGGGGGGGGGGGGGGGGAGTCAACTGCACCGTCCTCGTAGTTCTGTAATGAGGCACTAACTTTACTACAGAGGTAATGTAATAATGCAACATTTTGGAAGTCCAATTTGGAAAAGTAAACGTTTTAATTGGATTATACCTGATTAGGGGACAGGTAAAAAGCTGTAGAACTAAGTGCATATATACAAGTGACCTTTTTGAATAGACCGTCCAAAGCGCTTTTGCATTAGTGAATACTTGGTTTCTCCTACTTCGAAAGTCTTTCCAGTAAGTTTCAAATTTCTAGGCTCCCTTACTTCGTTTTGAAGTTGCATTCTATGAATTTTTTTTTAAATAAAATTTTAAAATCACATGATTAAAGCAATCAAAATACTGTCGTACAGTGAACATTTTAGAATTATCAAACATGTACTGAGATTGATTTGATTTTCAAAGTATTTTTTATGTATAATGTAAGAGAATGAGAAACTCTCAATGAAAATATTGGAAACTGCTGCGTCGCTATCTCACCACCTCTTTTAAAAATGCGTGAGCAGTCTGCCTGTCTGCAGCGAAACTAAATTAATATTCACGGTTGTTAATTTCATTCACTAGGACAAAATTATTCGCGAACAGAAAACAATGAACTAGAGTTTAATCTGGAATAGTTCAATTATCGTTATTATTAAACGGCTTTTTCTTTATGAACAGGAGTCGGCTTGCACGAAACCAACATGATACTCTTGAAAATATTTTAAAGCTCAAAAGCTCTCGTCTTTTGACGGCACAATGAAGTCATCGGAGGAGCAGACTAAGGTTTCTTTCGAGGAGCCTCCCGATACGAGCAAAATCCGATACGAAAATGCCAGAAGATCAACATGTTCGCAGGTAGAGCATCAACATGTTCTCTTCACTGTAGCCAAAAATCCATGTTCTATATCCGCCGTGCTAAGGAAAAACGCCGTATGAACCTACAGGCGTTGTCAAATTTCCTTTGATAAAACGCAAATTCCCTTTTAAACTTATGAATATTTCCCTCCCGATTTTTTAGATAATTCTGTTTGCAATTTCACCTAAAGATTCTGAAACTTTAAAAGAAAAATATCAATGACTTTCCCTGAAAATAAACATTTTATCGAAGACAATTTGGCAATTCTTGAATGTTTATACGGCGTTTTACCTTAGCATGGCAGATATGACGCAATACTATTAATGTCTTTAAGCATACCATGGGTCCGTTTTTTGAGTGTTCATACATCGCGTCTATGTTGAAACCTTTTTAACTACAATATTGAAATTTCTCTCAAATTTTTTTTCGAAATTCTCTAATTCCAGAAAATGTATATTCACGTTTATTTTATATCTGTCCCCCAAAAAAGTCAAATCAGCAGGCTGATTATTGAAATTGATGGAAAAAACAGTAGACCAAGAAGACAAAGAGAAAATAGAGCAATCTTATCCGTTGGACCAGGTGGTTATCAGAAATGAAGGGGGTAAATGATGGATTAACTAAAATGGTCTTTCGTGGCTTGCCGTTAAGTCGTCACCTCATTTGTCCATTGCAACCACCCGTTTCCACCAATAGGATTGCTGCATTTCCTCATCGTCTTCTTTGTCTATTGCTTCCCATCAATTTAAATAAGTAGCCAGCAGGCATTTTATCAAACGCGTGGGCGGATATTTATTTTTATAGTTTACGAAGTTTCGTGCGTTTTTTGACGAAGAGTCTTCGAGTTTCCAATATTTTGAAAATCAGCGTTCATCAAATTTTCAAACTTTCCCAGTTTCCTATCCAAATGCTCCTTATAAATTTCAAATGCACTTGGTAAAAGCCCAATTTGACCATTTTTCCGCGACTTATCCATTTTTTGTTCATTAAGGTGGTGGTTATGATGGTCCTAATTGGGCTGCTCCTCGACATAGGTATGCAGGCGTCCATGCCAACGATAGTCATCGGTGCGCTTCACAGAAACCCATCCGAACGCCTTAGCCTGAACGATGAAGAAGCGTCGTGGTTTGGTGAGTCCTATACATTAATTTACGACTGATCAAGAGTGTTTCGCCTGATGTTACATGGGCTGATAATGGGGATGAAATGGACCGAGTTTCATGAGGAGACAGAGGCAAGGACCGGGGACCAGCGACGGGTGAAAACTTATACTTTCAGGGATTCATAATTTCCGCATGGACAATTATAAGGCAGGAACAGTTAACAATCATCTTCGTGTTGGCTGTTGGTCAAATCTCGCCAAACATGGTGTGGCCTCAGCGCCGGTTGACGCAGAACGCATACCAGCGCCTACAAGAGTGCAGGGATACTTCACGCATTGCGCAAACAATGCGGTCGCTTGTCGGCGCGGAACGCATATCGACGGCGTTAGTTCGTAACCACATATCTCGTTTGGGTTGTCTGGGAATCTCCGCCTCTGTGTTATTTCTTTAAAGAGGAACCAATTGACATCATTTCTTGAAGTTTTTGCAGACATTTCTTCGCACGGAGAAGAAAAATCACGGCAGTTTTAAAGAATTGCCGTTGAGTAGTTCATAGCCTATGTTCCGTTTAAAAAATAATGGATCGAGGGTTTGTTTCCCTAGTTAAGTAAAGTATCAAGCTTAAAAGTTTAATGCGGGTACCTTTTTTGTCGGGCATCCCCCCTCCCTTAGTTTTACAAACAAAATATTCTATGCGGTGTGACGGTCATGACAAAAAACAAAAACGGCGGGTATGTACGCAACAGCAATGAAGCACAATCTGAAAAGTCGGTATTGATGACCTTCACTCTCGGTTTAAGTACTCATGATGCCATGTTGAGGGCTTCCATTAAACCTACGTTATTAAAAATGTAAACCAAATTGGACCCGCAAATCTCCCTAAGGAGAGGGGTGACAATGAATACAGCCTTACAAATCAAATATCGAAACATAAATGAATTGTATTATTCGAGAGGGGCGAAAGTCCAAAACCTCTTGATCCCTGCCTTACGTTGTTCATAATGTCCAGCATGGCTCATGACCAACACCAATTCAAACTTTAGCCTTATTTGTGCGTCAAACTATTCAATTAATTTTACTATTCGTCGTGGGGGGAAAATGCATAAATCCGAACACCTATGAGCCATGCTACACATTATTAAACACCAGTGGCGTGGCGTGTTTTGCGATATTTCGATTGATCTGCCATTTAAACCTATGAAAAAGGATCGAAAAACAGGGTGTTTGTAACGAACACCTTAACGATCGAATCTTTACCATAGCTTTAAATAGGGAAATATCGATAATCGATCATTTATGCCTTGTCACTGCTATAAACACGGAAACGAGGGCTCCATGAGCTTTTGGTTTCTTGTATCTCTTGGAAAATTCGATTTAATTGCAAGACACTCGAAACAGACGCATTTTTTAGGGAGTATCCTGTCGTTCTCACACCCGATCGGTGCCCTGATCTCCGGATTCCTCCAGGAGCGATTCGGGCGGAGAGGCAGCATGATCCTGGTCAACATCCCGACGTTGGCGGCCTGGACCACTCTTCACCTCGCCGATTCCATCTACCAACTCTACATTGTGGCCGCCACTATGGGATTGTCCATCGGGTTCCTTGAGGCGCCTCTCCACTCCTACATCGGCGAAGTCGGTGAACCCCACTTCCGGGGCACCATGTCCACCATGGGCACCGCCGCGGCTCTTCTGGGCGTCCTCACCATCCACATGCTCGGGTACCTCGTCCGCTGGAGAACGGCCGCCCTTATCAGCACTGCTGTTCCTCTTATCACGATCGTCTGCCTAACGCGGGTGAGACTTAAAGCGTGATGAAATAATGCTGAATCCATTCTACTTGGAGGGAAAATTAAAAGCAAACAATTCCTAATTTAGAATCAGCGATTCAGAAGAAGACCTTTAATTAGTTTCTGTGCAAAAAAGGAGAGCGTTTCAAATCCAGACAGATGCACTAGATGTGCTATGTTCGAATCCCACTGGCAGACTTTCAACGGGTTTAATCTTTTACGTGCACATCAGGTGGCTACAGTCGAATAGCTGAACGCTCTTCCCGTCAATTTTGCACATTTCACAAAAATATATTGGAGTTATTTCTCTCTAGTTAGTGCAATTGTTCGGTCTTGATTTGCTTCCAAAGTAATGTGGATCTAGCATTATTCTTCCACATTAATACACAATGGTTATCAGGCCTCATTTCCAATGTTTCTCTCTTGTATATGACTCTTGTATATGACGTGTGATGACTTCTAACCGGCTGATATTGAGGCATTGATTATTTTCCTATACTTTTTTTATTGTCTCTTTTCATTTTTCTTTTTTTGCTTCTTTCTTTTTCTTCTCCTCCTCGTTCTTCCACTTCTTCATTTTTTTTCACAAGAGAGAATTTGAGAAGAATAGGTTTGAACTATCGTTTCTCCGCAAAATTCGAAGTTAGGCTACCATTTAATTCCATGTTCGGAATAATTACATCGGAAATTATTACTGACAGATAGACATGGAGTTTCGCGTACTTCATGTTTTCCTAAAATGTAGATTGGCCCTTTTCTACTTACACGGAAAAAAAGAGGTAGGGGTTAAGTCCCAACTGTTGGATGATACGGACATTCCCAAATAATTGTGGTAGCATCCCGATAAATTAGGTTACTAACCCAAATGTTGCGGTACTACCCCAACTCGAGTTGCGGTGCTACCAAAATTAATTGAAAATTTCCATATCATCCAACAAATTTGGGTAGTAGAACAATTTGGGGGGATTACCCTTGACACTTTTTTTTCCGTGTAGTTCTATGCAATAATAATAGATTTAATTCATATTTTACTTTACTTCTTCTCTCAGATCCCGGAGTCACCAACGTGGCTAATCATGAACGGGCGCATTAAAGATGCGCAAAAAGCGCTTGGTTGGATCAGAGGCTGGCTCAGGCCCGAGGCTGTTCAAAAGGAATTTCAACAACTGTTGAACCACATCGAGGCGGCGCCAAAGATTCACCGTACACGAAGCATCGATAATGAAACTTACCAAATGGTCCCCACGGCTGATTGTGAAGCTGGTATGTTGCAAGATCCCTCGCCACAATCTAAAATGTCCCCCCTTTCGTAGGATTTAAAGAGGCCTCATAAGGATTACTCCATTATGAGAATTTTCACATAAGCTCGCCAACAAACCCATTTTACTTCCTTGAACACTCTAAGCTTGAGCAAAAAATGCTTGATTACCGCCTTGAAGGTTTCCTTATGAGTCAATGAAAAAAAATAGTGCTCGTATAGAGAAGAAAATATGCTTACATAAAAAGAAAAGTCACTTACGTCGAGCAGAAACCCGCTTTCATTCCGCGATTTTATTCTTGATTCAAAATAAAATCTTCTTTACGGCATACTTAAGAATGTCTCTGCCTAAATTGTGTCATTTTTTCTCTGATGAAATTCAAAAATCATGCCAAACGTTATTGAATACGGACGCGAGAACTGAGTGAGTTTTGTGACTACCGCTCTCTTTTTGTGCCGTAGTATCTTTATTTATTTTGCGAAGAAAGCTCCGCACTCTCAAAGGATGTCTGTCATTCTTGATACGTTGGAGCGCCTTCAATTTCGTATGATGCTGTACAACATCTCTGTTGCGAAATAGTTGCTTCAAGGGGCGGCGGACGAGTGTGACCAGCGTGACACGCGCATTGGCGCCTACAAACCTAACAGGGATACTTCACGCATTGCGCACTGCGTGAAGTATCCCTGTTAGGTTTGTAGGCGCCGCGCCAGTGCGCGACACGCGCTGGCAGCACAACGCTCCGACCCGTGTAATATTTAAACTCGCAGAGTCAGCGCTTTTCAACTCATGATTTTGCAATGTTTGCACGCACTCTGCATGAATGATCCTCATTTAAATCGATGGGGGGGGGGGAATATTTATTAAAGGAAAACATACTGTGTGTTTTGTGAATATTCAGATGATTCCTTGTCAAATTTAATTATTTCCAAAGCACTTTAAATTGTTATTTTATATTTTGTGCTTTTACTGTGCTGCAGCGTGGTGTACGCGCTACCAAATGCTCAAAATAGGACGTATTTGACTCTGATAGATCTATGTACAAACGGGTTAAAACCAAAGATTGTGTGTTTCTTTTTTTTTCTCTGGTTCATTTTTGTATATATGCTGTTCCTTTCAACACAACTACGGCTCATCGAGATAAGTATCGATACTGTCGTTGCGAAAATTTTAAGGATAAAAATAAAACCAAATATTCATCAATGACAATTTGAAATGATGAATCAAAAGGAGAAACTAACATTTCATTTACAAAATGAGTTATCATAACAACACCTCCTTCTCTCTCAATTTACTCATTTCAATATTGCCAGTATAATTTTACACACGGACTATAAAAAATGACGCTTGGACCAAGTCACTGATGCCAATTTTACACAAGGACTTAAACTACTTGGCAAAACAGGTGCGCGGACAAAAAACCGTTGACAAAATGTCCTGAAACCGGGCATGTTATTGGTAATAGCGCCACTAAGAAGAACCTATAGGTAATTCTTCTTCCTTTCATAGCATAATTTTTTGCATACCCAAGAAGATTACAAGAAAGATTACACCGGAGTAGTTTTATAGTGTGACTATGCTTTCAGAGTCCTCTCTACGTCCACCAGAAGAAAACAAAAGCTATTTAAGATCCAAGTATGAAGAATTAACCGACAAAAGACTGTACCGCCCACTTCGGATGGTCTTCATTGTGTTCTTCTTCACGAGCGCTACTGAACTATCTGGAATGCGGCCATTCATGGTTGGAATCTTCAAAGATTTTGGGTTTGCTATTGACAGCCAGCTTCTTTTAGTAAGTTTTTCAATTCACTGCCTTTTTTTATTGACGCGGAAAAATCTGCATGATTCCGAACAAAAATCCCGCAATCATATTACTGTAAATAATGGAATTTTTTAAGTCTTTCTTGAACCCTTCAGAATTGAACATATTTATGCTAAAAGGAACTATGCGCATACAGATCGCGTGTAACATAGTTCCTTTTTTCATAAATGCGTGCAATTATGTCCAGGAAACATTGAAATATCAACACTTCCATCCACTGAGGACTTTATTTAAGGCATAAGAGTTTTTTTTTTTTTTAAATCTTTCGAGCAGTGGACCTTTTATGTATTGTAGCAGAGGCTTGATTACGTTTCAGGTATTCAGCATCGCCTTTTTTTTCGCGGGTGCGATGCTAAACGTAGTACTCCTACGGCGGCTTGGCAAACGGAGATTGACGTTGATGTGTCAAGCGGTGGCTACTCTCTGCATCCTTCTTCTGGGAACCTACACCACCCTTTTTAACAAATCCAATAGGATCCCAAGTCTGGTCTGGATCCCTGTCACACTGATGTCTTGCATCAATTTCTGCGGTGGCTTTGCCATAACGCTCATCCCTTGGCAACTTTGTGCAGAGGTCTTCCCACTCAAGTAAGTATACCTATGTCCTTCGCAGAGGTGAATTATGTATTGGTTAACCCCTCAGGATTTGCTTAAATTTTATCTCTGTTTAACTGGAGGTATCATTATAATCCAATTCTACTATTTCGAAAGAAATAATAATTTGGTAGAAGTAGCGCTCAAATAATGCACAAAAAGAAGCACGGGAGAAAAGTGTCAGGGATTATCCCCTAAAATTGTGGTACTACCTCAATTTGCTGGATGATAAGGCATCTCCGAATAATTATGGTAGTACCGCTACTCAAATTGGGGTAATACCGTAAAATTTGGGTTAGTAACCTACTATTACAATTAATTGGAAATGCCCATACCATCCAACAATTATCTCTTTTTTTGTGAGTCATCAGTTTCGAGCATATCTAAACACCTTTTGTTGTCACATTTATTGTTAATATCATTGCAAACATTTATGATTTTTAGGGGTCGAGGTACTGCACAGGGTCTCGCGGCAGCCTGGGCATACTACGTGCGTTTTGTGATGTCAAAGTCGCACTTGTATTTAGAGAGATGGATCAAATTAAATGGAGTTTTCTTCCTCTACGGCGCTGTCGCAATAATTGCGTTTTTGTATCACTTGCGATATCTGCCAGAGACTGAAGACAAATCACTCGAGAAAATCGAATCCTATTTTACTGAGGACCACGATGAAGCAGAGAAATTCTTGAAGCCCAAAAGTAGTAATAAATCCAGGTAACCTTTGCAGCAAGAGTAGACGTCTTGATGGTGAAACCTAAATGATTTTCAGATCATGGACGGAGAGTTTTGGTCACAGGCAATTTTAAATTGTATTCACTGTTTGTAATGATCCCTTTTTCTACTGAGTGGACGATGTCTGTTTTAAATCGAATAAACCGTTTTTATTTTTTTAACAGGATTATCTTATTTTCATCCATAAATCCGCATAAGGAGAACATTGAATATACCATGAAGTCGATTAAAACAATTGAAAAATGATCATTTTTTATCGTGTTCGAAAATAAATAGCACACATGTTGCCTTTTTTTGGGTTTTTACTCTTAAAAAAAGCAAATATTTGAATTTTTTCTGCTAATCTCATTAAAACAATATATTCTGGTTGTGCATAATTAAAAATACCGTTCATTTGACGTATGACATATCTTTAAACATATATTTTCGTCGACCTTTTTTGTTGAGTGCCCACTTCAATGAGATTAAGCTGTTTCAATACAAAACGCATGAGATGCCAAGTCGAGCAAACCAACTGATGAACTCGGCGTGTGAGGCAACAGAGTTTAGTGGAAGCTTAATTTCATGTAAGTTCCAGACTAACGGTAAGTTGATGTGGATTTACGCGATAAGATTAAGTGCTATGAAAACCTCAAGAAAAGTTTCATCGTATCTACTGTGTATGAAATGATTTTGTGGTTCTTTTATCTTCTTATTGAGGTAAAATATTGGGTTGGCCTCCATATCATTGGTAAGTCTAGCTCTGACAATTAATTTCTTCATGAATTAGGTCTTTTTTCATGATTTACCTAATTTTTTAACCAGTTGTATGTATTATATTTGAGCGAGGGGAGAATTTTATTCCGTTGTTTTAAAAGAGGGCGAAAGTACCCCCCGCAAAGTTTGAGGCTATATTCTACAGGCAAAAGTTCCTGTCAAAAATCCGTTTAATTTAAAAAAAAAAAAAAAAAATCCTGTAGAAGGAAACAGTAATCTTTTCATTGACTTTGATGAGTTCTCTTATCACACAAATCGCTCTCCTGAAAAATATGCATCCGCATTTGCCTCTATAATGAAGTGAAGGCGTAACTACCTTTTGAGATAAACTTTGTAAGAACTCTGATCCAAGTAGGTAATGATGCGCTTTTGCGTCATATTGGATACAAGCTATTAACAGAACTTTATCGGGCTACTTTTACATTCCAGAAATCAATTCAAAGACTTTGAAATTTTAATTTTAAGGCTTTCATATTTACTCAACGTTGGCAAAATACAGAAATGTGTCACCCTTCCAATCCATCCAAAAATGTGTCGATTGAAGATGGTCCTGCAGAGGCCAATGTTCAGTACAAGTACACTCGGAGATCGGCGTTTGCGCAAGTGAGTATGTTTTTATTTTTTCAAGAAATTGCATTGAGGATTAGCAAAAAATGCCAACAAAATCTCTTCTCAAACAAAGGCATATTATAGGAGAGAACCCATAATTTTGTAGTGGGCATCAATTGTGCCTTTTTTTAACCACAAAAATCAGAAATTATTTTTTGGCAACTCAAATGAAAATTTAAAAAAGTGACAGTTTGTCTTTATCGAATTTCAAGTGTGTTGTAGGCGAATACTTAAATTGAGTAAGAACCTCCTACCGGTTGAGTAAGCTATATTATTTGTCGCTTCCGCAGATATTGGCAACGCTTATCCAAAACTGGTTGCTTATCGAAATAGGTCTCGATTGGGCGATGCCGACGATGGTCATAGGCGCGCTTCATCGAAATTCTGAAGAATCATTTAACATGGACGACGACGAAGCTTCATGGTTCGGTGAGAAATTAAAATGTTTTTATGGTATTAACATAGGAAATCTAAACTTTTAAGGTACGGAAACCAAACTTTCGCACTGAATTACTGGACGTAATGATGGACGAAATACCTCTTTCCTTTTTCAATAGTTTTTGGCAGAGTGCAGCCTCAAAGTATTTGAGTACATCTGATGAAAAATCAAGGTTCCCAAATTCCAGCCATATATTACTCGAAGCGCAACCCTCCAACCCTCCTGACTAGAGTCCTGCTGGGGCCCCCCGTAGCTCCCCTAGTCAGACTCCCCCCCCTCCTGCACTGGCGCATCCCTACGTGCATTGATAAGCAACATTGCATCATCGACCATCCATGAGAAATGTTGCTCATTTTCCCCAGGTTTTTTTACCTCACCCCTTCCCACCCTATCGAACTTTTGTCAAACATTTATAGATCCTTTCTTCCTCCCCTTATAAATAATATAATGCTAAAAGTAACCCCCACCTCAGATTTTAATAAGTAACAGAAAATAATCAGGAAAAACTTTAAATTTCATCAATTTCTTTTGTGAGCGAGCGGAAATCGACTCCTCGAGTTTTCTGGTATACTTCAGGTGTTTTAAATTTTGCGGCAGGTCATACTTGACTTCCATCTCCATATCAGGTATTTTTAGACTCCCTTATACTGAAATCATGTTTAGCACCCTCTCATAATGGTTTACGACAAGTTCAATATGCTCTAAAACTCAAAAACAATTAACAAGCTTTAGTCACTTTCACAAACGGAACCCTCACTCCGTCCTTTTTTCTCCATCAGGTAGCATTCCATCCATCTGCCATCCTCTGGCAAGTCTCTCCTCTGGCTACTTTCAGGAGCTGCTAGGGCGGAAATCGACCATGATCCTCGTCACAATACCAACGTGTGCTGCGTGGATCACCCTGTATTTCGCCCAGTCTGTCCAAACTCTGTACTTAGTCGCCGGCACCATGGGCATATGCACAGGGCTCACCGAAGCCCCCCTCCACTCATACATCGGCGAAATCGGAGAACCGCATCTTAGAGGATCCCTCTCTACGCTCTCCCAATCTGCTGGTTTCATAGGTGCATTATTTTATTATTCTTTTAAATATAAAAAATTAATTACGTATATACTAGTGTAAATACACTATTTTGAATTCCACGCGACACAAAGGCCGTGATTTTTAAGGAGGGGTCAATAATGAATTTAATTTCTTTGAACTTGCTCAGAACAAACTTTTAACATTATAGATACAGCTTTAATGGGAATCCTTCCAATAATGAGAGATGAGCTTTTTTAGCTATATCTCAGAAGCCACATGTTTGCTGTTACTTTTTTGATGCAGATAGAAATTTTCTTAACGATGGGGTTAGCTCCCTAGCCGTTTCGCTGTCTACCCCCCCCCCCCTTACGTATGAAGCTGTGCAATACCTCTGGTGAGACCCCCCCCCCCCTTACGAGGCCCATGGCGCACGGTGTGGCGATATGGGTAAAAGGTCGGACATGGGCGATTCCGGGATTGTGAATGTTTAGGCCCGGAAATGTGTTCTACGAGTACTATATTATATGGATTTGATGATAGTTTTTAAATTTTCATCCCCCGTATCGATGGTACAGGCCTCTAAAGTCCGCTAAGTCGGCAATCTAAAATTTCCTCTAAAAACGCACCAATGTTTGTACATTCTTTAGCCTATTTTAAAATTTAATGAGACCTTTTCCAATGACGTAATCTTACTCTTTGCAAGCTGCTGATCATTTTTCACAACTTAAATGTAGCCGTTAATAGGTTTGAATACGATTTATGCCGTCTGAAAGTCCTCGCGCCGAAAATGCTGAAAATAAAACTTTATATTAACTTTCGTTCCAAGTGCCAAGGAGTGCCACGCTGGGACTTGTTGGAGCAGACCCACAGGACCCCTGAGAAGCCTCCTAAACAACTTTTAGCTGCTAATATCTGCTACTCCGACGGCAGCATGATATTATCTGATATGAAGTCGGTTGCGCGAAATCGGTTTTTATCACTCCGCGCAACCAATTGTTGATATTTCTCTAAGATCCATCACGCAGGTAAGTTGTCAAAGGTTAAAATAGGCTAAGTACGTGTAAAAAAGTTACTGGATGCAGCAGTAGTAGTGTAATTTATTTACTCCTATGTATAGGGTATTTCAGAAATTTAAATTGTTTCTGTTATTTATCATACTAATAATGAATGGTAAAGAAGTTAGAACTGTTATTATAAGTTTAAATAATGTGACTACTACTCGCGCTGGTTGTTATCCTCATGTTATAATAATTATAAACACGGCAATTATAGAAATTTCGAATATCATGTAGAATATCATTAAATTTCACCTGTAGAAAGTCAATATTAATAGAACTAATATTGTAAATATATACTTATTACAAATTTTAGTCTGACTAATTTTACCAAAAATTAAAAAAAAATATTCATATTGATAAATTAAGCTGGATGTAGCTAATTAGCTGGATAGGTATGGTAGTGGATGAAGTAGTCGAGAGTTGACGTTTCGTTTGGTCATGAAGGGCAAATAGATATGTTGTTTAAAATCTCGTTTCTTCTATTTTATTCAATTTTTTTTGTTCCTATATTAACAGCAGTATAAAGATATACAAATATGAATACGTAAAATGCTGCTCATAAATCAGGTGGAAAGAGAAAAGGATGGCTGCAAATATTTTAAGAAGTGTCGAACGTTTAAATTATAGAAATGCATTCATTTGCGAGATGGAAATCAATGTTTTCAGTACTTTTCAGGAACAACTTATGTAAATAGCAATTTTCTCGGATTTTCATCACTCAAATGGTAAAAATAAAGGCAGATTTGAAATCTACAACAAAAATTACCCTAAGATCACGCTCCTTGATTCAAAATGATGCGTTTTAAAGCCAAAGTTTCGAGGTGATTCAGGAAATCAATGTTTTTAGTCTTCTTCAGAAATAACTTGTGTAAATAGCAATTTTTCTCGGATTTTCATCACTCAAATGGTAAAAGTAAAGGCAGATTTGAAATCTACGGCAAAAATTGCTCCAGGAGTATCCTCCTTATTTAAAAATGATGCGTTTTAAAACCGCAGTTTCCAGGTGGAAATCAATGTTTTAGTATTTTTCAGGAGCAACTTATGTAAATAGCAATTTTTCTCGGATTTTCATCACTCTAATGGTAAAAATAAGGGCAGATTTGAAATCTACGACAAAAATTGCTGCAAAAGTGTCCTCCTTACTTAAAATGATGCGTTTTAGGCCCACAGTTGACAACAAAACGCAAGTTGTCGAGCGCATGTCCGGGCAAACCGGCCTTTCGCCACACCGTGTGGCGCCTCATACGTTATATACATTACGCGTTACTCTCATGATTTCTGCTTGAAATTTTGTCTAAAGGCCACTCAACTTTCACATAATATTTGCTCAAATCAGTGTTTTAAAATCTCAGCTGTTGCATAACACACTTTGTTAAAACTTTATCAGCACTATGAACGAGGATGGATGAATAACATTTTTGTGAAACTATAGTCAAAACAACCTACTTGTTACTTTTCCTGCCCAAAATGACCCTCGTGGTTTAAAGAAAAAGTAGCAAGTAAGTTAGTTTGACCAGTTTCAAAAAAATGTTTTTTACCAATCCTCGTTTAAGGTTGTTTTAAAAACTGCTTGACTGCAATGTAAGAGGCTCTTTAAACTGAAAGCTTTCTTTTTATTTTTTTTCCGCCTTTTACCCTGAAGTTGTAGGTTTTATGAACAAAAGTTACTATAATATTCACCCTATCGTTTCAGTTTTTCATCAGGTGTTTTCTTGATGTACCTTTTATGCTATTTCTATGATTGGAGGACGGTTGCCTTGATTTGCAGCGCATGTCCCATCATCACTTTCACATCGATGACCCAAGTAAGCATCCTGATCAAACATTCATGTAAAACACATTCCGCAAGTATTACTTTACTTTCAATTTCTTGGGGCTCCTAAAACAGCGTGTTTAATCAACCCAGTGCTCTAGTTTAAAAATGTTTCGTTTTTTACGATAAATTGACTTTAAGTACAAAAAGTAAAAAGAGGGCATTTTTTTGCTTTTTATCAATTTTTACAGGTACCTACCTAATTTTTAACGGAGAGTACCATATCACAGGAGTCAACCAAACGTCCTTCTCGCCAGCAAAAGTTCGTTGGCCGTCTGTAATACGTTCACATGGGTGTGTCAAAGACAATTTCTGTCGCTGGCGAGCAGGGCCGGATTAAGGGGGTGGCCACATGGGCCGCGGCCCATGGCGGCAAATTTTGCAATTTTTTTCAAATGTAGGTATAAGAAAAATAGGATTTAGAAAAAATATTACAGACGAGAGAAGACGACATAATCTCTCATTTCCTGAGAGTAAAGTAATTTCTAATTTTGTCCTCTTTCAGTGATACAAGAGACAGCACCTTTAATTAATCGAGTTACGAGAGAAACCGAACACGCAATTTGGCCTGGAGCGGCGCGACTTAGTGAGAAATGATGACGAGAACTTGAGATGAAAAGGAGAAACCCTCGGCGCGGCGATCGGCATGTAACATATATTAGCGCCTACAAGACTGCACGAATGCTTCACGCATTGCGACAAAAACAGTGCATTCAGCAGCGGTCGGCGTGAAACTCATAGCGCCTACAAGACTGTCGGAATACTTCACGCATTGCGCCAAACACTGTGCGGTCTGCGTGGCGCGGTGGCGGAAGTTAAAATGATTAATCCACATTTATGTTTGTTGTTTCATATTTTTTTCATTCATTTCTTATGAATGGAAGGCCTTGTCCACACAGAGATAGGTTTACGAGACTTAACTTTCGCGCAAAGTTCCGTGAACTTTTGCCAGTAGTATTGACAGGGCTTTCCCAAAAAAAAGTGTTCAACACGAGTAAATGCGACTTATGCATCTCTCCCCCTCTGGCACGTTCATTTATGGTTTTTGTTGATGTTTCAAAACGAATGAGAAGAGGGCGGCAAAATACAGGCGGCCCATGGGCGGCAAGTAGGTAAATCCGGCCCTGCTGGCGAGAGCATTCTATTTCAAAGTCCGAAAGACTCATTTTTTTGACCGATCATCATTTACAGAATCGTCTTGACGCACGTTGAAATATAGTACTAAAGGGGTAAATATATTTTTCGTTGGACTTAACGGAATGCTAAAATATTTAACCATTGAACCAATCACACCGACTCAGTATGTAAGCAGGCTCTATAGTTGGTGTCATTTCTCAGAAAAAAGCTGCCACTTCCTTTTGCGAATGTGCGAATGATTGCGTAGGACCTTCTGTGCTGAGGTTGTTGATCAAATGTTTCTTTTCCAATCGGAGTGGAGAGAAAGGGAGGGGTGGGTCGCAATCGCTCAAATTTAAAATGAACACTAAACCTAACGCTTCAATAAGCTAGTGAGATCCTCATTTTTCATCTCTTGTGTTAAACCAGATACCTGAGTCCCCTACATGGCTCATTGTGAAGGGTCGTTTCGAGGAGGCTAAAAAATCTTTGTGCTGGCTTAGAGGCTGGGTGAAACCATGCGAGGTGGAGGAAGAATTTCAAACTTTGGTAGACCACACAAAAAAATCTGTCAAATCAATTGACTCTACGCAAATGGTCGAAGGTATACCTTTATTATAAAAAAAATTTAAATATATTTTTTTACGCTTTATTCTTGTTTCTGAACAAGGAAAAGTTGATGGGTTGGGACCAATGATTTCAATACTTTCATATTTTTTTTGTAGATTGTGCATCAGCGAAGATAGATGGCTACCTTCGGATGCAATTTGAGAGGCTTACGAGTAAGAAAGTTTTACTTCCTCTGGGGATGGTTTGCATAGTTTTTTTCTTCAGTGTTGTGGCCGGCTTTGTTGGTATCAGGCCATACCTGATCGGTGAATTGAAGAAATTAGGCGTTCCTATTGACCCTAAACTAATTTTGGTGAGTACTCATTGTTAGATTCATCTTAGAAAATACCATATTCCTTACAGAAATCATTGAAAATAATTATTCTGCAAATAAAAGGTAGCTTCACAACAAAGGTACACCAGCAGTTCATTTTACATACTCATATTCTGTAACATTATTTTATCTTGGACATCAAGCGGGAAAAAATCAGCCATTTGAAGAATTTTGAAGGTAAAACTCTGATTAACCGGTTCTCTTGTTTGGGTGAAATAAGTTTCCGACTTTGGCAATGCTAAATTGCTGAATGCATATTAGCCGTCAAACTAGTGTACACGCACACGCACTAAGTCTACAGTCTTAGAAAGCATTGTGCCTGGGTTGGTTCATGTTGGTGCGTGTTCGCAAGATGTCATTAATTTTCGACATAGCATCGATGCTGGAATTTGTAAAGCCTGTGTTGCTAACGAAACAAACCCAGACGAATATAGGTTGTAATACAGAGCACACCAATAAAGCCATTTTTTGCTATCAATTGTTTTGTTTCTGAACACAATACACCGCAGTTCGGCCCGCTAAAAAATTCGTGTTAGTCATAGAACTCAGCTGCCACAGAAACTAAACGTTTATGTATTATATTCATAAACGTTTAGATCTCTGAGAGTGATTTACAAGACAGAGAGGTCAAATGTACCGCGTCAAACAGAAAGGAACCAAGCCACATCAGCTGTTGTCAAATTTATTGCAAATTCATTTTTTACATTGAAACGGTTGTGCGGATTTGTGTGCATTTTTCAGTGAAAGTTCTGCACAATACGCAGCAAATTCCTCGAAATTTTCAAAGGAATCCGCACAAACGTTCTCTCGTAAACAATTAACCTGTCTAATCGAATTTGGCAAAAACTGATGTGGCTTGGTTCCTTTCTGCTAAACGCGGTCCAAATAAAGTGTAACATATGTTCTGTTCCTACCTCAAGTTCTATCATTTTTTATATGAAAATCCTCAAAATGTTTAACACTTTTGATGGCCCTTTGCAGATTGCTTTCCAGGTCTTGGTATTTGTTGGTGCTATGATGAACGTTCTGTTATTGCGTCGATTCGGCAAGAGAAGAATTGCGCTTTTCTCTTATTCGACGCACGCTTTTTCCATCCTGGTACTTGGTATCTACTGCTCCTCCATGGAAAGTTTGGAGCAATTCCCACAACTGGCATGGCTCCCGGTTATTTTCATGCTCACGCTTGGTTTTCTCACCGGGTTTAGTTCCACACTTTTACCCTGGCAATTGGTGTCCGAACTCTTTCCGATAGTGTAAGTTATTCTAAGAAGACACTTGAATCTCTGGAGACAAACATGGGAAGAAAAAAGAGGAATGAAGAAAAAAGAGGGATGAGAGTTCAGAGAAAAGGGAGACATCGATGAAAGAGCATTGATATGGGGGCAACAGGATAGAAAATCACCATTTGCAGCTTAATTTTTAAACAGGAAGGTGCTTTTTGGTGCGGCGGCGTCTTGTGTCTTTTTTTGAGAAGAGAGCGCTCTCGTTGGCTCCGCATTATTTCAGAACCCAACCAACAATGTATCAGTTCAGATCGGTAAATAAATAACATCATTTCAGAAAATTATTTGATTAAAAGTGTCGAAGCCAAAGAACGCCTTCATTCTGAAAAAATACTTCCTAGCGTGGCCGCGAAGGTCGAATAGTTGTATCATGTCAAAACCCAATCAACGGTGTAGCGTGATCAAATGGCATTGCTGCAAATATTTCTTTGATGAGGAGTGACGACGCATAAAAAACGCCTTCATTGTGGAGAGATACTTCCCATGCAGTGTGGCCTAAGAACAGTGTAGCAGTGTAGATTATCAAGTAATGCGCTTGCCCGACATAATTCTTAGACGAGGAATGACGACGCACCAGGAACGCCTTTATTGTGAAATGATACTTCCCAGCGTGGCCTCTGAGGCCGAATAGTTGCATCCTATCAAGTCAAAACCCAATCAGCAGTGAAACAACGTAGATTAGTGAGAAATGAAGTGACTTGGAATAATTCTTAGATCAGGAGTATCGAAGAACTAGAAGAAGACCTGGAATTCACATTCAGAGCGGTAAATGCAAGGATTCTTTTTCCTCTGTGTGAAATTGTGAATTTAAATTCGTCTCACGAAAATTGATCAATGTGGAATTTTTTGTTCTTCTTCCAGAGGTCGTGGCCTTGCAAGTGGTATATCGGCAGCTTGGGCGTACATCGTCGGCTTCATCCTTGTCAAATCGTTTCTTTACACAGAGACATGGATAGGCTTAAGCGGCGTGACGTACGCCTATGGAGCTGTTTCAGTGATAGGCGTCGCTTATATTTACTTCTATCTGCCGGAGACCGAAGGCAAGACGTTAGAACAGATCGAAAAGTACTTTACCAAAAATCACGATCGGAAAGAGAAATTCTCCATAGGAAAATCAACCAACAATTCCGGTTTGGAGCATTCGTCGTAGATTCACATAAAAAAATAAATTGATCGATATACACCATCGGTCTAAATTAAGACTAAGTCTCATCATCTAGCAGAAAGCTCAGAAGTAAAAATCTGAAATAAAATTTTGAGCCTCATTTTGTTTTAGTTATCATTTCATATCCAAACCCTTGTTACGATTTCAGTTCAGATTTACGTACCAGAAAACTAAAAGTGCGCTCTCTGTGGTCAAGCTGGTGTCAGGATGATTAGAGCTGTGGGGGGGGGGGGGGGGTTGTTTCCTCCACGTTACTACATAGACCGACCCTTTGACTGTAGATTTTTTCCCGTTTGAAGCTGTTGTAAAAAATTGATTATTAAGGTGTTCGCTGCTGACACTTTTCTGATGATCGATTTTGTTCCACACATTGAAAAAAAAACTCCGGTGATGGGAGTCGTGCTTACGAGCTACATATGACATACCGTCTGTTCCGGGCTCAGAGGTTGAAAGTTCCAGGTGCTATAAAAAGTGAGCTTCGACTGCTCCGGGTTTAGTGACCGCGAAGCAACGGGTGTTACACCCGGAATTTGCGGCTTCTAAACCCGAAACGGATGGTGTATGTAGCCCTCAAGTACGGCTTCCAGGCTCGGAGTTTTTTTTTCGATGTAGATGACAGATCATTTCGATTCATCGCAAAGAACGACGTGTCACTGGACCGAACCCCAACCCGTGGACCGTGGATGAATGTGTTGCGCCTATCAGGCGTTGGCGGATCCAGCAAATTGGCAACATTGTCTTTTCTCCATTTAAACCTGTGGAAATTTATCGATTTTTGAAAGAACTAGGTGCTCCGACAAGAATCGATTATTTAGCATAGGTTTAAATGGAGGTAATCCGATGTTGCCAAATTGCTGGATCCGCCTCTGCTATCAGGGGTTATAAACCTGGAGCATGAGATTCAAAATTTTGAAAACAGCAGGATCATCATATAAGCTACCGATTGTTAAAGAATAATCGAATTCGGCCCGGTAGTTATCTAAATTCAGCTACAACAAAAAATAAGAATTTAGGGAGTCAGAGTAGTATTTAACAAATGAAACAGACTCACCGATGTTTTTCCCTATGCATGACTTTTTTTGATAAAGCTCATTTAAATGGAGTTGACAATGCAAAAAGTTTTAATTTATTCGAATAAGGAAGAGTAAGAACAACGCTGTGTTGCATACCTGGTGGCGTGTGACAGATTCATTGGTCTTTATCTAGACGTCAGTCACTGCGAACAATGATTAACATGAGGATATTTAGACCTCTGTTACTTGCAGCTCGGACGTCACCAACATAAATCACTCATATTCCAAACCATATTGTTTTGTGAGGTCTCGGTCGTATGCACAGAGTTAAAAAATGTGTAGTATCCTTTCCACCAAGACAGTGAACCAATTGGCGAAGTTGTGTGTCTATGAGATATGTGTAGCAAAAGCACTTTTACACGGCACATGTAGTTGGGGGAAAATTAAAATGTATTTTGAGGTTGATGATTGCCGTATCGTTGAAACACTGAACAAATTTTTTTAAGCACGGGTTAAATTTCCACTAAAGTGCTACATTAAGTTGTAAAGTATTCTGAGTGTATGTGTAATGAAAGAAAAAATAACAACTTGCAGACCATGAATCTGCCTGATCTAAACCACCCGTTTTTTTGGACCGACAGAAAATGTTTTTTCTTATCAGCATTTATACCACAGAATAAAGTTGAAGTTACTGTTACTACTTCTAATGCTAAGTTTACATCCTGAGGTTGTAACAATAATGTTTTTCTTCAATGTTAGACGCTTTGTGCAGAACTGTTTATGTAATCTTAAAAATGAGATAGGAACAAAAATAGTTATGGTAATATTTTCAAAATCCTTCGAAGCACCGAAAAAAACGATCTCAATGTATGGTTAATGCTCGTACAATTAACAGGTGAATCATGCATATTCTATTGTTTTAGAGGCGCAAAATTTAATTGCAAAGAGTCAAACAATTACTTTTTAAGTCAATTTTTGAATGAAATCTTTCCTCATTTTTCAAACAGACGCTACTCTCAGTTTAAATCTATTATCATTTGGCGTAGTATTTGTATTACTCATGCAATGAAATTTGAAGGAACTTTAGGTGTGTCGCTGTGAATATTAAATTAGATATATTTTCTGAAGTCTGGAATATACAGCACGTCTTTATTGTGTTCTTAAAGAGATTTAACCTAAGTTTCATAATTTAAATAGCAAGTTATAGACCGAGGAAGATGAAAGTCCTCTAAGTGTAAATCCACTTCTTGGCTATTGTTTTCTATACATTCAAACCTCGGGTTAAAAACATAATGGTATAGGGGTTTTATTCATTTTGACGGCGTGTAAATCGCATAAATCCTCCCTGAAAATTTCCTGATGTCAAAAAACCGACGGTTTCAAGAGCCACCGTGAAGTCATCTGTCAATCGGATTGGAGAAAACATGGCGGAAAATCCCTGCGAAACATGCAGACATTCGTACAAAAATGGCAGAAGATCGATGATGTCTCAGGTATGAATGCGCTTATGATTTGAATAAATTCCGTAATTGACGTGAGTGACACAAGTCTGTGACATAAAAAGGTATAATTGAATGACAACGCACAAATATCCCAAAATTACAACGAAACTAATACATGAAATGAGTAACCACGGATTTGGTCTCAATACATGAATGCAAATGAACGCAGTTGATAAATGTCCATGTTGCATAAATATGAAAATGTAGGCGATAAAGAGACAGTCGTGAGGCAGCACGTTTACCCGGAGACAAAATATTCTTATTGAGGCCCCTGGCTGACTACATAATTAAGCCATGTTGGTGATGAAGGAAAAGTTGATAAGAAGAATAAACAAGCTTTATTTATTTATTTATTTATTTTTTTTCTCATATGTATGATTGATATGCGACTTAAGAAGATTTTTTTCGCGATGATTGATGCATGCCGATATGAATAACTGTTCGCGCAAAATTTTTCAGGTCAACGCCATGGCAATGCCGTCATTAATAATGCGTATATATCTACGAAAAGTCATTTGTTATTCTTTAATCATAGAGTATCACAAAGGCCATTCTAACTTTATGCTGGTCTCAGTGAGGAAGCTCAACTTACAATTCTTAAAAAATCATTCTCAGTATTATCACTAAAAGAATAAATGTGCATAGATCAAAGTTTATACAATGAGCGGCCACTTACTTTCATTTGTTTTTTTAAAGGTGGTGGTTATGTTGGTCCTCTCTGGGTTGTTCATGAATACAGGCATGCAGGCAACCATGCCAACCTTGGTCATCGGGGCGTTGCATGATAATTCAGCTGCGCATTTAGAATTGAACGACGATGAAGCTTCGTGGTTTGGTGAGGATCGGTTTTATTAATGACTTCGATGACTTTTTGTGCAAAATACCGCAGAAATCGTCCGATGTATTTGAAATCCATCAAACGAAATTTTTAAATTTTAATTTAATATTAAAAATCCAAGAAAATTTACCTGCATTTGTGATTTAACGATGAAAAACGGTTCCAAGACTATGTATGAATATTTTCTAGGCAGTGCCTTTTCATTTTTCGCTCGATCTTAATTTTACTCTAGGCCTTTTGAAGACGGATTTTTTTGGGCGGATATGAAATATCCAATTCATCAAAAAACCACCATGATACGATTTCGATACATCCAGCGTTAATTTTCTCATCCGTATCGTATCGATTTTTCATCCGCATTGGACCTTAATTTTGAGCCATCTGCGAAAACATCGCGAGCGAACGGCGAAAAACATAGAAAATTTCAAAATACAGTCTAAAGAAATCCATAGACAATTTGCTTGGCAAGGGCTATTCTTTATTTTGCTCAACAGGAGTGATTATCAAACAACAGTTACGAATTACAACTTTTATTTTTGTTTATTTTTTTTCCACAAAAAACTTTTAATCATAGTTCAATGATGACGATATATCATCCGAGCTTATATCCAAGCTTTACATGAAGGGTTGTACTACAATGTGAATCATAAAATTCTAATGGTTAAAATATCATACCAAATACCTAGACGGAGAAAAAACTTCGTGCGTGGGGCCCGAAGTTGAGGTCATATGGATCTCTGAAGTTTTCGGATCACGTATCTAAAAACTTGAGGTCCAGCTGCCGAAGTTCGGGTCACGCATCTGGAGGACTCCGGTACGCACCGAAGTGCCTTGATGTCTGACCCGAACTTCGGCAGCTCGACCTCAAGTTGTCGGATGCGTGATCAGAAAACTTCAGAGATTCATATGACCTCAACATCGGGGCCCATGCACGAAGCTGTTTTCTCCGCGTAGTGCACCAAAAATTACAAATTTACCGGCTATCTTTCCTCCTACTAGAGCGTAACAGGTGCATTGGGAAAAACTTCACAATCGATAAAAAAACCCATCAAAATACAATTCAAAGATATCCATCGTCAATTTTTCAGGGAGCATCTTATCGTTTTCCCACCCGATCGGGGCGTTAACCTCGGGCCTGCTACAAGAGCGTCTCGGGAGGAAAGGCAGCATGCTGTTTGTGAATATACCAACCCTGGCGGCCTGGACGATCCTCTTCCGCGCCACTTCCGTCTACCAACTCTACCTAGTCGTGGTTCTCATGGGCGTCTCAATCGGGCTCATGGAGGCGCCGCTCCACTCCTACATCGGCGAGGTCGGCGAACCCCACTTCCGGGGCATCATGTCCACCATGGCCACCGCAGCGACGATCCTCGGGGTCCTCGCTATGCACGTCCTCGGTTACCTGTTCCCGTGGAGGAAAGTGGCTCTTATCAGTGCTGCTGTCCCTCTTATCTCGATCCTGTGTTTGACTCAGGTAATGAGACCCTCATAAAAATAGCACAGAAGAGAGGTCCTGAACAGCAAGACAAAGTAAACTTCATTTTGCGTTAATGTGTGAAGCAGAAGAGAAGACAAAGCAACTTAAACGAGCGGTCAATATGGTTTGGTCAGTTGGGCTTCATTTTGCAATTCGGTACTATAATCTCTGGCTCATTTTAGAAACAACATATGTGCCATTAGTTTCACTATGCAGATAGGTGCTTTATCGGGGAGCCAGAAATTGTGGTTCCCTGTTGCAAAATAAAGTCCAGTTATTCCTTGAGCTGCATCGGCCAAGATTGAACCTAAATTGCACTGCGGTCATAGATCACTACGCTAGCAACTCGCAAATCGCAATCGCTGAGTGAGTTCGACTGAAACAAGAGTACACTAGTTCAGCAGAACACTTTTTTATCCTTAGATGTTTCAAAGTAACACACAGTTTTGGTCGATCAACCAGATTAATCTGAGGTTATAAACTGGAATGAACTTTCCAATTTTTGGTTTTTTTTTACATTTTCGACTGAAATGGCTCAAAGTACGCTAAATGGTACGCTGATATTAGATCAAAAGCTAAATTTTAACGAGAATTTTAATCAATTTTCAGATTCCAGAGTCGCCGACATGGCTGATCTTGAATGGGCGTGCAAAAGATGCGCAAAAAGCTCTCAGTTGGGTCAGAGGGTGGTTACGACCAGAGGAGGTCCAAAAGGAATTCGATGAACTGCTCCATCATACTGAGGTCGCACTTAAGATCAATCGCACCAGTGCATCTGACCGAGAAACATACCGCGCAGTTCCAGCGGTTGAAAATGGTAATACAGTAATTGCATTTAATAGGTCAAGAAAACACTGCTCCTGCACACAATTCGAGATGCCGATGGTACATTCATTTAGCCAGTAATTACGACTCTCACACTCGAAAACTGTCTTTTATCTGTAACATTTAGACTATTTCAGCAGAGGGAGATTCTGACTTGCGGGAAGAGCTTAGATTACAGATAGAATTGCTCATATCTCGCTTGCATTGAAATTTGGATGGAATTACTATCTTTGACGCACGTGTGAAAGCACCTTTCTGCAAAGAGAGACTAGTGGTACATATCCCGTTTCTGAAAATGACCCAGAACTAGCAGGACCGGATTTACCCGCTTGCCGCCCATGAGCCGCCTGTATTTTGCCACCCTCTTCTCATTCGTTTCGAAACATCGATAAAAACCATCAAAAGAACGTGCTGGAAAGGGAGGGGTACATAAGACATGTTCACTCGTGTTAGACACATTTTTTGCGAAAGCCCTGTCAATACTAGTATCAAAAGTTCACGTAATTTTGCGCGAAAGTTAAGTTCCGTAAACCTATCTATGTGTGAACAAGGCCTTCCATTTGTAAGAAATGAACGAGAAAATTATGCAAGAACAAACATAAATGTGGTTTAATACTTTTAACTTCCGCCGCCGCGCTGCACCGACCGCACTGTGTTTGGCGCAATGCGAGAAGTATTCATGCAGTCTTGTAGGCGCTATGCGTTTCACACCGACCGCTGCTGACCACACTGTTCGGCGCAATGCGTGAAGTATTCTCGCAGTCTTGTAGGCGCTATGCGTTTCACGTCGACCGCTGCTGATCGCGCTGTTTTTGACGCAATGCGTGAAGTATTCATGCTGTCTTGTAGGCGCTAATATGTGTTACATGCCGACCACCGCGCCGAGGGCTTCTCCTTTTCATCTCAAGTCCTCGTCATCATTGCTCTCTGCGCTGCGCCGCTCCATACCAAATTGTGTGTTTGGTTTCTCTCTTAACTCGACTAATTAAAGGTGCTGTCTCATGTATCACCGAAAGACGACAAAATTAGAAATTACTATACTCTCAGGAAATGAGAGCTTTTGTCGCCTTTTCTCGTTCGTAATTTTTCCTCTAGATCAGATTTTTTTATACCAACATTAAAAAAAATTGCAAAATTTGCCGCCCCCTCAATTTGCCGCCATGGACCGCGGCCCATGTGGCCACCCCTTAAATCCGACCATGAGAACTAGTATATAGCTCCGTAATGCAAAATGCAGTCCATTTTGAAGTGACTATGGAAAAAAGCTTATTCTTTTTGTTCAGCATCAACTCTCATTTTGAGATTTTCATCAGGTTCACTTACTAATTGGATTGACTCTTTTCAGAAGCTTTGTCACGACAGGTTGAACCGGTTCTCACAGAAGAAAATGGAAGTTGTCTCAAAATCAAATGTGAAGAGTTGACTGACAAAAAAGTATATCGTCCGCTTCGTATGGTTTGCATCGTCTTTTTCTTCAGCAGTGTGACAGAACTCTCTGAGTTGCGACCTTTTATGGTGGGAATCTTCAAAGATTTGGGATTCCCAATAAAAAATCACCCCATATCTGTAAGTTTGCCAAAAAAAAAGGAATCTATTCACATCAATGAAACATAATAAAAATATTTGAAATAGCTTGAAAACTGAACAAAATGAGAATTAACTAAACACGGAGTCAAATTGCAAGTATAGGGTACCTATGCTAAATTCTGATTTCATTGTGCTTCCAATTTGCTCTTACTTTTCCAAGAGAGAAAGGCCTTTCTGGAAATTTGGCGAGGCACGACCCAAGTCACCAAGAGCCTAAGGAAAATCAGCGCCCCTTCATTTTCCACGTATGCAACATAGACATAAACCAAGTGCGAATAGTTTTATCCAAGAAATATTCAAATTAAACAACGTGGCCATTAGTCCATCAGTTAACAAACAAGGTGTAGTTAAATACTCTTAAAGGTAGTGTTTAGCATAGTTTTCATTCTTCTTTCTTTTTAATGGAAAAAAATGTTTCTTTTTCTCTTTTTTTGAGGTGGGAATTCTACCCTCAGCCGATGGGTAACATAGAAAAAGAGAAAATAAAGCCCAGAAATAGTAATTACTGATTATATTTATCGATGAACTTGTTTATACCAGAATTAGTCTAATTACATCATACGTTAATCTATTCTCATATTTTTTTTCATTTAACTCAAACTGAACTTGAATTTTATAAAGTGTTTTCTCTATGATCTGAGGAAAATTTTTGAGCAATTTCATGGCATTTTACAGCTTAATTTCCCTTTAAGAACATAATACGAGAGAAAAAAATTAAGCAACGTGAAATTCAATAAGGCTGATTCTAGGTAAATCCGTTCAATTTAAAAATTATTCTCTCTTGCCAGGTTTTAACAGCTGTGTTCTTTTTCATCGGTGCAATGTTGCACGTGGTTTTCTTACGGCGGCTGGGCAAGCGAAGACTGACGTTAATATCCCAGGCTTTGGCGACGCTCTCTATTCTCTTGTTGGGAGTTTACTGTACCTTCTTCAACAAACCCAATAGTAGTCTTGTTTGGATTCCCATCTCCTTGATGTCCTGCATCAGTTTTTGCGGTGGCTTCGGCATAGCACTTATTCCGTGGCAGCTCTGTGCTGAGGTCTTCCCTCTCAAGTAAGCGAGAACTTATGAAAGTAATCTAAAGGACAATTAAGCAACCTAGGCTAATTTTTTGAAAGCGATCCTTTGTAAATGTTCCGGAAGAGTACGTCGGACTCGCTCTAGAGAAAGAAAACTTACAGAACTAAATCCTTATGCTCAAGAGTCGACTAAAACTCTCTGCCGCTCGGGCAGTCTGTATTGTACTGCGGGAAGAGGGAAGTAAATGAGCTAATATTTTCCGGGGAGTGGGTTCAAAGGTACAGATTTCTTGCAACTATCAGCTATCTGATTGATCAGCTCTCTGATGATTATCAACTAAAATTCAACTATCAGAAAACAACTAATTTAAAAAAGAAATAATTCTGAAGAAAAGACCATGGAGGTTACCATGTGCGTATCAATGATGAAGATTGATTCGGTGACATTTATATCCATCCAGAAGTTTCAAAAGTTTGAAGTAATTTTATTCATTCAAACTACAAAAAAGGACTACTATTGTTTGCGACTTTTGCAACAAATACTGATCAGGGTTATAAAAATTTAGTTGATACTCAGAATGCTAATCATTTGCATTACCCTTTTGGAAAAATAAAAGGTTACATAATAGAATAAAATGTAACACAAAAATCTAAAATTATGAATAAGAAAAGAAAATGGAAAAACATTTAGATCGGTAACGATAAGTTAGCCAGTGAGATCAGGTCATACACTACGGTAGATTGGATGCCTCTAACTTTTCTCCTTACATTAATCAAAGGTTGTTGCTAAAGATGTGCGTGGATTTATTAAAATAAATAAATTATAAGAACGATTGTCTTAGAGAAATCTGAGGGAATTTTACGTAATTTTCTTGCAATTTTACCGAAAAGCCTATATACTTACAAGGCTATATCTCTTATTTGCAACATCGATTGTTTTAGGGGCCGAGGCACGGCACAAGGAATAGCAGCATCGTGGGCGTATTACATGCGTTTTGTCATGTCGAAAACCCACTTCTACCTAGAGAGATGGATTAAACTCAACGGGGTCTTCTTCCTCTATGGTGTCATTGCCGTAGCGGCGTTTCTGTATTACTTGCAATACCTACCAGAGACTGAGGACAAGTCTCTCAAGCACATTGAAACCTACTTCACCGAGAACCATGACAAGACGGAGAAATTCTGCAAGCCAAAGCACAACAGAAGCCATAATGTGCGGTAGTAGAGGTTGCAATCCGACGAAATGAAAATTTAGCTGAAATGGTTGGTGATATTACAATGTTTAGGCAGCTATTTACAAAACAAATTACTTCTTCTATCTACTGCGATAGGTATATGTAGAGCGATGGTATAAAGACGGTAAGATCGTTGATAAGGTAACAATTCAAAATAAATTTGAGAGCAAACAATCAATACAACATACGTGACGACGATAACAATATTGCATTATAAATAATTTTGTAAATTCCTAATACTAACAACTTAAATACAAGCGACATTTTTTGAAAGCCCTTAGATTATAATTTCGTTTTATTTCCTTACATAAGGACAACCTTTTCATTTCTGATGACCCTGTTGTAATTTCATAAGAAATAATCTACTATGTGCAAGTTTTGACACACTTAACAGCAAAACACAAAACGAAAATTCAAAGCTTTCGCCTAGAAACTTTGCTTTGTTGTGTGCGAATTCGGTAAAATGCAAAGTTTCCGAATATTTTGAAATTCTGGTATTGCATTCTTACAGACGCGTGTTATCCAGCTCTAACACATTACAGAGAGTGAGAGAGAGAGATTATATTGATGCATTTTATTAGCAGGTTGACAAATGCGGTATGTCACGAATAATAACACCTGGATGCAGCTATTCGAGATCACGGGAAGCCGAAGTTGCATATGCGAGCAATTGAAGGCGCTCTGGTTTTGCTGCCGTGATAGTGAAGAGAGCAGCATAAGTGCACGCTGGGATGAACCTCGAGACACATATAAACATGTGCTAATCATGGCTCATGCAGAAACGCACTTACCGCTCTCTTTGCTATCACGGCAGTTTTTTTGACACAAAAACTATACGAGGCAGTGCGTTACACTTTGATATCGAGAGGCTTTGAAACATGTTTAAAATTTTGCCATTTTAGCACAAATAGGAAGTAGTAATTTAAAACTTATCGTTTTGCAGCAAATTATTTGTACGTTGAAACTTTTAATACTTTTTTCGGGTAAAAAGGAAAAAGAGACAGAAAATCTTTCGTCACGAAAATTGTTTCTTTACTGAGAGTTTGAGCCAAACTCTAAGATGTCTCTTCTTTTGTTCAGTGACATTGGATAATAGGTTTCATGAAAACAATTGATGGACGAGTCTGTCTATTGTTCATATCTCTGATATTGCTTGTGTATGAATACTAGCCTGCTGCGAGAAATTTAAATTTATTCGTTGCGCCCCAATTACTGAAAACTATTAAAATGAATATTCAACCTATATAAAATCCTCTCCTCACTGATAGTTAGGTGATCATTTTCAAAAAATCACCCTCTTTAGGGTCAGAGGGAAGCAGTTGTTAAGATATGATCTGATAGCGTCACACGGCGTACTTTTAATGTGGTGGTAACAATTTTGCGGATTGATTCCGCCCGACTACATGTCAATACTTTAAAGTTTATCCATATTATATAACCACCAAATTATAATCCTGCGACTTACTATTGTAGTTTCATACTTACACACAGAACTACAAAAATATATCAACAAATGAAGGTTTGTTAATGTTAGTGCTACATTGCAGAGCAGAAAGCCTTAGGAGGCTAGTTTAGGAACTAGTCCGCATGCATAAAAGAATTCACTACGTTGTGTTCCACACGCGGCTGTTTTTAAGAGACCATTCATTAAAGGCGCAACAGACCGCAATCCGACGTTAAAAGCTGATTAGAAGGTAACTAATCCCAGATAAATTATACTTCAACACTTATAAACATTGTAATCACAAATGTACGGGTTCGAAAAAAAATCGAGGATATGAAAAATGTTCGTTTCTTCCTTTTTGTATGAATGTGCCTCTCGCATGGATTTATAGATTATCGGTCGTTCAATACTTGGATACTTAAGGGTCCAGACTGTGTGATTCTATTCTTCTTGAAATTAATGAGAGGATACTATAAGGAGATCAATGACTTAGAATTCCACAGTAAATGATTCAGGTGATTAAATGTGATACGTAACATACTTACAGATGCCAATGCCACACAATTTTATGATAAGATTATTCATATTCTCCGACAGAAGTCTTTCCCAAAGAACTATAGCCGTGCGTGCACGTGTGTAAGAGAGCCTAATCATCTGCTGGACTTTTCCCTCGATTTTCTCAATTTCCTCTGACTTCAAGTAAGTTTGCCTAAAAAATTGAAAAACATACGAATGCGGAGAATGTTGGGCTTGAGCTTTTAATGATTTTCTTACTCTTCATTCAAGAGGGCCAAACATTTATATTCCTTGAAAAAGAGGGGTCAGCGTCTCTTTTTTCACTATTTCAACGCTGAGACCATTGATCTAAATTTTTGTTTGTTTTGCATTCATCAATTTAATCGTGTCAATTTTCCTCAACGACACAAATATTTTGATTAAACAAGGTGGGGAAAAAATGCTGGGTCTCCTCTATTTTGCGGGGAAAACAAGGCTAAAAAGTTCAAAAATTTCAATTAGAGTCAATAATTTTCAGCTCTAAGTGGGGTGCTAAGTTGAGCTCACTGTTGAGTGTGATCAACTGATGAGAGAAAAAAAACCCAGAACTTTATGGCTCTCTCGGCGTGACCTCAGCTTAATATTTGAATTCGTCTGCCTGGACTAAGCTCCCCC